ATTAAACCATCAGTTATTTCTTTTGCTATATTTGCATTACGAATTGATCCTTTCAAATTCAAAAATTCAAGATGTCTAAAGGAAGTAATTATAGCACCTACTGTCTTTGCAGCATTACTTAATGTCAATAAATCTGTATTTTCAATTGTAAGAGATTTTATTTAATTTTAAAATTGATACAATACTCCAAATATTGACTCTGTAATTTCTAATTAATTTCCTTAAAAGCCTAATTTATTTATCTCAATAATTGATAAACTGTTTTATTACTTACTTAAATTATTTAATCCTTTATATATTGATTTAGCAGCTTTCTTTGGGAAAATAATACTACCCAATTATTCTTATCCAGTCAAAGTTAATCTAACTAATTTAGTAAATTATTCTAAAGCAGCAGTAATATAATAATATCCTGATGAAACAGTCTTAATGTTAATCAAAACAAGAACTAAATCTATTAATTAATCTTTCACTATTGTAACTTTTTCATAAAAGCTTTAGAAATCAGGACAAGAATCAAATTGAAGTAAGAATTATTCAAAATCTAACTTCATATACAATTATTGCCAAGTATGTTTTGGAAAATCAGTTTCATATTTAATACTATGATGTTAATTTCTAAGAGTTTCTATCTTACTATAGAGTCTATCTTCAGGTTTAAGACCAAATCCATTCAATACTCTGAAATTTGATTATTAAGCCAATTCAGTAGCATCTAATTTAGAATTCCATTTTAATTATTCATCGATCCAATCCCATCTTTTACATAATTCTTATTTCCAATCAACATTTTATTTTGCTTCAATATTATATTTAATTTATTTTTTATCTGATTCCTATTTAGTAATTACATAGAAATCTTATACTTTAGAGTATTTTTTTTAATATTACCTCACTTATTCAATTGCAGGTGGTAATTAATTCATTTCTTCAACGGTACCATGATATTTCTTTTCTTTAGAATTCTTTACAGCTTATTTTAATAATTAATTCAATTCTTCAACTGATTTTTTCTCTTATCCAATGAATTCATAGAAAGCATCATAATTGACTACTCTTTTAAAAGCTTCAAATATCTTTTCTTGAATTCCATTTTCAATACCAGTTGTTAATAAACAATAATTGTTATCAAATCTTTCTAAAATCTCCTTCTATGTCTTCAATGGTTGAACAACATAAGTTAAATAAATATATTAGAAACAACCCATTTAAAATGATGTTGATTATTATTTAAATGTGATTTCAACTCTCTTTGTTGCACTAATTGCACCTTCCAATTTTTCATCAGCTAATTCTGGGATTTCTTTCAATAACCAAAATACTTATCTATCTAATTATTCTGCTGTATAAGATTAAACTAAATCTCCAAAAGTATATTTTTTAGATACATATAGTAAATTAAATAATATACCAAGATTAGGAGTATGTTCTTTTGTTCTACTCTTTTCATCAGTTATAAATTTATGAATAATTGCATCTACTTACTAATATAGTTATGGCCATTATTCCATACATAATAACCATAAGGCATGAACTTAAGCCAACACTCTTAAACATCTTATAGATGCATGAGTTTTTTCAGCCATCATACCATGAACAATACTTTATGTGATCTTTGGAAATACTTCCAAAACAAATTCAGGCTTGAATCTTTTAGTATTGTTTGTCATTATCATAGACAATGATCTTTATAAGAGATGTAATACTCTCTCTTTATTATCAGTCTTACCAAAATAAAGAGGTAACCAATGAGTATATTATAAATTTAATGAATCCCATTTTAATCCTTCATTTAAAAAAGCTTTAATTGATACATAATCCAAAGATGGTACTGCTTATTTGATTGAACCAGTTCTTGGAACCTTAGACACATTCAATAGGATTCCTAGACAACTTTCTTATTTGATCTTAGTTTCATCTTCAAATTATGGGGCTTATGGTTTTCTATAACTTAATTTAGTATGGAAACAAAGGAATTATTATTCTAACAATTCTTATTCTGTTAATTTATTAATAAATTATTCTTCATCAACTTCCTTAGTATTGAATTATGGCCATAAAGAGAGTTTGCCTCCATGTTTACAATTCTTGGTTGTACATTTAAAATTATTAGCAGCTTAAACTGCCTTTTTAATTTAGGCTAATTATTTCTCCTTTTTCTCAGTAATCTATTCTTCAAATAGAAAGGCTGACAACTATAATAATATGGATTGAATAGTGTAAGAACTAGACCATCCTGATTACTTATCCTTATCTTCTGGCTTTCTTGGTTAAAGTAAATCAAGACAAATGGAATTACCAAAAACATTTGGATGAGGTAATTCTGTGAATAGATTTATTTTAGGTGGTTAGTGTGGATAAGACTCTGGTATTAATAACTCAAAATGAAAGATTCCACCTTCATATGGAGTTCCAACAGGTCCTCTTATATTTGCATGCCAAATAAAGAGATCATGTTCAAGGGGTCTAGCAGTAACTCCCACTGTGGGAATGGACTCCTTCTCAATGATATTGAGATCCTTCAACAATCTCTTAGTAGCAAAATTTTATGCTTGAGTGTTGATGAGCGTCCTTAAAACTGCAGTATCCTTAGATTTACCTTATTTAATCATTATATTTTTTACAAAAATTATTAAATCTTTTTATTCCCTGATGTAAAAATTTCAATATAAAAATTTTATTTGCAATTATATGGATTAAAAATAAAATGAAATGGAAATGGCTATGGTACATTTAGCCAAACCAGAAATTAATGACTAAACAGATGAATACAAGGTTTACACAAGGAGATATATAATGGCATCATTTTTTGCATTTTCCACAGTATTTAATATCTAAAGTTTAAGATCTGTTCATCAATGATGTTTTCAACTTGTAATCCAATAGCATCAGTTCTGTCATCTATATATGAAATACCAACATTTATAATATCATTAGCTGCTAATGGATTTTTATTAATGCATCCTCTCTTGACTTTTGTATGTAATTCAATCAATCTTAAAAACAGAAACATTTATTGTCAATTAAACAGATATATCAGTTAGTCTTAAAATAGGATGTGCATTAACATTACTAGGTGCATTGATCAGAACTACAACAGTTATAACAGAAAGGTTGCATAGATTTACTAAAATATAGATTTTATACTATTATTTTGGGATCACTTGTTGCAGGAATGGGAAGACCCTTTATTATCAATATTTAAGCAAATGTTGCTAAAGAATGGTTCAGACCAGAAGATAAAACTACAGTTATGATTGCCTTTTCATTCATTATTACATGTTCAAGTGTATTTGGGTATATTTTAAATTATAATTAGTGTAATAATACCTGGCTAAATGTTCAAAGGTTATAAATATGAAACAGATCCTGAAGATGGTAAATGGTTAACTGGAAAATTGATGGTTGTTGAATTAGAAATCTTTAGTGCTATTTTAATACCTGCCATTTTTTTCTTTAGACCAAGTCCACCTACTCCACCTGGTCCTATCAATAAATCAAGAGATGAATTTACTTATATGTAATCGTTGAAAATGACAGCAAATAATAAAAATTTTGTAACTTTTTTAATATCAATATATCTAATTAGATCCTATTGTTTATATGTTATAGTCTATTGATGGGTGGGTTTCATGCTCTAGCTGTTGTCATTTCATACCTTTTTAATCCATTTGGTTTTACTCCCTCTTAAACTAGTTTCATATGTAAATTATTTAGATTTTTACAGTTTAGAAAGTTCTCCTATTATTTGTGGATTTGTTAGTTCTGTTATGTATTCTATATTAATAAGAAAATATCATTTGAATCATAAGAAAATAGTTTTATTTAATTTAATCCCAGTATTAGCTAGTTTAGGATTGAGTTACTTTGCATTAATGACTGAAAGTTTACCTCTTGTTTTATCATGTTATTCAGTATTATAATTTATTTTAATAGGTTCTTGGCTTTTTTGTGATTCCTTGCATACCATTATAACTTGAATTAGCATGCAAAGTCTTACATCCTATAAATTAAACTATAGCAGTAGGATTTTTATTAGCAGGTGTTCATATATGGAGTTTTGTATTTGGCGAGATTCTCTCATTAATAACTCATGATTAAAATAAGTATATTTTTAATATAATTATTAGAACTCAAGCTTTTTATGGATGTTTATTATTATTTTTATCTTTTCTAGCTGCTGCTATTTGTTTCTCTAGAGTTCAATTACCTAAAGATGAGGGAGAAAATACTTCAGTGAACCAATCAATTCAGGAAGGAATATGAATATTTTCTATAATAATTTGTTTTAATTCAAAATTTTTTTAATTCAATTCCCATTATAATTTTATATTATAATTAAATCTTTTGACTCACTATAATGCAAGAAATGTTACTAAAACGTTCTTAATAGGACTTAGACTTAAAAGATCTATATGATAATAGTGGAAATAAAACTTAAAATTACAATAATTAAATTGATGATTCTGTATAAGAATAGGTCTAAATTAATAATGAGAATCATTAGCAAGGATGTATATAATTCTTATAAAGAAAAAATCTAAAAAATTTTTCCTTTCGTAGAAATGAGAATTAAGATAATGATAATGACTATGAAAATGTTTAAAAATATGAATGTCACTTAAAAATCGATTCACTTAAAAAGTGAGTTAATATCCGGGAAAGTAAAGAAATATTAATATTATTCTAATCATTGTTTGCTAAACGATTAGGATTTTATTAATGAATATAATCATTATACAAATTAAAAATTAAACTTCTTAAATTATTTTTGTACAATAAAGATACATCAGACTACTAAGCTAATTTAATTAATTTTCTATATCTTATGTTAAATTGTTCATATCTATTTAAATAATATTAAGTTTAATTTAATAACTTCAAGTATTAAAAAAATAACAAAAATTATTTATTTATAAGAAGATGCAATCGTTTATTATTTTATAATAAAGTGAAATAGATTAAAATAGAACAATTCTAAAGTTAAAAATTGAATTAAATCAAGAAATGCAATTATATTCTTCATCTAATTGAATTATGTAATATTCTTATAAATTTTGATTTATTGAAGAATGTAAATTAATTATTTGATAAGTCTTAGAGGATATTTTAGGCTTTATTTTAAATTGTATGTCAGGTATTTCAGAAACATCCTTTTCTATTATTTCACTGCAATAACACTAATTTTATGGATTTTTTTCATTATTTTCTTATTTCAAATCTTTTACATTAAAATAATGCTAATTAATACGAAACGTATCCTATGATCTTAATTAAAATGATTTCTATTAAATTTTTTTCCAAGTTCCTATAATAACATTATTTTGATACCATATTTACTCTTTAATATTTCATTATTTGGATAATTGTATTTTCCATCATATAATCTCCATACACCTTATTAATAATTTACATAAAATTGATAACTTATATAATTTAAATTTATTTACTTATCAACTTATTCACAATTAATTCTATGAGTTCCTGGTAAATTATAGGTGCCTCCAAATTAATAATTCTCTCCTTCATGTCCATAAATAGCTATGAATTTAACATTTTATATTTCTAAAATTAATAATGGATTTAGTATAAAGGCTTAATACTAATAAATTAATAAAAATTGTTTAATACAAATTCATTATATTATTGCACTTCATCAACATCATAAGCATCTAAAAGTCTTCTCAAAATAATTTAAACTGAATATGCTATTCCAATAATATCAGTTTTAAATTTTCTTAGAAATTCTTAAATATTTTTTAAATTAACTTCTAAATTCATATCCAATAATTCACATTAAACACATTTTACACAATGAACAATCATTTTTAAATCATTACCTAATATAATTTCATCATTTTTATAAAGTATATTTCTTTCATCATCACTATGTAACCAAATCTAAGAATGTATCATAATAGCATTTACTTAAACCATCTTTTCTCTTCCAATATCTATTATACAATTAGGCTTTTCTGTTACAAATTATTTGATTAATTTTATAGCTGTAATTGGTACAACTATCTCAAGATGCTTTATAATAAATAAGAACATAATAAATGAATAGGATAATTTTTTTAACTATAATTAATTATTTTATATACTTGTTTCGTAAGTAGACATTATATGATTTCACAACCAGGAATTACATAATCATTTGGAATTATTGCAAAATCTTAAAACTCTAATTTTTCTAATGATCCAAATACAAATTTATCATCCACTTATATATTCTTTTTTTATTTTAAATCCCGAGTTTCTATGTTCATAATATTAATACATAATGACTAATTCTTAAATATGCTTAATAGACAATACAGTTACTATTGTTATAATTATGGCTTAAAGATAACTAATCTGATTTTACATATTAGCAACCAATAAACTTTTTGAATTCCTATTTGAATTGGACTTAAGACAATTTAAGGAATTCATCATTTGTAGTATTATTTACTTTTTTCATCATTTAATAATACCTGAAGGAAATTAAGAATATGTTGTAGCAAAAGTATATTCAACAGGATCTATACTCTCAATTATCTATTATTCTTTTAAAATCATATCAATAATTAATTAAAAATATTTAATACTAAAAATGCAGCAATTGTATCAACTCCTCCTTTCATAATAAGAAAATCTCACTGAAATAACTTATTCTGTTGTATATAGAAATTAATACGGATTATATGGATTGGATAATAAATTCATTAACTCAACTTAAATATCCAATCATAATTCAATTAAATGTATGGCTGTCTCAAAATATAGTATTGTGGTATTTAATATATATTAAAATATAGTCTGGAGGAGAATTTGGAATTGAACATTGGGGAAATAAAAACTTTAATATTCAATTGAGAGTTTAATCAATATCATTCTCTCCAGATTATGAATATATAATAATATCATCAGCAAAAGAGACCTACTTATTGTCAACAAAAACATAAAATTTTGTTAAGACATTTCCTCATGATGTTAAATTTGATTCAACAGGATCTCTATGTTTTTGCAAAGGAATAGTTTATGAAACAGCAACTTTTTAATAGCTAAAATAATTTAAATGTCCAGAGTATGGAGACTTTACTATTTCAATTTAAAGGGATTCATTATATTTATCATCTGTTACATTAATAAAACATTTAGAAGACTTAAAAGATTGTCGACTTATTATTGATAATTATGATACTAATAAACATTTCGAACATTCAATTCCTCCCTCGAATGAAGTTAAATAGTTATGGTCAGATGATGGAAAAATATTATTAATTTGGTCATAAACATTAGATGATCACACAAATTAGAGTTATTTTGGTACTCATCATTTAAATCATTGGACAGAAGATAAATTATAAAATATAGAATTATTTGAAGGACCTATTCATGATGTATAATGGGTTTAGAATGGATTTATAGTTATAACTGGATATATGCCAGCAGGTGCAATTCTATTTAATAAATCAGGAGAAAAAGAATATTTAATATTATAAGCTCATATAAATACAATCTTTCCTAAAAATAATTTAGTAGCTCTTTGTGGTTTTGGTAATCTGACCGGTGATATATATATTTATGAAATGGATACTCTCAAAAAGGTAGGTTAAACTAAATAAGACAAAGTAGTATAATTTGAATGGAGTCCAAATGGAGAATATTTTTTATTAGCTACAACATTTCCAAGATTGAGAGTTGATAACTAATTTATAATATGTTCTAAATTTGGTGAATTTTTACATAGAGAAAAATTTGAAGAATTACATGAAATTAAATGGGTTAATGATACTAATTTAGATATTAAAATCAATATAATAGAGGAAGTAAAATAATCAAAGTAAATTAATCTTACAACTGGAGTTGGTATTTTAATTTAATATAATATATAGATTTTATTAAATAAATGAAAGAAACTAAGGTTAATGATCAACCTAGGAAATTATAGAAAGATGAAAAATTATCTACATTAAGAGCTTCTCCTTAAAATTAATAAAATGTTTAATTAATCTAAAGTAATGTACCTTCTAAACCTGCACCTTAGAAACAAATATTTATGAGAAGATAAGAACCTATTATTTAATAACCTACAGCTGAAGAATTAGAATAATAACATTAGCAACACTTATAATAATAATAATAGATGAAATTAGAAAAAAAATAAAAATAAAAACATAACAAATAGATGAATCATCAAAATCATAAATAAAAATAAAAGTAAGTTCCTCAAAATGAATTTTAATATGAGCCAAATCAAGATATAGGATAGAATTGTTATCCTATATGGCAGGATTGATTAAATATATCGATATACAAATAAAATTGATCAAAATATATCCATTACTTCATGTTTTTCTGTCCAATAATTCCCTTTATATACATATCCTTTAGTTTTTGTATCAATATCTTCTTTTATCTCAAAAAATTTTGGAATATGAATTTCTTTTCTTTAATCCATTATTCTTTTTCTCTCTCTTTACTTCTCTTCAATTCTTACTTTTTCATTTTATCCAAGTTCTTTCCAACCATTTTCCAAAGCTGCTATATCTGGTCTTAAACGTGAATCTGTACATGGTATTTCCTTATATAATAAATTAATTTAAAATACAAGTAAAGTTTATTTATTAAGATAGTTTGCTTACATCATTAAAGGAATATAATTATAATAATAATATGCTTCTTAGCCAGGTATTATTCGTTACCAAAGTAATTCATCACCAACGTATAAGGATTAATTATAAAAACCAGTAATTTTGTATCTTAAGTTCTAATTACAATCTCTGACTTCAGCATTAACTTAAGTGAAATTCTATATAATTAATTATATATAACATACTTAACCTTCACCATACTCTCTTAAATCAACTATACCAATATCTCCTGTCTAATGATTAATATACTTTATCTTTCCGACATGTTCAAAATATCTTTCTCCAAATATTAGATTCTTAACAAGCATATTTGGCATATCAAAACTATAATGTTCTTTATATTTTCTTAAATAAAGGTGAGATTTTCCTATCATTGCTATTTTTATATTAGTTCCTCCAAATCCTATTTATGAATCATTCTATGCCCAAAATTTAAAATCTCTTCCTTCACAATGTACAGCTGATATTGGAGGATGATGTGATACTTATTCACATACAATACAATAATCAGGAGTTAAAAACTCAAAAGTTTCTCCTAAGAGTGGATTAAATGGTTTTTTTTGATTATCCAATGAAGATGTACATCGAGACAACGTAAATGCAATAATATGACACATTCTTTTACAAGAATCATCACATTAACTAGCTTTCTTAATTTAATCAAAATAAGCAAATTGTTATACAATCAATTGTAAAACTGACATTGGTTAATGAAATATCACTTAAATTATAGTATTAAAATATACAAGGAAATGGAATTCTTGTTAAATCTTTTCCAATGCATGATTTAAGAAATGGTAAAATACAAAATTTTTCTTTGGGATCCTATTTATATGGTAAATGTGTCCTTTCAGGTTCGTCTGTTATGTGTATTTAAGAATAAACAGGACTATTGATTAGATTTTTCTAGTTTATTGATAAATATCTACATATTTGATTGGCTAGGTATGTTTAATTGATTCTAAAATGCTTTAAAGAGATTATGTTTTTTGGGAAATATCAAATTCTTAGACTTTCATTTATATTTATTTTTGAACTTTATTAATTGGAATTACAATATGCTTTTGATTAAAATTTTCAGAAACACTATCATCATCATTAATAAATCTTTCCTATTCTTACTTTTACAAAGTAAATTCCAAAGTTAAAAATGTCTTTAAATTCTAAAGAAGATTATACAATTTTGTTGTTATTTCATACTAAATTTAGGAACAATTAATCTAAAGGGTATTCAATGTTTCATCAAATGTTGCAAATGTAACCCAGATTTTTGAAAGTAAATCATTATATGGCTTTCAAAATTTTATACTTTGTTTTTTTGTGAGCTCTCTTATGCAAATTTTTAATGCATTTAACCAATCTCCAAATTAGGTTTGAGAATTTGCTGTTAATTTTAATTCATTTGTTCCTGATTATATCACAATCACAAAAGGATCTTCTTCAACTGTAAAAATTACAGATATTTTCTATATAGATTATATTTTAAATCACTGAGAAATATATAATCAAATAATTCAATTAATTTACAATTTAACATTTAAAATATCATAGATATATCTTATTTATAAATTAATTATATAAGATAATATATTTCATCTTTATTAATTCACAATTACTATATCTCTAATTTTATAATTTTTTCAATTTTAATCAAAAATAAATTAAAAATTCTTTTTTATAAATATATTTTTCTACTAATCTATATTATACAAGTCTTATTTATTAGATCATTTTATCAATATGAATGTAAAATAAAATAAAAATTTAACTTCAGTTTTAATGCTCAATTTACCTTTCGATAAATGGAGTTTAAAGTTTTACGATCCAGAATTCGAATCTCAATATGAGGATCACTTAAATAAAATTAGATTGGTATCCTTTCGTATACTAAACCTTACTATAAGTATTGCTGCATTTATATGCCTTTTAACTTTTATCATTCAATAATAATCTCAACTATTGTTTTTACTAATGACATTTACATTAGGGGGATGTGTCTTTTTATTAATTATCAGCAGAAAAATCTTACCTTATTTAAAATCAGTATTTTCATTTTACTACATATGGGCAATAACAACTAACATTCTTATTGCTTTTGCTGGCTTTTAAATGTAAAGTTACATCTATAATTTAGACCTAATTTTATATTTGGCTTCAATACATGTACTTTAGCAATTGGTACAATGTAATATAGTGATAATAGGCTTAAAGTAGTATATACTATAATTACTCCATTTGTATTATTGGGGGTATTCGATGTATATAGAGCTGATACTTTAGCTTTTGTTTTTTAGACTGTTTCATGTACTACTTTTATTGGAATTTGGGGATATATGAATGAGTATACATCTAGACTTGCTTTTTCTCTAAATCTAATTTCAAATAAACAAAAGTATGTATACAATTGTAATTAAGAAATTTGATCAATGAATTTGTAAATGATGGTATGTTTGCATTAAGTTTAGATAAAAGAAGTAGATAATTTATTTTAGAATTTTAGAATAACAGATTTATGGAATTAATGAATATTAAAGAAACAGAAGAAATTAAAACATTTTTAAGATCTACCTTTATTATTGTGAAATCAGTTGAAAGTTAAACTAAATTAAAAGATAAAAACTAAACAAAAGTTATAAATTTAGAAGATGTTTTTTTCTAAAGAATGTAGAGTTTTGAAAAATCTTTAAATTAAATAGATTAATAAGATAGTAATTTAGAAATTTATTAACATGATTTGATTAAAAATGAAACAATTAAAATGTGCTTACAATTAAGATTTCTAAATTTCGGTAAACCAATTATTATTGCCATTATAAAATCAGAATAAGTACCTAATTTAATTCATAAATATGAAAGCTAAATCAAATAATATCAATAACTTATTATAAATATGTCTAATAAAATAATTAAAAAATAATCACTTCTTTATGGAGAAATGAAAAAATTAAAACTTGAAAACTTAACTGAATAATAAAAATTAATTTAAATAGAATGCCTTAATTTATCTATCATTAATTATATTCGAAACTATATGTTGTTTTTTTAAAAAAATAAAATATTTGATATGAGATTGATTCTATAAGCTTGTAAATTTGATAATTATATAGCAATTATTAATCAATACTTTCAAGCAATATCTACTCATTATTCTATTTAATTTAAACTTCAAAATTATATTGATCGAAACTGTACTTTTAATATAAATATTAAATATCTTACTTAGATCTTAATTAATATATTTGATGAATTGATTAAAAATACAAATGAAAATAATCTTATTAGTTTGAGAATAATTGAGGAATTTTAACAAAATACTAATGAAAAATAATAAGAAATGTAAGGAATTAAAAATAATAAATCAATAACATAAATTAAATTGGTTCAATTCACATTCATTTTTTATAGTAATGAATACCTTAATTTAAGAAATCTTACTTTTAATAAGAATTTTACTAATAATGATTAATAATATAATATTTTTGAAGATGGTTCAATTATTTCAGAAATTACTAGCTTGCTTTTAGATAATATAGGTCCAAATAATAACATATAGATTAATCAATATCAAACAGCTTAAATACCTTCATATTAGAATACTATTTCGTTCTTAATATATTCTGATTAATCCTAATTAGAACCATCTTATTTAAAGGTTAGAGAAAAACCTTTATTTAAATGATAAAAATTAATAATATTTAACTTAGAATCTGCTATTAATTTTTGTTAAAATATCATATATTTAGTTCATTGTTGATTATACAGGATAGTTCGAATCTTTGCATCAATATATATAAGCAATTATGTTAATGATAAACTGTGAATAACTTCAAAGTAGGGTTACTTTTAAAATCTTGCTTCCTCTTATATTATATATTTTCTAAAGAACTCTTCTATTTTTAATGCATCTATGACATTATTTAAATGACAGGCAAGTATAAATTTTAATTGTTATTCTTATACTTCTTGATCTATGTATTGTCGTAATTCATCAATATAATTGATTACTGTATTTTATTCAAATTATTATAATTTTACTTAACCTTCTATTAGACCTTGATTGAATTAGCTACCTAGCTCAAGAGCTTAACTGAAATATATTTTCTTTATTTTTTCTTATTCACTTGGCATTACTTTACTATAATTATATGCTAATCTAGTGAAAACAAGTCCTGTCAATCTACAATTATTCGAAATGTTTAAATCTAACAAAGCTGAAACAACATTCATTAGAAATATATATTTGTTTCTTTCCTATTAAATTTCATTATTAAAGTACATTATATAAAAATATTTATTAATATATTATATAAAAAATTTCAATATCTTTTAAGAAATCTACTTGGCAAAGATGAAAAGTTGAAATTTGATATCATTTACTATCCATTTTTTAAATTTAATAGTACATCATTTAATGATTATGATAAATCTATTCTACTACTTGATGATTCTACTATATTTTCAAAAGGGCTTATAAATAAATTCAATAATTCTTGGCCTAAATATTTTAATTAAATAAAAGCATCCAAACTTTATAAAGCTTTTCCAGCAATCTAATATTTTGAACCAAAACTTTCTTAAATATTTTCTATTATTTATTATTAAACATCTTTTAAATCTCCTTTACATTATATTTCAGTATCCTTCAAAGTTATTTATAAATTACAAAATGAACTTATTTTTAACAATCCTTTTAATAAACCATCAACTTTTAATCCTTATGAATCATATGTAATATTTAATCTAGTTTAATTTATTTATAAACTTTTCAACCATATAATTGGTAACACATCTTAAATTATTTCTATTTCATCTTAGTTAATTTTTTACTCAATAATTGTATTATTAGACATGAAATTAAGTATAAACTAGAGTAGAGATCCAGATATATATATTTTCATAGGAACCATTGAAATAAATCCTGTATATGCTTGATTTTCTATAATCAATCCAAAATTTAATGGAGAATTATCTTGAAACTCAAACTCCTAAAAATCAGGACACAAAACTAGTTTATGATAACATTTATCAATTTTATCTTATATCTCAAAATTAGATTTATACCGAATCCCAATTTGACCTTCTTTATACATCTCAACTTTAAGAAAACATTTTGTAAGATTAAAACAAATTTTATTTGAATCTTAACTTTAATTAAATTAATCATCCTATTCAATATCATCATCATAAATGAAATCAATTTCATAATATGTTACTCCTTATTCTAATTCTATACTTATATATCCTACATTTAATTCATAAATTTTATCAATAATCTTCTAATTAATTAGTTATTAATTGAAATCTTAAGAAATTTTGTATTATTCCTCTGAAACTTATTTATTTTTTTAAGGTATTAATTTTGACAAATCTTTTGTAATCTACATAATTGATTGTATTATATCATATTTAAAATTACCTATAATTTACTCTATACTAATTTCCTCATCTTTATATTTTACATTTTTTATTCTTAATTAAGAACCAAATTATAAAATATGAGATTTGTTATCAAAAAAACCATTTAAAATTAATGGAAATTGTTTTTCAATTTTATTTTATTCAATAAAGTACATATCTATATTACCTAATTCTATAATTGAACATATTTTTGAATTATTAACTTTAAGTAAAATTCTACTGTTAGAATACACAAATTAATTTTAAAGGTGATTTTAATCAGAGAATATTTCTACTGAATTTATAGGAAAAACATCAATAAATATATCTTCTTCTAAAATTATATTGTTTTATTAATCTTCAAAACTACTCTCATCAATTATTTATGCTCTACTAAGCCAATTTTATTCCATCTAATCCTAAACTTCTTTATACTAATTAAAAAGTTCTTCCATTTTTTTAAAAGATTTAAATTAAAAATCTGGAATTCTTAAACATAGATTTTTCATCTTAATAGTTGTAGTTTATTTAAAATATACTTAGATTATATATTTTTTATAATCTATTAACAATGGGTTATTTGATATTTCAATTTAATCATTCTTTATTTTTTATTCAACTGAATTAATTTCATTTTTCATTCTATATAAAATAATTTAAGCAGATTCAAAATTTTTATACTTTTACTCTCCATTTTAAGGGATTAGACTTTAGGAATCAATAGCTATGATATCTTGTATTAAAATCAAAATTGATTTAACTTTTACTATATTTACTGTTTTAAGTTCTAAATAAAATAAATTATTCAAACATTTATCTTATATTCCAATGCAGGCTTAATTTATTTTCAGTTGGTAATAGTGTCTTTATGATTTTTTCTTTAGATTCTATGTTTATTAGCTTATTAATTTTTATTAATATTCTTATAATGATATCATCCATTAAAGAAAATTATAGGAAAGTTATAATTCTAAATTTGGAATTAATCCACTTATTATTAAGTCACATTTTTATTTTTTGTAATTAAATAAGTTTTCTAATTCATTAAATCTATCCTTTTTTATTTATTTTATATCTTTCATAACAATATAAATTGTTGGACATGTATTCTTGTTATTAATATTACCTTAATCTATTCTAAGTAAATTTTCCTCTTAAAATTTTAATTCAATTTAATTAAAAACAATAATTATTAATTTTATAGGATTATCGAAATATTGAATTTCTTCAAAAGGTTCTAAAATACATGTTTTTAGTTCGATTATTTTAGTTGGCTTTTATTTAAATGTAATTCCTTTGGATTTAAGAGTGAGTGTTTAATTGTTTATTAAGTAACTTAATTTAATTTCAGGGACATTTATTTCAAATCCATACATAGAATCTTTTTTTTGTTAGGGTAATTGTTGTATCTTATTTTTTGGTAGATATGTCATTAAATTAAATATTGATTCATGTCTGAATGAAGCTACAATTTAAGAAAATTCAGCTTTTACTGAGTAAAATAATTTTTTATTTTTGCACTTTAATACTGAAATATTTAAATCAATTGCATTCTTATTGTCTGATTGTAATTAAAGAGAATTCTCATAATTATATATTGAAAAATCACATTCAATATTTTACATATTATGTTATCCTATTACAACCACAGGAGTAACAAGGAATACTTATTTTTATATAGGTNGATTTTTCATCTTAATAGTTGTAGTTTATTTAAAATATACTTAGATTATATATTTTTTATAATCTATTAACAATGGGTTATTTGATATTTCAATTTAATCATTCTTTATTTTTTATTCAACTGAATTAATTTCATTTTTCATTCTATATAAAATAATTTAAGCAGATTCAAAATTTTTATACTTTTACTCTCCATTTTAAGGGATTAGACTTTAGGAATCAATAGCTATGATATCTTGTATTAAAATCAAAATTGATTTAACTTTTACTATATTTACTGTTTTAAGTTCTAAATAAAATAAATTATTCAAACATTTATCTTATATTCCAATGCAGGCTTAATTTATTTTCAGTTGGTAATAGTGTCTTTATGATTTTTTCTTTAGATTCTATGTTTATTAGCTTATTAATTTTTATTAATATTCTTATAATGATATCATCCATTAAAGAAAATTATAGGAAAGTTATAATTCTAAATTTGGAATTAATCCACTTATTATTAAGTCACATTTTTATTTTTTGTAATTAAATAAGTTTTCTAATTCATTAAATCTATCCTTTTTTATTTATTTTATATCTTTCATAACAATATAAATTGTTGGACATGTATTCTTGTTATTAATATTACCTTAATCTATTCTAAGTAAATTTTCCTCTTAAAATTTTAATTCAATTTAATTAAAAACAATAATTATTAATTTTATAGGATTATCGAAATATTGAATTTCTTCAAAAGGTTCTAAAATACATGTTTTTAGTTCGATTATTTTAGTTGGCTTTTATTTAAATGTAATTCCTTTGGATTTAAGAGTGAGTGTTTAATTGTTTATTAAGTAACTTAATTTAATTTCAGGGACATTTATTTCAAATCCATACATAGAATCTTTTTTTTGTTAGGGTAATTGTTGTATCTTATTTTTTGGTAGATATGTCATTAAATTAAATATTGATTCATGTCTGAATGAAGCTACAATTTAAGAAAATTCAGCTTTTACTGAGTAAAATAATTTTTTATTTTTGCACTTTAATACTGAAATATTTAAATCAATTGCATTCTTATTGTCTGATTGTAATTAAAGAGAATTCTCATAATTATATATTGAAAAATCACATTCAATATTTTACATATTATGTTATCCTATTACAACCACAGGAGTAACAAGGAATACTTATTTTTATATAGGTTTACAACTAAAAAATATTTCAGAATTTTGAGCTGAATTAATAGATGATCTAAGATTAAATTTAAATGGAGGGCTGGTCAATTTGATTCTATACGCTGCCATTCTTTATATATTTAATCTAAAGCACATTTAATTATATTCTGTAACTATATCAGTAATCTCGATAAAAAAATGAGATTCAAGATCTTAAAAGAATTTATCTCTGACTAAAGGAAAATAATGTGGGTTTTCACATACAGCAAGTTTAATTCCTTAAAAATGGCATTTAAATTATTCTTTTTAATTTTTCATGTTTTAATCTAAGGAACAATTTGTTCCTTCTTCATCTAAGTATAAGCTTTGTAAAATTTCTTATGACGAATTATTAGAAAAGGAATTTAATTCTTAAGACTTCAAAAGTTCAATATTTAAAACTTCAAAGTCTTTTATTTCAAAAAGTTAAAAATTTCTTTTATCTTTTTAAGCTAAAACTGAAGCTTAAGCTTAATTTTAAAGCATAATTAAGGTCTTATTTGTTTGATCTAATTTCGATCCATAACTAGTGAATGATTTTATAATTGTCTTTATCTATTTTTTGTTTAATACTAAATCAAGGTAAGAAACTAAACAATTTATTTTTAATTTAACTTAATTATTGTCTTTTGTTTCTACGATCATCTAAAGTTTCATAGCCTTCTCCATAAGTACTATTATTTCATTTTTTATCTTTAATTCTATCAAATCAATAATCGTAGTTATGTTTAGTATATTACTTATATTAAAATAAAATAAATACTTCGTATTAGCTTTGTTCAATTCTAAATTAATACCATTAATTAGAATTTCATATTAAATTCCCTGTTCAAGTTTTACTAATATTTATATATTTTTTATAGAAATTGAAAGATTACTAAGTAAAGTATCAGCCAGACTTAAAAAGCACATTAATCCTGCTCCAACAGTTTAAGGCTAACCTTAAATTTATTCTAGCTGATTTCTTTTATACACTTCTTACCTTAATTTTTAAAGATAGTTTATTTTAGCACTTTCATACTACCGAAGTTCTATTAGATTCTATAAATACTGTTTTAGTTCATCTTCAGACTTTTCTCTTAATACTAAAATGAATGTTATTTTTTCGGCTTCGAATTTGAGATTAGATATTTTTATGGATTCTTAAAAAATAGCATTAATATGTTACTTATGTAAGCATCTTCGAAATTAAATGGATTGCATCCCAATAATTGATTAAAATATTTTATATTTAATTACAACTTATCTATACCTTTAATTAGTGTAATTATATTTAATTATTAAGGGTCTTCCAAATAGTCTCCTAAAAAATTTGAAAGAAATAATTGAGATGTTTCTGAAAAACTATTCAAAAAATAATCCTTTATAGGTTTAAGCCATTCTTTAAATCTTTACATATTTTTAATTATTAAAATAATTTATTAACAATATATGATTTAAACTGTTTTTGATAGAATATTCAATCTATCCTATCTATTAAATTTTAATATGCTTTCCTGATAATTTCATTTGTCATTCTTAGTTAAGGAATAGTATAAACTTATATATTATTATTATTAATTGATATTTTCTTGTTTTAAAATAAAATAAAAATTGAATTAGTACAATCATGTTAAATTTAAATAAGTTTATAATATGAATTTAATTTCTTTAATTTTAAATGTTTATATTAATAAACTTTAATTATATTATTGATAAAAAACATAAATGAAAAAATTGAATATAAGTTTTAACATTAAAAAAAAAGTACTCAATTAAAATTATTTTCCTTCCAATATATTTAACTTAGTTTATCTCTTATTAATGAAATATACATTTTAAACACTATGTATTTCGATAAACTAATCTCTTGAATTTAGTCTCAATATGTAAATAATACTATCTATTAAAGAATTTAATTTTATAGTTTATAAATTTAATTTATATTAGAATTTCTCATTATGAAAGAAAACAAAAAAAATGATATATTTTATTTATAAAAATTCTAAAAGAAATTATCTGAAAGATTTTACGAAAAGCATTTATTTTATCCCTCGATTTTATTATTTTTATCATACATCAGTACCTAATTTTAAAGAAATTAAAGGCTGAAACTTTAGAATTAATTATAATGAATTAAAAACCAATATTACTTTTAATATTTATAACTTATGTTCATTTTGAGTGTGCTAGAGGGGATGGTCTTATTGTTTTATGTAGGATATTTGGTTAGAGAATACTCATAATAATAAGTACCATTCTATGTGAAATTGTTAACATACATTTCATGGATCCTTTCATTTGGAATTGTATTTATCATACCTCATGACATCTATTACACAATTAATGATTATGGGGATGGCTATGAATATACTGTAATATTATGGAAATGGATATATTGGGGGAACTTCATATTATGCTGGTGATATTTATTCATTTATTCGTTTTAGGCTAATATTACCAATTTGTTAGGAATATGAAGATGCAGGAGAATTCAGTTGTAAAGACAAATTGATAAGATCTTTTAAGAACAATTTAATTATTTATGCTTATTTTTTATTGTTTGGTTTAATCTTTATTGCCTACCTAGCTATATTTAACAAATTGGACTTTAATTCAATTTTAAAAGTGTTAGTAGCTTTGGCTTATGCATTGTATTTATAAATTATAATCAAAGTGGCATCTTGTTAGTAGTTATATTGTTAGGACATGGTTTAGTTGCAATCCCAAGAGAATACTGGAGGAAAGCACAATATGAAAAATGCTTAAAAGCACTTTATTTAGAGGCTGCCCAAATCAATCATACTATTTAAGAACTTTACATCTAATTATTCAATATGACTATTGAATTGATATAAAATAAATAAAGCAATCAAAATTAATAATGTATAGATTATATATTGAATGAAGTAAAATAAATATAGATATAAATTTTTAGATCCCTTATGAAATAATTGAGGATGCTTCTCATAAGATATTGGATACTATTGAAGTTAAATAACTATCATCTTTTTGTGAAATTAATAAGAAAGTTAAAAAGAAAGCTGCAGAATATAAGAGAGCTTAAACTAAATGGGATCATATTTGCACTGAATGCTTTCTCTTAGAAGACATGATTGATAATGAATTTAGTGTGCATTACAAAATTAGATCAACTCTACGTTATCCAAAGACTGGTTAATTTGGTCATTATATTGATATAGTAGAATGGCTATGGTACACTAAGATAAAGAAGGCTTATTTATTATCATTGTGTGTGATTTTCTCAATATTATCAAGCATTGTAATATTATCAGAGATATCATGCTTTACAGAATTTGACTTTAATATTCTTAGTAGAATAATTAATGTGAATGGATTCATGCATACATAGATATCAATTTTGATTCCTTTAATGTATATATCTTTTTGTGCTTTTTATGGACTATTTCACATTAATTTTGCTGGAATGTATGGGTTTTATAATCACTAATAAACTGATGCACCTAGTTTGATGTTTGGTTCAATGTAAATATAATATTGTTAATATTATTAGTAATTTTTCAAGAGTATCATTTCCTTTAACCTTCAATTTTTTACAAATGATACATATTTAAGGCACTCCTTTTGAAGATGTAGTTGGCAATATGGATACTAGTTCTGTATTAGGGATGTCTTTTTCATATTCATTACCTGTATTGTTGATAATGGCATCAATTTTCAATTTCTTTGAAGTTTATGATAAAATTCTTTAAGTTGTTGGATTACCTTAATTCAAATTTTCGTAAACTTAATTCAATAGTGAAGAGGGAGAGCGATTAATTTGCAAAGCAAGGGTGAAGAGAGAGAGAGATATATTGAATAAGGTTAATATAAAGTTTTTGGATTAATGTGAAATGCGGGAATTGGATAGCAGAATGATTTAATTTGTATGATAATTATTTAATGTCTCAATAATTTGTGGGAATAAATGGGGAATAAACAGGTCTTGGATTTACAAATAGGGATTAAGGTGCCAAAGTTGAAGAGGATCAAGGTTTGATTGATTTTTAAATTATAACTAATAATGGTAATCATGATAAAATGAAGATGTTAATTGACTTAAAAAATATATTTGCTCGTTAACTTCCTAAAATGCCAAAAGAATATATTGTTAGATTGGTATTTGATCGAAATCATGAATCTATGTGTATCATAAAAGTATGTAATTATTTATTAATTAGGATGATACAAAAGTTATAGGAGGAATCTGTTATAGAAAATATCCCACTTAAAGATTTGCTGAAATAGCTTTTCTTGCAATTACAGCAAACCTGTAAGTCAAAGGGTATGGAACAAGATTAATGAACAAATTTAAAGAACATATATAAAAATAGGATGTTGAATATTTGCTTACTTATGCAGATAACTATGCTATTGGATATTTTAGAAAATAGGGATTCTATTAGGAAATAAAAATGAATCCAGATAGATGGAAGGGGTTTATCAAGGATTATGATGGCGGAACATTAATGGAATGTTATGTACACCCTAGTATAGATTATGGAAACATTAGTGATCTGATTAGAGAATAAAAGTAGGTATTAGATTTTATAATATTAAGCTCATGATAGACATTATCAAAAAATTAACATTGAATGATCGAGTATATCCTGGTATTGAGAATCAGAACTATAAAGTTGAATCATCTAATGGAGACAGACCAGCAGTCAAACCAGAAAGTGTCTAAGGAATTATGGAGAGTGGTTGGACTATTGAAGATTATAATGAGTTAAAAAAATAAAAGGAGAAGACCTTTATGATTTCATGTTAATAGATTATAGATACTATGAGAAAGCATAAATCTGCTTGGCCTTTTCTTGAACCTGTCAATAAGGATGATGTTCCTGATTATTATGATGTTATTACTGATCCAATTGATATTAAGACTATTGAAAAGAAATTACAAAACAATTAATACACTTCAAAAGATCTTTTCATTAAAGATGTTAAAAGGATATTCACTAATTGTAGAAATTACAATCAACCTGATACAATTTATTATAAATGTGCAAATGAATTGGAGAGAACAATAGATGATTATCTTAAAAAGTTAAAAGATGAATCCTAAATACCAGGTGTTAGTAAGAAGATAAAGAAGACAAATAATAAATGAATATCATTATTTTATTTATTTATGATATTTTTGGAAACAAATAATCAAATTTAATTGAAGTGTTAATTTAGCAAAGCTATGACTTTATTGCAAAAATCCATGAATACAACAGGATGACCTCTGCATAGTTGAAAGTCAATCATATGATCATTATTATTGGTTGGCATCTATATTAATATATTTATTATATATACTTTATAAATTTAGATATTAAATATGATCTCTTTGGCTGAATATTTATTTTCTTTAACTTTAGGTTTCTTGCCGTCATCCTTAAAAGTTAGAGAAGCCAAATCATTTTTAGATCCTGTTTCTTCTACTTCTTTTTGGAATTCATTAAATAATTCCATACTCGAATTATATTTAGTCATTTTAATGAGATTCTTATGATAACATTTCAATTTATAATCAGGACTTTTTATTTTGATAACAGTATTAAATTTCTCTAGACAAGTGTAAATAGCATTTACTATTTATCTAGCTTAAAAAGGATAAACAATTGCCATAATATCTTTTGGTAATTCTTTTCCATAATCATAGGGTTAAGGCTTTTAAATTTCATTCAATAGACAATTATTAAATGATTAACCTTCAATTTATGGAATTTAAGGATTAAATATTAAATCATGCATAGTTAAATTATGTAGAGTCATAGGAGTAGAAGATTCAACTCCTAATTATCCCAAAAGTAAATCATAAATAACAACAAATGATTTATCTTCTCTTTTTCTAATACTTTTTTGAATTTATGTTTATGTCATACCTCTGAAATTGACAGTTTATAACTGCATCAATTTTTCAAAGACATCTTCATTAATTTATCTACGACCTTCATCTAATTTAAATGGTATTTAAAGATAAAAAGGAACTTATGTACTTCTCATATATGGGTGAAGATGAATTTCATGAAATTTAATTCTCTTCAAAGGATCAGGTGTTAACATTCTATTAATGAGATCCCTAACTTAAGGACTGAAACTACTTGGGATTGTATAATCAGCACTTTTTATTTTTTTAAAGAGAGCTTGAGTAGTTTCTTCATCAAATGGTAAGAAACCTGCAAGTAATGCATACAATATTACTCCACAACTCCAAACATCTGCATCAGAACCACAATAAGTTTTTCCTGATATTACTTCAGGTGCAGCATAATTTGGAGAACCACATGAAGTTTTTAAATATTTTCCATCTTTCATTAAATTACTTAATCCAAAATCAGCAATTTTGACAACATAATTATGTGTAATCAAAATGTTTTCAGGTTTGAGATCACGATGAGCTACTAAATTATTATGACAATATTCAACTCCACTTAATATTTGTAAAAAGAAATTGCGAGCTTCACTTTCTGGCAATTTACCTCTTTATGCTATCAAATCAAATAATTCTCCTCTTTCTGCATATTCCATTACTACAAATATATCTCCTGGAGTGTCCAATACTTCGTATAGTTTTATTACATTAGGATGATTAAAATATCTAAGTAATCTTATTTCACGTCTTATCTTCGCACCCATTCTTGAATTTTTCATCTTCCTTTTATTAATAATTTTGATGGCCACTTATGTATTTGTTATATTATGTTTAGCCACTAATCTAGTAATTAATTCTTACATTTCACTTTTCCAAATGCACCTACACCCAATGTTTTACCTATTATATAATGTTCTATTTATAATGGAGCCTATCCTTATGATTACATTTTATTATTATATTAATTTTTAAATGAAATTAGATATTAATTGTTGTGAAGATGATGACATTATGAATTAATTGTATGCTAATTTTATTATTTCTTATTAGTTCTGAAAATGGATCGCTAATCTTCCAGGGTTTTAGATTAAATGAAAAAGGAATCAAATATCATAAGTAATGTAAAAAGGATTAAAAATAATAAAATATTACCCTCAATGACTTTCAACTTGTCACAAAATTAGGATAAGGTGGTTTTGGAAGCGTAGAAAAGGTCTAACTAAAAGGTACATAAGAAATGTATGCATTGAAAGTAATTTTATTTATTTTTATCAGAAAATTAAATTTCTATCTGATACTAATCAAGAAAAGTTATTGACTAGAGAGTTGGATGCTTTAATATCTTGTGAATCTGATTTTATTGTATAATGTTATGGTGCATTTTATTCACAAGGATATATTTGTATATGGCTTGAATATATGGATTTAGGATCCTTGGATAGGTTACTTTAAAAGGATGGACTTATCAAGGAACCCATGATGATGATGATCACTTATAAAATATTATAAGGATTAGATTATTTGCATTATAAACACAAAATTATTCATAGAGATATCAAACCACATAATATATTGATTAATTCAGAAGGAAATGTAAAAATTGCTGATTTTGGTATTTGTTAAACAGTATCAACTGGATAATATTTGAATACTTATATTGGCACAGCAATATATATGTCACCTGAGAGATTACAATCTATGAATTATGGAATGGATGCTGATATATGGAGTTTAGGTATCATGCTCATAGAATGTTTGAGTGGTCAACATCCCTTTAAGTATTGCTAATTAATTAAACAGGAAAAAGGATTACTCGTAGATTTAATAAATGAAACAGATAATGGAGTTTGATGCCGAATAATATCTATAAGAATATAATTGGCTACCTGAAACTAAAGAAATTATTTAAAAATGTTTGCATAAAGATCCTAAATAAAGACCAACTGTAAAAGAATTATTGCAAAGTAAACCAATGTAAATGGCCAAAAATATTAATGAGTAAGTATTTCATTAGTGGTTAAAACTTAAATTTAAACCATGATTAATTAAATATCTTAAATTTAATCATATATATAATTAATATTATTATGATATTTATAATTTTATAAAGAATATATATAATCAATATTATGGGTTATCTAATTATTTTAGAAATATATTAGTATTTGTATTTTTTATTTTTTTTTTTTCTATTAATAAACTTTTAATAATGATTATTCATACTAAATGATTTAATTTAGTTGTATTATTTTTTTAATGTGATAAAATATATTGATAAATTAATTTTCTCTATTTAATTCCTTTAATTAAATTTTGTCTATATAAAAATGTAAATATTATATTAAATAAATTTATGAAAATAATTTTAAGCAACATGAATAACTTTCTAAGCCTTTTTTAAGGATTAGATATAATAAGCAAAAAACTTTTATGATTCTGTAATTTTGGAAATAAAATCTTACAAAAACAATAATTTAAAAATATTCTATTTACAAATTGATGAGGATTAGAAGCGAAACTAAAAAGAAATTGAATAACTATTATATTTTACTATAAGTAGAAAATTATGAATAAAAATAAATCTAGAAAAAGAAAAATAATTGGAATTATTTAATTCAACTTGATTTAAATAAATGATAGTATATTGTATTTAAGTTATGAATTAAAAAATAATATAGTATCAAACAGTCATTTATAATTTTATTATCTATGAATTTAACAAAAATATGATCAAATTAATTGAGAAATATTTATAAAAAATTTTTGGTTAGATGTAATAATTTTGGGATATTGAGAAATTTAAAACAAAAGAACCAAATAAATTTCTTAGTTTAGGAAATTAGTTTGTTAATGAACTCAAAATAAACATTAAAGAAATTACTAATATGATTTCTAATAAAAAGTTTGGTTAATCCTTCATTCATCTTATTGAAATAAGTTGTTAAAGCAAGTATAATTTTCTATATTTATCAAGGAAAGTGGATGCTGAAAGGTTGAGTGTATCTGTGTCAATATTAAAAAATTATTTAGATGTATACTTGGAGTAGTAAGAAGGGATTATTTAAGAAAAGGATAATTTTTAATAAGAATAATAGAAATAGGCAGCTAAATTATTCATTGATATAATTTCAGCTGCTAAATTAAGCATTCACGATTGGTAAATATTCAATCAATAAGTTAAATAAAATGATCTTTTTAAAAATGAAAGTAATTTAATTATATTCTAAAATTAGTGAATAATATAGTAAATGTTTACGAAATTCCATTTGAAAGAGAGTATTGTGAATGTTAAATTGCTTGATAGATGGATTAAATTTCTTTAAATTTATATAAAAATATGATATAAATTTCTATAAATCTATAAAAAAAATTGAAAGACTTATATATTTATATAAGTATCATCCATTATCATATAGATTTCACTTTATTTTGAATGATTTGTGAATTGTTAATGCTTTTGCAAAATCAGTTCCATCTAATTCAGCTATTTTTTATTTAATTTGTTCCTATTTTAATCTTTATTTGAATATCGCATTATAATTGGTTTTATATGCACTCTATATTAGAAATACTATACTTAATATCTGTTCCTGCTTTATCAACTCTAATAGGTTTTGATAGTTTCCAATCAGGTTTATATTCATATTTAATTCTAATAAATAGTTAGAATTTAATTTACTTCATTTCTGTATTTGGTACTAATTATGCTTTAAATCTACTAAATAATGCTCGAAGACAATTCAGAACTAATTCTTGGAATTCTAATTCATCATTCATTTCTATCCAATTGTCTAAAAATAATTTAGCTAAATCATTAAGAGGTTATGCAAATTCTAATTCAGAACATTTTTTAAATTTAAACACATTATTCTAAGGTTTTAGTAATTTTTATAAATATCCAAACTCAATACCATAAGTTGTTGACGTTTAATTTTTTCTATGCATTTCTTCAGCCTTTTTAAAACTATTCAAAATTGACTGTAATAAGATTACTCTAATTCTTATTGATCTGTTAATTCTTATAATTGAATAGTTGGAGGCTTTGCTCTATAAATATCATTTAGAATTTTACCTAAATAATTTCCTTCCTTTATGTTTATAGATTGCTCCAATTAATTGGAGACCTCTTGCCTCTTTTTCATTTGCTATATAAATCCAATCTTTGTAATAATTTAGATACTCAGGTTTTATAATATAAGTCAGAATAGTAAGTGGTTCCATCCTTATTATAATAATAATAATATATTTTATTTTTTTTCAACCAGACTTTCGATTTAAATGATATAAGGAATGTTTGGAGATGTGGAAATAGCAAGTGTTTAAATAACTGAACTCAGAAAATAAAAATAACTTAGCATCAACTAACCTATAAAATAATAATCTAGATAATCATAAATATTTTAACAAAATATTTTTCAAATTGAAATTCAAAGACCAAATTTTGACTCCATACAACTCAATCATCCATTATTATCAATGGATTTACATGATATTCTAAATTCTAAATTGTAATTTTTATTCATTTAAATTAGTTTTGAGAGTAATGTTTAAACATTTAGTAAAATACTTAATAAAAATCAATACTATTTGAATGAATACTCAATTTAATAAGACTATTAAATAGCAGTAGAAAATAGAATAGATCAAAAATAAATTGTATCAATAAATGCATAAATTAAAAATAATAAGCACAATATGACATCTAAAAATGATTAATTTAGACAGACTACTATTACAAATTTGAACCAAGAAAAAATCATATCTGAATACTAAAAGCAAAATTCCTCTTGTTATCCATTTCTTAACCCTAAAATAAACTAAGATTCTTAGAAGTAAAATAATATTAGAAATTAATATAGCAATACATTAAATTTAAATGAAATTATTAATTTTTTCAAACAAAACAATTATTAGGTAGATGCCTCAACAATATAATTTTATATAGATGCATATGAAACTAAAGATCCTCATAAACTATTAGAATTGTATAAAGCAGATAAGAGTAGATGACAAGTATATTTTACATAAGAATTAATTTAAAATAATAGTAAATAAATTTATATATATCTTTTTATTCTTATTTTAAATAAATCATTTTTCATCAATATAATACTAGATTCTATTTATTTTAAAGTTTTAGATTCACGAATTTGTAATATGGTTACAATATATTTTATTAATAATTTATTGAAATTTCAAGTTTGATGAATGACTTTATATAAATCATATAAAAAGAAGTAAAGTCTGCTACAGATTAAATAGAAATGGAATCATTCATAAGGAAATTTATTTATAATTATTATCAAACAGATTAATTGGCTGATTAATTAGCAAAGGATTGTGAATATGAAAAAATCAATTAGGATGAGTAAATCACTTTATAAGAAGGAATATATTTCATAGTTGATGGTTAATATCAATTGCCTAAAAGATTTATGAAATTACCAAACTTCTTAGTTATTCCTATTCATGAAAAAGCTATAATTTTTGCTTTCTCTGATGTCCATCTTTTATCAATAAAAACAAATTTTAGTTAATATCTAAGTTAACTGAAAGAGTTGAGAACCGATATAATTATAGAGTTTTTAAGGAAAACTCTCTTTCCCAATTTTCCTAGAAATAGTATTGCAAGAATTTCAAAATATTTTTGTTTAATTTCTCTTCCTTTTAAACATGTTATTTATAAGGAAAATGAAGAAAGTAGATTTGTATATTTGATTAGGGAAGGTGAAATAAAAGTAATTAGTAATAATTATATTCAATAGTTATAAGGAGGGAAGAAATAGATAAAATTATTGGTAGAAAATTAAATATTTGGAGAATATGAAGTATTTTTTAATAGAGTTAGATTTACAAAAGCAGTGACCAATTCTTCTGTCTCTCTATTAACTATTAAAGCAGAAATAGTAAATATTCATTTAATATACAGAGTTTTTAACTTTATTAAAAGAATATCCCATTTTAAAATAACGTTTACTATGTTAAAGTGTTTTGAGGTATGAATTTATGTATTATCAACCAAAATCAATTGAAAACAATTAGGAAAGTAGAAAAAATAATAGTTTGTTAAGGAGATAGAAAAAAACATTAAGAAGTTTATCTCCATAATAAGATTGTATTTAGATGTTTGAAATGTCATAATAAATTTAAAAAGAAAGAGTAAGAACTGGATATAAAGTCATGCCTTTATCTTTTAATAATAGAGTGTCCTTAGTAGAAAAATGTGCTACCACTGTTTAATCTCCTTAATCTTCAACAGTATCAATTTTATTGATTCTCATAGAGAAGAAAATTAGAAACTACTAATAGTGAAGTATAATTTAAATCTTAAAGTCCAATAACTAACTAAAAAGTCTCCAAAATAATCTCAAGTAAACATAATATGTTTAGACAACAACCAACTCGAGAATTCTTATTATAAAATTTTGTGAATTAATCTAAACCATAATTATGATTTTATAAAAGTTAATTTATACAAATTCTTATAATATAAAGAATTTTACGTTTATTTTATTTATGATTTAAAATATTATATATAAAGTTATATAGAGATAGTAAAAAATAGAATAAGAATCAGATTAATAAGTCTAATTTTATTTAGTTGTAAAGATTTATTCCCTTCGTATCAACAATGATTTCAATTTCTTTTTCTTGAAGAGTCATTCCTTCTAAATTCATGAGCTTAATGCTCAATTTCATTAACAGTAATATAAAATTTATAAATGGTGTAATTCTTCCTTCCTCAACTACTTTTGGAAATATGTTGAATCTATTTGTTATGAGTTTTTCTAATGAATAAAAAGTCTAAGAATTCCACCATTCATTTCCATTGTATTTAATACTTTTCATAGCCAAATAAAGTTGGATTATGAATTTAAGATTTAGGTTTTAAAAATAATAAAGATTTTCACTTTTAATGTTAGAAACTACAATTCTGTAATAGTTGTTATAATAGTTTTAGAGATAGTTGTTTAACATACTTAATTCTTCTGTTTATTTTGAGTAGAAATCATACTCAGTTTAAGTAATATTTCGACTGATAATTTTGTTTTTTATCAAATTTTCAAATACTATTTAAGTTTGACCAATCAAGGTTTTATAAACCTCATTAACCTAAGATTCTTATGTAAGACTTTCTAAGACGAAACAAACTTCTCTTTCTCCAATTTATCTCTATGATTTTTTTTGTGATGATGCGCAAACTCCCATAATTTAATTATTAAAATTTTGTTTTTATATGTTCATTTAATTCATAAAAAAACATTTTATACGAAATATAAAATATAGGAATTAAACATTAAATCTAATTAACTACTTACTTCATAATAACTATTAATAAATCATATAAATATTACAAATTATTGGTTTTATTTGAATTAATCATTATTATAATTGTATAAATATTAGAATTCTATAACATAAGCATTTTAAATCTAAATATTATTGTTATAATTACATTATCAATAAAAATAGTAGGTGAAATAATTTATCACTTAAAAGTATCTATTTTATCGCATAATGTAGATTTTCAATTAAAAAATAATGAATGTTCGTTTTGTTTACTAATCATTAAATTAACTTAATTATCATAAAATTTTGCTCTCTTTTATTAAGTTTCTATATTTTAAATTCTAATCTAAGCTTTTTTCATAAACATCATCAATGAATTTGAATATGAGTAAATTTAATTATAATTATAATATTCATATAAAATTCAAATTATCAAAATAATAAAATAGATGTTTAAAATTTGAGATCTTGCTCAAATTCTAATATTGTTTTTATTAGAATTTAGCTTTATAGATTTGTTATATTAATATATCACAAAGATAAACATTTCATAAATATGTATAAGTGTTAAATTTTTTTTTTTAGTATTATAATTAGAGAAGTGTTATATATAGTTTGTTTAGAAAACAAAAAATAATTAAAAATAATGATTGAAAAGAAGTAAAACAAAAAAAATATGATTAACAAATGAAAAATAATTATATATTTATTTTTTATTGATATAAGTAATTTTGGAATATTATATAAAATTAAATGAACAATCAAACATAGTTGTAAATATTTAACAATTCATTTTAGTACAAATCCAGTTTATTAGCCTGTATAGACACCTTTGATGACGTAATTATCTTGTTAAATGTTAGCATGTATTCAAATATATTCTCTTCATAAACTCCATTTCCATCATCCAAAGGAATCAACTAAGAACCTGTAGTAACAGCTATGGATCAAATAATTGAAGATAGAACTAGCGCAGAGTTTGGGTAACATAGTAGACACATTTCTCTAAATTATCAAATAGTTGAAAATGATTTAAGAAAAGTAGTTGAAAAGAAAAATTATGTGGCCTGCAAAATATTTTGATTATATTGATATACATATATATTATTCTATTGCCTTAAGTTAATCCCACTTTAATTAATATTACTAATCAATTCCTATTCTAATTAATTAATTTCTTCTATTCTTTTAGAATAATATTGTCTAGATCACTGAATTATCTTCTTTTCCTTATGACTCTATAAATAAATTGTCTCATTCTATAATCTTGTATCCAAAAATGCTCAATTTCGTATTCTTGTCTTTACCAAACTTTTTCAAATTTACTAATATTTTAAGAACAGCAACAATTACTTGACCAAATTCACATTGTTGAATTATTATAATTTTTAAAATACTAAATCTAGAACATTCTTTAACATAGTATTGTTTATCTATTCTAACATATAGAATAGCTAAATATATAGATAAACAAATCCAAGAGTAATTTTAAAGTTTTTCTCTTGATAATAATTTTAATGGTTAAGATACTTATTGTGATTAATAATATTAGGTTTAAAAGTTACTTATGTTGGATTAACTAAAAATTTTTAATTCTTTTTATAATTTTAATACATTTAAATTAATTTTGTTATAATTTAAGTGCTTCATAAGATATAATATAGTGAACTTGTACAAAATACATTAAATCATGTGTTATTTTCAAATTTAACTACAGAAAAGTCAATCAAAAGATCTTTGAGAAAAATAGCAAACTGAAATAATAAAAATTCAAAACTAATTAAAAAAAATATAATTCTACAAATTGACCATCCTTTTTCTTAACTTAAGTGTTTTCAACATTTTGAAACCTTTATAATTTTAATAATAAATTGATAAGGTAACCTATACTTTCTTATTTACCTTTTGACTACTTCTTTTTTCAATTTATTTCAAAACAAATGATCTTTTTTATATATACCAAGCTCATGATAAATAAATTAATTAATTTAAATAATTATAATAATCAATTTATTTGTTTTCCTATTAATCTTATATTAATTGGTGTTAATTTGACAATAAAAGCATCCCAATTTTTACTATTGAAATTAACTTATTTTTTTTTAATTGTTTTATCTGCAATATTTTATTTCTACATTTTTCTAACATCTATTCTTAATTACTCTGAAAGTTTATTACTTTTTAGACTATCAATATTATGAGAATATATTGGAATATCTTATACTAAATCTAATCCTAATTCTTATGGTTACAACATAATAATTCCATCTACAATGATTACTATAATTGAAACTTTTGTATCTATTGCTTTCTCTTATAATTATTTAGCTTATAAATAAGGCTGACTTATTCTCATAAATACAGCATTTTAAATTTTGAATTAAATTTCATACTAATCATACATCCTTTTAATTCCTGAATCATTTGGATATTCTTAAACTATAATTTCTAAACTAGATTTCACAAATTTATCAATTTCATCCCAATCTGGTTTTTCAATGAATAAACCATATTTTAATTTCTAATCGTTTTCAATCTAAAATTAAACACTTTTTCTTAAAATTATTTATGATTTATTTTCAATAGATATAATGAGTCTCTTTGATTCCTTTTTTAGATGGTTATCTTAAATGTTTTTAAGAGTTTCTCTATATTAAGTAAGGCTATCAATTAATTAATCATATTATGATTTAAGTGCTGCCTAAAAATCTTATTCAACAATTTCACAATATAAATCATCTTTTTCTTTTTCTTCAGAAATGTAACGACAATAAATTTTATAATCTGTTTGAAAATTATTTAATTTCTAATTTTAAAATTCTTTTAGTTAATCTATAATCTCTTTTACTTAATTCTTATTATCAAAAACAGAAAGTAAACAATACATGATAAAATTAAATGAAAATGGAAAACTACATTATAACTCTTTAATCTCATATGAGAAATTGCATTCTGGCAAAAGAGAAATTGTTTTAATATTAAATGGCAATGATTTTATCTATTTATTTAATTATTCTAATTCTTTTGGATTGCATACTTTCTCAATAAAATAAAGTTAATTTTTCTCATTAATTTAATCTGGTATTTTAATTATTTATACTCTTTAACTAGTTTTTTAAATTAAGGAACATAATTTTTCATATCCCATACCTGAAATTCCTATTGGAATAATAACAATAATTGCAGATTACATGCACTAAGAAAGTGGAAACAAGTAATCTTGTTTTTTTAATAAATAATCTAAACCTTTTCTAATGCTATTGAATGCTAAAATAGATAATTTAGAAAATTCATAATTAATATTTTTAATGTTTACTGAATTTTCTAACATCATTTCTGTGTATTTTTTATAGAATTCTATATCTTAATTATTTAAATTAAATTTAGAGAGATATTAATAAGGTTCCTTTATATTAAGATTCTTTTCTTTATTGTTAAGAATTAATCTTAATTCATTTAGAATAGTATATTATCTGAATGGAATAAAACAACATCCAAGAAAGATGTCTCCTTTCCAAAAATACAAAGTTTTACCTTTATAATAATCATTAAATTAATCAATCAATTNATACATCCTTTTAATTCCTGAATCATTTGGATATTCTTAAACTATAATTTCTAAACTAGATTTCACAAATTTATCAATTTCATCCCAATCTGGTTTTTCAATGAATAAACCATATTTTAATTTCTAATCGTTTTCAATCTAAAATTAAACACTTTTTCTTAAAATTATTTATGATTTATTTTCAATAGATATAATGAGTCTCTTTGATTCCTTTTTTAGATGGTTATCTTAAATGTTTTTAAGAGTTTCTCTATATTAAGTAAGGCTATCAATTAATTAATCATATTATGATTTAAGTGCTGCCTAAAAATCTTATTCAACAATTTCACAATATAAATCATCTTTTTCTTTTTCTTCAGAAATGTAACGACAATAAATTTTATAATCTGTTTGAAAATTATTTAATTTCTAATTTTAAAATTCTTTTAGTTAATCTATAATCTCTTTTACTTAATTCTTATTATCAAAAACAGAAAGTAAACAATACATGATAAAATTAAATGAAAATGGAAAACTACATTATAACTCTTTAATCTCATATGAGAAATTGCATTCTGGCAAAAGAGAAATTGTTTTAATATTAAATGGCAATGATTTTATCTATTTATTTAATTATTCTAATTCTTTTGGATTGCATACTTTCTCAATAAAATAAAGTTAATTTTTCTCATTAATTTAATCTGGTATTTTAATTATTTATACTCTTTAACTAGTTTTTTAAATTAAGGAACATAATTTTTCATATCCCATACCTGAAATTCCTATTGGAATAATAACAATAATTGCAGATTACATGCACTAAGAAAGTGGAAACAAGTAATCTTGTTTTTTTAATAAATAATCTAAACCTTTTCTAATGCTATTGAATGCTAAAATAGATAATTTAGAAAATTCATAATTAATATTTTTAATGTTTACTGAATTTTCTAACATCATTTCTGTGTATTTTTTATAGAATTCTATATCTTAATTATTTAAATTAAATTTAGAGAGATATTAATAAGGTTCCTTTATATTAAGATTCTTTTCTTTATTGTTAAGAATTAATCTTAATTCATTTAGAATAGTATATTATCTGAATGGAATAAAACAACATCCAAGAAAGATGTCTCCTTTCCAAAAATACAAAGTTTTACCTTTATAATAATCATTAAATTAATCAATCAATTAATTGTATATTTATGAGATATGTTTTTATAATTAAATTTATGTGCATTAAGTTTGATAAATTTAAGCAGATTCTAATTTATAATGATGTAAAAAATTGGTAACTGTATTTGGATTAACCATTCTTTATTCTGCATAATGTTCTACTAATGCAAACCATTCAATCTATTTTTTATTGTTGTAACAACCTATCAAACTTCTATTTGTTAAATCTTCAATAAAATTAAGCTATTATTAATAAGGCATTTTATTAAACAGACTAAAGAATTAAGAAGCTATTTTTCGTAATTTATTATGCTTATTTTCCTTATATTAAACAATATCATTTTCATCATAACAAACAATTGTTTATATTCCAGAAGAAAAACAAAAAGAATCTAATTCATAACAAAAACTAATGCATATGGTATATGAATTATGTTGTATTTCAAAGATTGTGAAAGAATCTTTGAGATTTTTTGTTATATTTTTATATACCTAATCTTAATTTTTAAAATCAATTTCGTTTAATTCTGGAGCAAAAGGAACTCCCATTGTAGCTAAATAATTATAAATAATACCAATCTCAGTTTATACATGTTATTTTTACATCATCTAAATGAAGGAATTACAAGTGTGTAAATGCTTAGATAAAAATTTATTATTAAGAACATCATTTTCATTAAATTTTGATTATTCAAGATCTATTTCAAATATATTTACATCCCTCAAAAAATTCACACTATATGATAGTAATTCAACTTCATTCTATTTTGTAAAACCTTCAAGACTTATTATGAAAAATATATTTACAGATTATAAGCACTTAATTATGACATTAAATTAATGTGTTAAAAATATTATTAAGAAATTAAAATAATTATCATTAAAAATTCAATATCTCATTATACTTTTTTTTTAAAGAAATAATAATAATTTATAATATATATTAATTTATTTTGTTAGGAGTATTTCAAAAAGATCACTTTTATCATCTTTATAATTTAAATGTAATATTTAAGGATTTATTCAGTTTGGTAACATAAATTAATAACCATTAATCAATTTTCATCTTCTGAACATCCAGGAACTGGAATTCGGTCCTTACAATTCTTAGCACCATACCATTCACTTATACATTATGAAGGTCTACAACAATTTTACCAAGCTTATCCACAACTTATTCCATCCTAAGCTTAGCATTTTGCAGTGCATTGTAAATCACCATTCCAATATCCTGTGTGTTTGGTATTTGTACCTTTGAATGTATGATTGGTCTTCAATTTAAGTAGGGTTTAATCTAAAGTAATAATTTGAAATAATACTGTTTTCCAATACCAAATAGAAAGTGCTTAGTGATACAAAACAGACTATTGTAAATAAGAGAACAATTTTTAATTTCATTTATGTTATTAAAATAAGTTAATATAAAAAGTAATTAAACTAAATTTGGAATCAATATTTAAATCACATTACAACTAAATTTATAGTATAAGTACAATAAACTATGTTGTATATTATTTGCACATTTCTAAATTGTATATTTTTGAGAATTTTTATTTGAATTTGAGATTAGTTGAGTAATAGAACTAAATGGGAATATTCTAGAGATGAATATTATATCTATGTATTTTAAGCGATTCTGATTATTCTAATCATAATATATATAGAAAATAGATGACTTTTCTTTATTTTATTGAGTTCCTTCTTTTTTTTTGATTGTTAATGTTTAATCTAATTTGATGTTTCTGTTATAAAATTCTCAATAATTACTATCTTTTTTGTATAACACAAAATCTTTTGTTTATTTAAATAGATTCAAACAGATTCTTTGAAATCTTTAAGTTCTAAAATATTAGTACAACTTTCACATTTATTATCTATATTAATTAAATGAGCAAAGGTGATGATGATTATGACTATTTATTTAAAATTGTACTTTCAGGTAAAGACTAATTAAATAAATAATAAAGGGGACTCTGGAGTTGGAAAATCCAATCTATTACTACGATTTACAAAAAACCAATTTAATCCAGATTCCAAAACTACTATAGGCGTTGAATTTGCTACTAGATCAATTTCAATATCTGGGAAGATTATCAAAGCTTAAATCTGGGATACAGCAGGACAGGTAAAATGGATAAATAGAGTTTAGGAACGCTATAGGGCCATTACTTCTGCATATTATAGAGGAGCTATTGGTGCTGTACTAGTATATGATATAACAAACAAACAAAGTTTCGATGCTGTGGAAAGATGGATTTAAGAAGTGAGAGAGAATGCTGATAAAGATATTGTGATAATGATTATAGGGAACAAATCAGATTTGAAGCATTTAAGAGCAATTAGATAAGAGTCTGGTCAAGATTTGGCTCAAATGTACAAGGTAGCATTTATGGAAGCAAGTGCTTAAGATGGTAGTAATGTAGATTAAGCCTTTACATAAATTATACAATGTTTTAAATTCTATATAAATTAGAAATTTATCAGAATCTAACAAAACAATTATAAAAATATGATTAGATGTCTCATTTACAAGGCGAGAAATTGGATTTAGAAATTACAAACTCTGGCAATAAAAAGTAAGGATGTTGTTGAAATATAATACATTGTGTTTTTTTTTTTTAATTATGAATTCTTTGCTTTTAGTATAAATTAATATTTATATAGTAGCTTACTATGCATTAGTAGAATAATAAATATTGGATATCCCATAAAATCAATCTATTTTTATGAGATAATGGAATACCTAAATAGCAAATAATTATTTTGTTAGAAATTATCAGGTAATCAATATTATTATTACTTCAGAAATATTCAAAGATATTGATAGCAAAATTGTATTCTAAACTCTCTATTAATTTATCATAATCAATATGAGGTGAAGGTGAATCTCAGTAATTATAGAAAGAAAAGTATATTGATATGAGTTATAATGACATTATTTGCTAAGAAGAGAATTCTTATAATGTTATTTATAGAGGATGCCATTCATGAAGAGATCAAATATAAAGATTACATTTAATAACCAATAATTAAATGTAATTAGAAAAAAATACGCCTAAAGATTATTAATCTATCAATATAAATGTTTTTTTGGAGATATCGCCTATGATATTGAGAATATAGTAAGAGGATATAAGAATAAAGAAATTAATAATTAATGAAGTAGTTTAAATTAGAAATCAAAAAAGTATATAAAAAAAGGTTTATCGTTAATTTTTAATGCTAAAAAAAATAATAATACTTTTTTTTAATGATATTTATTATGTATGCTAAAATTTGATAATCATCACCATCCTAAATATTTACTTAATTATTAAATATGGATAATAACGAAGAGCATTATGAAGTAGAATATGTCTTCGGTAAGAGATTAGATAAAGGAAATGAGGTTGATTATGCTGTCAAATGGCTTGGATATGATAAAAAACATCATACTTGGGAACCTATTTCTAGTTTCAGTACTGCTTCTTTACTTTTAATTGGGTATATATGACTTTATATATTTGATTAGTCGATTCGAAAGATATTTAGCATATAAAAATTATTACAAATTGATAGCAAAAAAAGTAGAAAAAGTCAAATAAGCAAAAAAACCAGATGAACCAATTAGAGTTCATATAAGAAATAGATATACTTAAATACTAATAAAAGAGGCTGAAATAATAAACATTGAATTAGATACTGATGAAATTGTTTAAAAAAAAGAAACCTTCTAGATTAATGATGATGATGATCCTGATGTTTAAATTGTAAGTGTGAGTTTCAAACCTATTAAATAAAGTGAATCTAAGGATTTAAATAAATTTAAAGTGTAGAAAGTATCGCAAACTCTAGATTTTAATCGAATGATGCATATTAGATAATAATAATTTAATCCAATCAAAATTAACACTTATAAAAGTAAATATAAATTAGAAAAGGACTATTTAAATGAAATTATTTTTGAATAAAGATAAAAAGAGAAAGAAATTAATATGCTTAAATTTACTGAAATAAATGATAAATTCGAACCTACTCAACCTATTAAATTGATATCAGATTATTCATAAACTGAAGGATTTTCAACATTGTAAAATGTCTATCGCAATCAATAATTTTAACATAGAGTGTTTAATTAGAAAGTTCCATTTGAATTTATCCTTTCTCATCATCAAATTAAAAATGAATTATGGTTCAAATGTCAAAGTGATGAATAAGAAATCTTATTTGCAGATCTTCAAACACTACAACAAAATTATTCAACATTGCTATTAGATTATTTGGCTGCATTTAGTGTGATGATTCAATGAATTTAATTATTTCATATTTATCAAAACTAAATATATTATTCATCATACATATCTATATTTATTTTAAATATCAATAATACATCTTTAAATAAATTTAAAAAGTATATTATTTTAAAAAGAGAAAATTAAAATATATACAATATTTTAATCAAATATTCAATCAGAATTTCTAGTATATTAGTTATATTTTAGATACTATTTTAAGTCTATCACTACATTTAGAAACTCCATATCTATCAATTTTATAATAATCTGTCTTTTAATTTAATTAAATAAATTTATAAACAAAAATTCTTGCTAATATTTATAATCAGTATTGAGCTTCTTCATCCCAAACTAAACCAAAGAGCTCTAATTAAAAATCCTCTTCTTGATAAGAATCTTCAATCATTTCAATTATGCATTATTGCATATCGGTTGAATGGATCTCTTATCTAATAGGATATTAAGGCTCTTAAGTAACTATCTCTCTTGATTCTATTTCGAATTGAACTTCCTTCCAATTTTAATCCATTTCGAATCGCAATTTTGATAAATTCTACTCCAAAATCAAAAGAGCAATATTACTATTAAAATGTTCTGCTATTTTACTACCCATATACTTCAAACCATCAGGATAATGAAATACATTCATTTTAAATCTCTATAAATATATAATTTAACTTTACTGAAAATGTTAAATTGTTCAATTTATTAAAAGCTAATTAAGTTTCTTAAAAGTCTTTTAATATTAAACATATTATATTATTCTATAATTATGTTCTTTCATCAAGTGGCTCAAATTGAATACCCAAATGCAAATTTAGAAATTCAACCAAATATTTCACATTAGAATATTTTGATAAATTATTAACATAAATAAGTTTCTTATGATCAGCATCATCAATCCTTAATTATAAATCCTTAAATTTAATCCCAAATATTCTCAAATCCTAATAAAGTGCATTTTATTTAGATTCCTAATTTTTGAAATTGATAACAGCATATGATTTATATAATTTTTTATTTTTATTTACTTTTACTCTGTCTAATAATTTCTTAGTTTAACTCAATTAATCCAAACTTTATTAAAAATCTTTATTATCATTTGATTTATTATTTGTTGTTATTTGATCAATTTGTTTTTTGAAATTACAATACTCATAATATTCAATAGACTCTATTTCACCAAATCTATTCTCAAAATACTCTTTACATTCCTATTTAAATTTCTCATCCAATATGTATGGTAAATTATATAAACATACTTAATTAGTTTCCTTAATTACTTCTTCATTTACAACTTATCTTAATTATAAAGGTGTTCTTAATTCATTCTCATCTTTTAGTTTAATTTATTTATTCATTAATCTTGAATTTCTAGCCAATACCAATTAATTCTTAACAATCTCTTTACTATTTGTTTCATATGACTCTAACTCTTATTTTGGTAATAGAGTGTTTATCAAACCATCATCAATTAATTATGTAAAAGCAGGTACTTTTTCATCTTCTTCAATTCTCAATCTATGGTGTTTACGTTTATATTGAATGAAATCAGTTAGACTTTTATTCTATGGCTAAAATAGACTTGCTCTATTCTAAACAAAACAATTATATTCGCTTTTGATCTCTGTCTCAATTCTGTCAAAATCATCATAAAAATGCTCTGGTTGTAATTCTTAAAAGTCAATTCTTAAAGCCAATGGCACAAGATCTAATACTTGATCTACAATAACATTATAATAATACACTAATTAAAAAGTCTGAAAATACTAGATTTCAATTATAATGTGTTAGTATACACCTAAACAATTATTAAAATACATCAATACTTTCTCTTTTATTAACTCAACATCTCTAACAAAGTCCATTAATTAACTGTCATGTAATCGATCTTGTAGATAACAAGTAAGAGTTCTTATGTTTTTGTATCGCTCCTCTGACACTTTAGGGATGTCAAATTTCATAGCTTCCAATACTATATCATATTAACAAAGTCATTACATTTTATTGGAACTCCATGAATTTAAGTAGTAAATTTCTATGCACACAATCTAGATAGCATAAATAAATTTTTAATATGCTTGACAAAAGTTAAAACATTAACGAATCACAAATAAAGGAAATCAAACTCAAACTATAATATTATATATTTCAAATTCTATACTCAAAACATATAGAAGAACTATAATCTATGCAAATTGAGAATATTAATTCAAACAATATATTCATAGATATTTGTTAATCTTCTAGAATGTCATTATTTTTATTCATTTTTATAATTCTCATATAAAATCAGCATAAATAATTCAAATTGTGATTTATTTATACATTTATTGTTAATAATAAGACTTCATACATTAAATATTAATTTTATAAGTATATGAATTCAGAATAATAAGACAGTAATAAATCACCAAAAGCCAATTTGGAATTATTTCTAAGAATCTGGTGGTAATAATTATTATTTGGAACTAAACTTGTAATTGGAATTTCATGGTTATTTGGTTTTATTAATCTTTTGAGCAATTTAGCCTTTGATTTATTCAGCAATTCTCCACAATAAACAATACCTTTTTAAATTTAAAGATTATTCTTTTCACAATTTGTTCATTGTATATATCCATTAAAATAATTTGATAGATTATACAATTGATTTATTACTTGTTAATATATGTGTGTATAAAAAATTTGAAGAATTAGAATCTAAATATTCAACTGTTATTTTCATTATTTTAATTCTTGTAATAGGAAGTATCAGTCAAGTATAAATTTATATAATTAGTTTATATGTGTTTTACTTTAATGGATATTATCATTTATTTATTCTCCATTTTATTATATTAAAGCTTACGGATTATGGAATTTTTATATTTTTTGTGTCATCTAAGAGTACTATAATTTTAAGAGTTTTTTAGATGTTTGGCTGCCCCAAATGGATAAAGTTTATTTTTAATTTTTCCTATGCAATTGAAAAATAAATACTATCCTATTGTTTTAATTATCTTTTTTACTCTAATTTAATAATCATTGACATTCATTTCAACAGGATTTGTATCATTTACATTTTATCTATTTCAGAATCATATTAATTAAATTCATCATTCTGTATAAAAATAATATTCTATTTTAGACAATTGAAAGAATTGAAAAAAGTTTCCCTTTGAAATTCTTTATGGAAAGAAATGATTTTAAAAAAGTTACAAATTATTAAGATTAATTAGAACCAAGTGTTGATGCAAGGGAATTATAATCTGTAGAAACACCACCTGCAAAGTTTTATATATAATACATTTTAGATTAGCTTTATAAGGCATTTCATAATAATTCAGGTCATCTCTAGTTTTAAATGAATTATAAAAAGATATGAATTAAAAAGAGAATGAATGTGAATAACCTAATTAAGAAGAAGATGAAGAGAAAAAATAGAATGAATCAAATCCATCAACTTAATTTGTGTGAATCCTATCATGCTAATTTGTTTTAAATATTATAATTTTTAATTTACCTAGTTTATAAGTTTATTTTTTATTAATAAATGGATTCATTAAAATTATAATCTATGATGATCTTATTATCAATCTAAGCTATCAAGACATTATTTGAATTAATCTGCCATACTCTCATTATTTATACTATCTAAAATTTCAATCATACTAAGTTATTTGTTAGATATTAACTATAATTTCAATAATTAATCTTTAATTTTTTCCTAACATAACAATCATTTTTACAAAATTATTTTCTGAATATTTAATTACTAAAATGTTAATTTTCAAAATCTTTATTTATAATGAATTATCAGATGTTACATACTCTGGCTTTTAGAGTATTGAGAAAACTTGATTAATTTCTCTTTCTAAATGATTTTTAAAATTGTTAGATTATTCATTGAAAAGTTCTTCATTTAGATGATTAAATTGCTTTATAAAATAATCATTGCATAATTTAAGTTTTAATTCTCTATCCTATAATTTTCATTCATACTTATTTTCATGTAAAGATCTGCACCTTTCTTTTTCTAAATCATCTATCAATTTGTTTAATTTTGTTTTTAATGAACAATTTTATAATTTTTTTAATTCTAAAAAATTCTAATCATAACTCTCTTACAATAATTTTGATTCTCGTTCTAATTCAACTATCTATTAATCCAAATTTAATTTAGATTTTTCATAATCGGATATCATTTTTTTAATTAATAAAAGTTCTAAAGGTAAAGATGGAAAATCTTTATATTGTTTCCTTAATTTTTAAAATTCTTAAAGAATTTTTTTAAAAATAAAAAATTTCTATCTCAAATCTTCATCTAATTAAAATTATTAATTATATTCAGTTTTAAATGTACTTTTAATTGCCTTCAAAATTTCTCCAATTTATTACCAAGAAATCCTATTGTTATAATTCTCTTAAACCATCATTTCTATAAGAGCTTTCGTCATTTCACTAACCTGTATTTTTGGAGGATAAATAAAATTATTCTTATTAGTAAAATTCTGCAAACCATAAAGGATTTCATAAAAAACAACGCCTAATGAGTAAATATCTGATTTCTAAGGATCATAATATCCTTCTCTAACTTCAGGAGCTTCATACCCAATTGTTCCACATCTAGTGTTTAATTTTTAATTTTCAAAACTATTTATTTATTTACAAAAACCAAAATCTATTATTTTAATTTAATTATCTTTAAACATTATATTTGATGGTTTAATATCTCTATGATAATATTTATACTTTTATAGGCTAAATTTTTGAATTAATTAAGTACCAAGAAAGTCCATTATAGATTTGAAGAAAAATATCTAAAGCCTATTCTTCTTTTATCAATATATTTTACTTTAAATAATCCTTTAAAGAATCTATTTAAAAAAATACATGCTTACAATCACATAATTCTAAGACTAATGCATACTTATCACTACTCTCAAAATTTTAAATTAAACGAACAATATTTTAATTCTTCAACTTGTTACATTATGTTAAGACTTCAACTTCCAATTTATACATTTGTGAAATCTTTTTTTAAGAAAGATTTATATCAGAATTAGATTTTTTGATTATTTTAAGGGCTACATAATTATTTGTATCAATATTTTTTGCTTGAAAAACCTATTTTAATTTCATAAATACCATTGAATTAAATCCTGATCCGAGAGGTTCATTTTAGTTAAGAATATAATTATTTAGAGTAACTGGCATGAATTTTATTTGCATGTTATTTTTAATTATGAATACTCTGTTTAATATATTGAACTATTCTTATTTTAACTCTATTTAACTAAATCACATAATAATTTGTTTTCAAAGCATAAACTTTATTTTATTTCTCTATATTATTCAATTTATCATTTTTTTTGATTCTTTTAATGATATCTTTAAATTGAAAATAACAGAAACCAAAAAAATTTAAAAACAATACTAAAATATGTTAATTAAATATTGATAAATATACTTACTTCCTTAAGATGTCTTTGGTTTTCTGATTGCCTACCTTAAGTATATACTACATATTCATTTCATATTTAATATATATATTTAAGTTTAAAATGATAAATTTAACAATAATAATAAATCTATTTTTTAGATTATAATAATTTTAATTATATGTATATGTGTTATAATAAAATAATTTTAAGAAATCCAACAATTAGAGGAATATAAATAATTTAAATAAAATAATGGAATGTCCAATGTGTTGGGAATTATATGCCCAAAATAGAGTGGCAAGAAATCTACTTTGTGGTCATACTTACTGTTCTATATGTCTTGAATCAATCTACAATGTAAATAAAAGAATTGAATGTCCTCTTTGCAGAACAAAACATGAACCACATGTAAAACCACATTTATTAAGTAAAAATTATGTGGCTATGGATTTGGCTTCCAAGCATTTGGAAGTATAGTAAATTAATAGTATAATAATTAGAAAAAAGTTTGAATTATGTCCAATTCATATAAAACTTCCATTATAATTTTTTTGTGAGGATGATTAATCAAATATGTGTACTGAATGTATAGCAGAGCATTATGGTCATAAGTTTTTTAAATATGAACATTCTGGTATTAAACTTTTATAATGGTTAGTATCTTTATAATAAAATCGATTAGTAAGGATCTAATCAAAATTAAAAACTCAATTTGAGATATTAGAAAAATAAATAAAAGGATTTGATAATTGTAAAGAACAGCTATAATTGGAAAATGTGAAATTGGTATTTTAATTATTAGAATTTAGATGCAATAATTAGATGATCAATTTGATCGACTAATAAAAAAGATTGAATTAAGAAAGTAAGAATTGAAAGATTAACAATTAAAAATATTTACAACTGAATGTGAATAGATAGATTAGGAATTAGCATTTAATTAATCTTTGCTTACAAATATGGCAAGTTTAACAACAAAATTAGAATAGAAATAAGGAGAACTAAGTATATAGAATTAAATAACTTAATAGAAGGAGTAAAGGCTCTAAAAAATAATGATCTTATAAAGGAAATAGATGATTTAGAAGAATAAGTAGATAGAGATGTCGCATAACAAAAGTAATTAAAGATTAGTGAGATAAAGAAGTTACCAAAGTTGGTTTTTGATTTGAAATTAATTAATGAAATCTCAAAGTTTGGTTAATTCAAGAAGGATGTATCTAATCCATAAATATGCTTCTTTGGAGATAAGCATAAAATATTAATTTATAATATTGAAAATAATGAATGGACGTACAAATAAATGCCAAATGTATATCAAATATATATAATAGAATACTTTAGAATATAATTATTATGCAGCTGCTGTAAGTTTGCCAAGTGGTGATATCGTTATTACAGGAGGGGGAGTTAGTAGAAATACAATGTTAATATCTCCATCCAAAGGATTTCAATCATAAGCCTTAAAAAGTATGTACTTTCCAAGAAAGGAGCATGCTTGTGTTTATCTAGATGGATTTGTATATGCCATAGGAGGGTATTTCTAATCCATTAAAGATTTAGATATGATGGATCAGCTAAATAAATGTTGTCATGCTGTGAAAAGTATAGTTTAGTTTCAGATGAGTGGAAAATAATAGATCCTTTATAAAAATAAAAGTGTGCTTTTGCAGCAGCAGCAGCTATAAATAAATTCATTTATGTATTTGGAGGTTTTGATGGAAGAGAGAGATTGAACACAATTGAAAGGTATTCAGTAAAAGAAAATCAATGGAAGGTTTTGGATGTTAAATTTAAGTAAGGGTTTAGTAATGCTGCTGCTATATCTTATGATGACAATAAAATTCTTATATTGGGAGGAGGGTAAGTATTAAAATATTATTCATTTTAGATCAAATCAAGGTTTTTCATATGATTTATAAGTTTATGATGTTAATGAATAAGTAGTTAAAACTTTAAGTAGAATGAATGAAGGAAGGGATTTGAGGAATAAATTGATTATTTTTGATAATAATTTGTTTGCTTGTGGAGGCAATAATTAATCTATAGAAAAATATTCGTTAAGCTAATAAGTATGGGTTAATTTAAAGTAAATTAAGAATTAATTTAATTTAGGAGTTATGATTAATTAGTTCAAGATAATTTGGATTCATGGTGCAGTGCATTAACCTTTGAAATAAATAGTTCCACCTCTGTTTCAAATTTATTGAAACATAATTAATAAAAAGTAATGTTTATTTGAGAATGTAGTAACAATAATACAGTAAATAAATTTACTAAAAATATAAATTTGAAGAATAGGTATCTTTTGACAATGATTCATTTAATTAAGATGCTTAAAGTGAAGAATTAGAAGACTTAGAAGATTATGCATATAACCAACAAGTTGGAGGATTATTTTAATTTTGAATTTATAATTAGATATAATTAATAGTTAAAATCCATATAATCAATTAGTCAATAATTTCATTAATTAACAATAATATTTCATTAAACCAGTTATATTTTATGTTTTATAAGTTTTTTATTTTTTACAATAAATTTTATTTGCTTATTATTCACATTATGGTAATGAATCATACAATATTTAATTTCTCAAACAATATTTTATCAATTAAAATGATAAAATAAATATTATCCCTAAAGGGAGTATAAAAAGGAGCAGAATCTACTAAATTTTATGAAGTCACTTAAGACTAAATTATTCCAGTAGTGTAATTTATGATAGAAGTTATGTTTTTTTTACATTGAACTTTAGATATAATCAATATAAAAATCATTTATTTCACTTACATTAAAGTTATTTAATTTATATTATAAAAAACCAATTATATATATTTAACTTCTTAAGAAGTAACAATTTTGTATATTTACTTTATAAGTGAAATATACGAATATATCATTATTGTTATCCTTCTTATTATTGTATCTCATTTTATTCTATCTCTGTTTCAAGTAAAAAGTCACTTATCTTCTAATTTGGAAATATTTAGGTAGCATTTTGAATTATGAATTAAATATATTAATTTATCATTTTTATTCTAAATATACTATAAGAATAATACTTCTAATATTATTCTTAAATATTCTCTTATTCATATACTTGGGGTCTACATAAGCTAATACCAAAAACTATAGCTAAATTACTAGCATTCATTTTATTAATATGAGAATAGGAAGCCACAGATTACAGTATTAGTATTATTAAAGTAAATAAATTTTTATTCAAATTTGGAAATTATTAGATTAATTGCTATGTATCTTCAATAGAATATTTATTCATTGTAGTAATTTAATTATAATATTAATATGGAACAACTGAATACTTTAATTTATCTAGAACTCTTTTAATAAAATTGGCTATTACTATTATGTTCTCATAATCAAGTATTTCTTAATACTGTTTTTAAATTAAATAATTTTCAAATTCTTTATCCTGAGTTTAAGCAGAACACAATCTAAATATTCCTTCTAACATAATATTTTTAGGATTTTATAATAATTTTGTGATGCATAGATCAAGAATTAATGGTATTCTTTTGCTTGTAAGTTCATATTCATCTAATTCAAGGTTGTAAATTTAAGTTTCGTTTAATTGGATAAATTATTGTTTATTTCCAGTAAAAGCTTATTAAAGTTATTAATAAGAAGAATCTTTGCAATAAAAAGGTATTTTTTCAAATTATTACTTTTAAAAAAATTGATAATTCAGCAATTAAACCATTCTAAATTTTAAGGATTTAGATACTTTTCAAGATAAATTGTTTTTTATTTCAAAATTGATATTTAAACACTGTTTTGAAACCAAAACCATGATTTTATGAAAACATTTCCATGTACTATAAATATTTTTTGGAGGTTTTCAAAATAGATACAAGGAAATTCTTTAAAGGTTGAATAAAATTTTGATAAATGCAAGTAGGTTTTCAATTCTGTATTGAGATAAATTATGAAAAATTCTCTAAATCATATTATGGAATGATTACTAATTTTTTTAATTTTATAGTTATGAGATCATATAATAAGTAATTGATCTTATGTTATTGTCATTCTACAATTTTCCTTAAATGATGAAAACAGATTATTTTTATTAAGTTAAACCTAAGGATATAATTTAATAAAGAAACCTGCTTATATTAATAAAGGATCTTCTTTGTTTTTAGAATCATATTTTGCAACTTGCATTTAAACAATAAAGTCATTTTATATCTTTTTTTCATTTTAGACATATTTCTGGTCATTTGCAAACAGTTCTCTTATTTATTACTTTTCTTTGTCAATAATCATAAATTAATTAAAACTATACTATAAAATCAGAAGATTGAGAATGATTCACAACTCTTATTCTTTTGATTTCCTTCAGATCTAAAAGATTTGATAGAACTAATATCTTCTTCTGTAAATGTATTCATTAACACCCAAGATTCTGAAACCATAACAATATTTTAATTTAATGGAACATCATTCTAAAATTATAAAAATTATTTACAACTACATTATATCTATCATTATATTGATATTCTATACATTAAATCTATTTTTCTTCAAATTAGAGAAGTTATTTTATTATTTTAAAATTATGACTTTTTATTTTCAATTTATTAAATTTCTTTTTATAATGACTCTAATAACTTTTTATGACTGTTATTGTTTTAGAAATTTTATTAAAATTAAGGATTTGTAGATCCTCTTTTAATTGTTTTTCTGAATTTTGATTGTACTATTATATATACTTTTTTATTTTCTTCTTTTTACAGAGTTTTATTAGTTTAGTTAATTTCTTTAACTTTGGTTTATATATTTATCTCTTTCTCTTAAGATAATAATAATTACATTTGTATACTTTATATTTAATTCTTCAAAATTTCCAATTTTAGTTCAATTTATTTATTTTCCTTTTTTGTAATAGATTGTTTTTCCTTAAATTTGATCATTTAACTCTTTATTCCTTTGTTCTCTCTTCGTCCTTATATTATAAAATCAGTTCTAAATGTCTACTTTTAATTTCCTCTACATATCTTGCTGAAGTTTAGTCTCCCAAATGACAAATTGGATCTTCTATTTTTAGGTGTAGAATATTATAAGGGAATTGTCACATAAATTGATGACTTTCCATCTATGATATCTATAAATTTTTTATTCAATTAAAGAGTTGGAATTTCAACATTTTTGTAAATCGTTTAATGAATTCTTCTTTTTCATAAGGTAATACTTCCAAATGATCAATAATTTCATGAGTCTTGTCAAGTTGTTCCTAATAAATTCTAGTCTTAGAAATAGGAGATAATGAAGAAGATGGTGGTTAGAGATCAAACATCATATTTTAATGAATATGTACATTTATTTTACTGTATGTATATATTACTTTTTCATAATCTTCTTCCTCTTCTACCTCCAGGTCTTCTTGTTGAGTCAGTTGGAATAGGAGTAACATCTTCAATTCTACCAATTTTTAGTCCAAGACGAGCCAATGCTCTCAATGCAGCTTAAGCACCTGGTCCAGGTTATCTTGTATCAACACCTAAATAAATAATTAATATTTGATACCTCCTCTTGCTCTTAATTTAATATGCAAAGCATTAATTTTAAGTGTTTTCAATTTCTCATAAACATCTTTGGCTGCTTGCATGGCTGCATATGGTGATGATTCTTCTCTATCTGATTTAACTTTCATTCCACCAGTTACTCTAGCTAATGTTTCTCTTCCTGTCAAATCAGTGATATGAATAAAAGTGTCATTCCATGTAGATAAGATGTGAGCCACTCCAAATACTAATTCATTTCCTGCCACATTTGGTCCTAATGTAGCTACTACTTATTAAACAGTTTCTTCTCCAGTTTTCTTTCCTTTTTTGCCTTTTGGTTATTGAACAGGTTATGGTTTTGCGTCAGCCTTTATTTAATTGTTATAGTTACCATTGTCTAAAAATTAATTTAAATCTTTTTTTAATATAGAAAATAGAAATCATCTCATAATTTAATTAATAACTACATTATATATAACTAAAAATATTAGATGTCTAGAACACCATACAATCAATTATATTATTATGATAACAAATTATTTATTATTGTACTAAATATGTAAATATCATTCAGCAGCAAATTTGTTTTAGGTTTTCTTTGTTCTTTGAGCCTTATTCTTTTCTCTTCTATCATTTTATTCCTTCTCAATTTTATCAACTCTAACTTTTTCTTATTTAGTTTCATGAATTGCCTCAATAAGAACTTTTTTGTTTTTGTATTGATTACCTTTTGAAGCCAAATAAAATTCATGATATCTAAATTATTTAACATTATATACTATTGTCTATCAATTTTCTTTGCAGCTCTATATTTTCTGAGCAATCTTCTTAAAACTCTTTGTCTTCTAATCCAAAGAACTTTTGTTGGCATTCTTGCCTCTCTTGTACCTCTTCTTTTACCTGTTCCGGTGTGTCTGCCTCTTCTCTTTGCTTCAAGGTATCTTCTTGCTCTAGCTCTTGAATGAATTGTTCTCAATCTTCTCATAATCAAACCATCTTTAATTAATTTTCTAATTGACATTCTTGAATTAGCAAGACTGATTTCACTTGCTTCATTTGGGTCTAACCAAACTCTGTTGATACCAACCTTTAATTATGTAGAAGCCAATCTTTTTTGGAGGCGGAGATTAACCATTAAAAAATAATATCTAAATTTTTAAATTTTTTTTCATTTAATCTAAGCATTTCCAATATTAGATTACAAATAAAAAGAATATATAATTTTACTTTGTATATAAATTGTAAAAAAGAACAAATGAAACTCATTATATTTTGATGAATAAATATTCATATATTAAATTTAATAACTAAAATATAAATAATTCTACAGTTATATCAATTAATACTCAATAAATTTTATTGAAATTTATATTACTTAATCAATTATTGCATCATAAAAGTGACCCAACTTATAAGTAATCATAACAGAGTATAGTAATTTTTATACCTTTTGAGCAAAAATTGAAACAAAAAGTGGAAATAATTAAATTTAAAATCAAATAAAATGTAGCAGAATTAGAGCTATAAAAAAATCAAATGTCTATTCAAAGGATATGCAGGTAAAGTATACCTGATTGAAAGAAGATCAGAAAATGATCCTCCCAATAAGAAACACACTCCCTTAGTGTTAAAAAGATATTACAGAAAAGTATAAAAAATTATAACTTTATATAGCCTTCTGACTCTCAGGATCACACTTAGTTAAATGAATATAAGTTTTTGAGTACGTTAAATCATCCCAATATTGTAAATTTTATAGATGCTTTTACCGAAAAATTTGAATACAAAAAATACTTGTGTTTAACGATGGAATATATGGCACCACTTCATGAACTATTATTCTCCATTAATGATTGTCAACTCTATATCTTTAAAGAGCTTTGTTAAGCTTTGAATTATCTACATTAATAAAATATCCTCCATAGAGATATTAAACCTAGCAATGTCTTTGTAACATCAGAAGGATAAGTAAAATTAGGAGATTTTGGAATTTCAACACAGATAAGAGATTTGATGACTCCTTAAACTTGCACTAAGAATTATAGAGCACCTGAATTATTCTTTGGACTAAAAGAATATGATGCATCAATTGATGTATGGTCTCTTGGTTGTACATTAGTAGAATTATTCACAGGAAAAATTTTATTTGATGGAAGATCAGAAATTGAGATTATGTCATAAATAGCTGAACTTCTAGGAAGTTTGAATGTAAAATAATACATATATACTAGGATTCAAATTGGTAAGGAGTCTCATAATTACCTATGTATTTGGAATTTATAAATGAGAAGTAACCAAAATTATCAAAAATCTTAACTACATTACCTAAAAATTTACAGCCTTTAGTTGATAATATGTTAAGAATGAATCCAAAAGAAAGACCCAATATTAAATAGGTTTTACAATATTTGAATGAAATGAATATTAAAGATTGCTCAACATAATTAGCGATTATTGCTCAGAATGCCATGAGTGCGAGTAATAAAATTAAATTTCAATAAGTGATATGATTTTATAAAAATAATTAAAATGAATTTTGATTCCCCTTATTGCTGAATTAAAAACTTCTTAAAAACCATATTATGTTAGATCAAGTCATAAACATAACTCTAGTTAACCTAAACTATCAAATTATTTTACAGATATTAATGAACATAAATAAAATTTCTCCAAAGTCGGTCAGGAAACATTAAAAAAATGGGATTTCTTTTCTGATCCATTAACAGTCCACTTACATGTAATACTCCATTTTCAACTTATTTATGATTCTTTATCCAATTCCAAATTGTTATTGATATATCAAATTTACATTTTTCATTTTCTTTTCATTATTTATTCTCTAATCTTTTTTTTTATTCCATTATTATCAAAAGTTAATTCATTTGGTATTACTAAATACAGAAAATAAAAGTAAAGAATGATGATGGAAGTGAATTTGAAGAACCTATTCAATTGTTTTCAAGAAAGTAAACAAGAAAAAGCAAGTTCTCAACATCAAATCAGCGACCTTCTGATTCAAATTAGAAAATTGTTGATATAATTTACTTCATTATTAATATTATGTATTCTAATTTGAAAATAAATAATATTATTTTATTCTCATGAATTTACAAATCTATATATGATAATCAATTTATAATTACTGAGTTAATACAACAGACAATACATTTAAGATATCATTCTTTTTATATTATGACTATATTAAAAATATCTTTATATTTGAGTTTTTTTCATCAATAAAAATGTAAAAATATAAGAATTAAGAGTGATTTTGAGTACATTTTTTATTATATTATAAATTATATAATTTATAAGCATTTTATTTAATAAATTATATTATAATGCATAAGCATGGGAAGAGGTTACATATGGGATCGTAAAATCAATAATCTCTAACATCTCTAAATTCAAAGAATGCTAATTAGGAAACAGAGAAACAATTAGATCAATATGAAATAGTACAATAAAGCTTTGAGAATTCGATGTAAATGAATGTTAAAGATCATATTGATAAGTTATTTGTAATGATTATAAAATAAAAAATAGAATATATTGAATAAAATTAAAGATGATTTAAAAGTTAGTAGAGATGATATGAATGTCATACGTGAAGAATTACATAAAATGAAATCTAATTAATATCGAGAAGAAGATTAAATAACAAAAACATTACTTTCAGATGTATAATGAATAAATATTTAGATAAACAAACAAAATAGTGAATTAAATAAATAAAAAATTGATACACAAACTGTTTATGGAAGTCTAAATATGCAAATCTCAAGTTTATATTGCGATAAAGATTTTCTTAATGGAAATACTACTAAGGTTGAGTTGGATACTAATATGGTTGAAACTCATGTAGGTTTTAGAAGAGTTTATGATTGAATTTTATGTTTAATATACATAGTAACTTAATTATTAATTAATATTATTTAACAGATATTAAGTTATGGATTTAACAATGTCTCTAGAATAATTATAATGTATAGAAGACGATAGATAATATTATCAATCAATTAGTAAATCAACACAATAGTAATCATATCAATCAATTGCAACATTATAATCCGATCAATCAATTGAATCATTAGAAAAATTAGTATCATAAGAGATTGTTAAGGATTCAAACTTGAAACTTGAGTTAGATCAATTTATAGGATTATTATAAAAAGTCAAGCCATCAAATTTGAAAAATGAGCTCTCAGTTGTGATGAGTACAGAACAGGAGGAATATTATAGTTTTTAATAAAAACAACCTTTAGATAGAAAGGAAGTAATGTTTGAAGGATTTTAGAAATGCTATGTTGAGGCAATAAAAATAATTAGCAATTTAATCAGAGATTCAAAAGAATAAAATTATATAATATCTTATTTGGAAAAGATGCAAATGATTTATGTATACATAAAATTGCAATAATTAGATTATGCATATCTAGAGTTATTAAGGCATGGAAAAATCTATGAATCTACTAAATAGTTTAAAGTAAACTCTAATTGATGCTGATTAAGAAATAACTTTATTACATAACTAAACAGCAGAGCAATAATAGATTTTATAGAAGATGCAATAGCAGTTAAAACAAAGTATGAGTGAACTCAATTAAGAACGATTAAATTCATTGGATTTATAATAAAAAAATTAACAATTAAAGCATTTGATATTAGTGGCTAATAAATAGTTTGAATCATTATAAGAGAAATTACTATAAACAGAATAAGAATTAAATGAAATAGTTTCAACATAGAGTTAGTAGATTAAATAATTAGTTTAAACAAATAAAAATTTGAGAGAAGCTATTGTATTTAATGATAAGAAATAAGAAGATCCAAAAAAAGTTAATTGTTCTCCATTAAATTCACAAAGAAATACACTTAATAATAATTAAGAGAATCAATATAATCAATTAAATAATTAATTACCTATTAATTCTTAAAGAGCAAGTAATCTAGATAAAGGGGTCACAAATACATCTCCTTAACAATCTTAGAGATGCACATCTAATAAAAGAGAATGGAATAAATGTACAAAAATATTTAAATGAATTATCATAATTTATACATTACTTAATATAAAAATAGAATATCATTAAACAAAATGATTAAAGTTCCAAATTCCTTAAATTACTTATCCTCCTATTGAAATATATCTTCCTTAACCTTAAACTTGATCATCTTAAAAATATCCTTCGAAACGATCACCATTCAAAAAATATAGAGTTCCTAAACCATTTTTATTATCATCATAGAATTACCCAACATATTTGGTCCAAGCACTTTAATATTGAAAAATAATATTACAATCCAATATCTTCTAGATTTCTGTAATTGATATCTTCAATTTTAGGAGTGTCATTATACAATATTCCTTATCCTTGAAATTTGTCATCAACCCATTCTCCATCATATGCAGGTCTTCCACTTGCATAATATAATACACCTTTATTTATATAATAATATCATACCTTATCCATTAATTTTGTCATTTTTCCAATATCCATCATAATAGCCTCCCTCTTTGTAATATAATCGTCCTCTACCTTCTTTTTTGCCGTTTATTTTTTCTCCAACATATCTTTATCCATTTGAATATGTTTCATTAATGTAAGTTGATAAATTCTATTTTGGGAGATATGAGGATACTGCTGAAATAGGTTGATAATTTTATTATTATTTAATAGGTTATTATTATTATTATTATTATTATTAATATTATTATTAAGTAGACATAAACCTACTCTATGGTTAAGCAGAGTAATACTAATAAGATTCCCTATTTGGTTAATTGTAATCAATCTAATTATTTTATTCAAATTATTTAATATCATTTGGTGATGAGAAGTGAAATTTATCTAGATAATCATTTACTTGAAGAGATTCTCTTTGAGGTTAATAGGTCGTCACATATTATTGTAATTGAATATTAGATTTTTACTAATTATTCTTGTTGAATAATTAACTTGATTGAGTGTAAGAATCTTATTTTAAATGGTTAGTATAATCTTTTTAGGTATTAGTGTATGAATCATATCTAATATTTAATTTTTATTATTCTGGTACTTTATAAATGTCTTAATTTAAAATATTATTATTATTTTATGCAAATGAGATTGGTTAAACTTAAAATTCTGAGATTAATGATTTTGGAATTTATCCAATTGAGTTGTTTTACTTCATTGGAGCTAAATCGATAATTGTGTTTATTACAGATTGAATTTCTAGTGATGTCTGCATTGTGAATAAGAATATCATGATCATTATAATTAGCTGGTTTTGGTTCTTTAAATGGTTGATGTTATTCATCATAATTGTCTTCAGATAATGGTAATGGTCCTTCATCCAAATAAGAGGGTTATACTGATTGATTGACTTCAAATTAATGATCAATATTCTCATAAAACATCATCTAATATTAATCTTCTTATTGATGTGAGTTCTTCTATACTAATTAATTTGAAAGTTAAGGAATAATTTCTTTTCTTTTATTCCTTAATTATATAAAATCAGGTCTATCTTTTTCAACTTATTCAAGCATTTCTTCAATTATTTCAACTAATTCAGATGTGTAAATAGTTCTAGCTTATTCAATATTGGTGACCAATTATTACATATTTATTTTTCCTTCAAAGTAATCATAACAATTATCTTAAGGTTATAGTAAACAAACTTAAAGGAATATCATTCCAAGAGTATACACATCTGATTTGAATAAATTATGTTATGGCATATGATTACTTTAAAAAACTGCTTTAGTCAATATTGGAGATAGATAATTGCCTTGAGATGCATTTCCATAATCTTGTAATACTGCTGCAAATGATGTAATATTAGCTAATAAAGGAATGTCACTAACTTTAATAGTTCCATTCAAATAAGATAATGTTTGCACTCTCAAATTTTGATGAGCAATTTTTAATTCTTGCATTTTGGCCAATCCATTTATTGATCCAATTAACATTTGTAAAACCTCTTATTCTCCATAATAGGCACCTGCTTATTTTCGTTATTCTATAGCATCTTATAAAGTTTGAGGGATATATTCAAATACAAGATTAACTTTAAAAAAAGTATTACAAACTTATTCTTCTTCTGCTTAAATTGATTCTAATTGATATTATGCATTTTATAAACCTTTCAATTCAATAATATTAGAGTGCTTTAGAGATTGTCTGACCAATAATTTATTCTTCCAAGTTTAAAAACTAGCTTCATCCGGAATACTTATGTTCTTTAATACAATCATTTATAACTTGTCATTTTTCTTTCCAAATAATTTACCATCTCCATATCCTACTTGATAATTATGAAGATTCACTTGCATCATTGAGATGTTTTATAAATTCATATTGCGAGTCAATCTTTCTCAAAAAATCTTACTCTTATTTACTATCTGTCTAACCCATTAATTTATAACTGAATCAAATATATATCCCTTTTTTATTCTTTTATAATTATAAATCAATCATTCTTAAAAGTATATGCACAACAAGACCACTCTACTGAGTGAAGGATCTTCATCTAATGTGTTCCTAACCGAAGATCCAAATTATGTAATCAAAGAATATAAATCATTCTATCCAAAATAGTCAAGAATGAAGGAAGTTCAAATATTAGAACTTCTCAAAAGTAATCATATAGTAAAACTAATCACATACACAGATAACTACTTAGTTTTAGAAAGACTTTAAACATATGATTTATTTGAAGTCGTCAAATCTCAAAAACTAAACACACAAATAATAAAAGAGATTTGTAAGACTTTGATCAAAATTATCAACTATATACATTAAAACTAAGTAGTTCATAGAGATATCAAATTAGAAAATATTTTGATAGATAAAGAAGGAAGATTAGTTTTATGTGATTTAGGCTTTGCAGAACTGTTAAGTAATTGTACAGCAAAAAGAACTGTTGGTACTCTCAATTATATGCCTCCTGAATTACATTAAGAAACACTATTGGGAGGACATAATAGTGAGAACATAAATACTTAAGTACTAATAAAGAGTGATGTGTTTTCATTAGGAGTTACCCTATTTTAGTTAATTCTTGGTTTTATGCCATTCAAATCCACTAAACCTAGTTCCAATTGTAAGTTATGGAAATTGATTCAATAAAAAAAATGGTAATAATATTGGACAATCGTTTAAAAATTGTCAAAATAATATATAGATCAAATCACATAAGATTTTCTGGAGCAATTACTTTAACCAGATTCAACAACAAGAACTACTCTAGATATTATTTATAATCATTCTTATCTTTAAGAAATAAAGGATGATGCACATTTAATTTGATAAATTAATATTTATATTTAAAATTATTACAACCATATTATGATTTCAGAAATTGTAGTAGATGCCATAGTCAAATAAATAATCCATCAGGCCAGAAAATTGATACGTGAACATTAAATAGATGCAAAGATTCCTTCCTTTTTGAAAATTGAATCTATGCATCAGATCAAGTAATAGTGACATAAATAACAAGATCAGCTATCAATCTATACTAAATTGATTGTTAGAATTCTTCAATCTTATTGGATGATTAGGAATACAATTTAAGACCAACAATAGATTCATTTTAGGCATTGACACTCAAGTTAATAGATAGACCAATAATTGATTTAGGAGAACTTAATTAAAATCATACTTTGTCTGATCATACAACTACAAATAAATCTTTTATTAGAAGACACTCATATAAAAAGAAGATAGATGTACAAGTTGTAAATTTGAAAGAATAAAAACCATCTGTAATAACATAGTAAGATCATTAAGAAATTTATAAATAGTAGATGAATACTAATAATAATAATAGACATTCATTGATTATGAAACAATAAATCAGAGATTTGACAAGTAAAAAAAATTTAATATAAATTAAGAACATATGTATATTGATAATTTTGATCCAAATGAATTTAGAAAAAAAATTTAACATTAGGCTGAAACTTTGGAAAAAGAAATCAAATAATGTGATAGATCATTTCAGATCAAAAAAGTATCTGATAAATCCATCGATAATAGTAATTATATGAATCAAACTGAAAAACCAACAACAGCTCCTTAAGGTTAAAGAAGACCTTAATATATTATAAATAAAAAAATGATAGATCTGAATGTTACTTTACCATAATTCAAAAGACAATTAACTCCAGTTGAAAAAAAACGAACTTCTAAAGTTAGAAATGTTTCTTTGGCTTGATAAAATTTTATAAAATATATATATATAAATTTATACAATATAATGTCTGAATCTTGTAAAAGGATTATTAGTAAATATATTTGCAATACTGAAAATTTGTTGGGACAAGGCTTAATTTGTACAGTACTTATAATATCAAAACTTAGGTCTATGAAGCAAAATATTTAGAGACAAATAAGTATGTGGCATTAAAACAAATATCAAAAAAACCTAAATAATGGGAAAAAATGACTGCTTCAAAATTAGAATAATCATACAAATTAGAATTAGCTATCTTAAAACAGTGTTAAGAAAGATTTCATAAAAATATAATTTCCTTATTGGATAACTTTGAAACTCAAGATCATTTTTATATAGTTTTAGAATTATGTGATTGTAAATTACAAATCAAATATTCTAGCAAATCTTAAGGAGTATTTAGAGAAATAAATAAATAAAAGATTAGAGGAGTAATAGGCTATTGATATTTTAAAATAAATTGTTGACGGTGAAAAATGGTATTTAATATTGAAATTTCATTTTTATAGTCTACATGAATTAAAATACTGTCATCGAGATATTAAACCTGAAAATATTTTACTCAAAGATGGTTGTGTAAAAATAACAGATGTCAACTTAGCAAAAAATATAGAGGATATGTATTAAGCAGCATAACACTCAAGTGTGGGGACTCCTTTTTATTCAGCTCCTGAAGTTAATTCTAAACAAATATATTGCCCTTATAAAGCTGATATATATTCATTAGGAGTTGTATTATATGAAATGGTTTATGGCTTGGCTGATAAATCAAAGGAAATAATTAATTTATAAAATAAAATTAAAGATAGCTAGCTTAACATAAGCCAGGACTTAAAGAAACTTATTATTTCTATGTTAGATTCAGATCCTGAAAAAAGAGCTAATTGGTCAGATGTATATACTTTTATTAATTAATATAAAAATTGTAAAGTTCGTTTTTTAAATCAAATAATAAGAGACTTTGGCGAATTATAAAATTTAATATTAGATAGAGATATAAATATATGTTTATATCCAAGTGGTCTTCTAATTATAAAATTAATTAATAAACTTATACAAGAAAGATAATTAGAATTATAAAAATTAAATAAATACGAAGAAGCTAATTAAATGAAATAACATTAGGAATGTAGAGCTTATTTATAAAAATCCAAGTATAAAAATATAGATTTTATTTAGGTAATGGTACGAAAGTCAAATAAAAGCTAAAAATTAAGTAATTTGTTAATCTGATGACCTGAGAGATGAATTTAGATATTCGGATAGAAATAGCAAATTTAATAAGCATTTTTAATGCTATCTAGCTGCTTTTTTCAATTAATTAAACAATTTACAGTTTAAAGAAGAACAGCAGAATATCTAAATTAAACTTTTAAAACTGAAAATAATAATTGCCTGTGATATACTAAATGGCTTAGTAAATTTAATATTTTATTATTAGTAAAAAGTACCAACATTATTAAGTTAAAATTTGCATTAATAAGGATAAAATATTTTAGGCTATTGTTAAAATTTAAAGGATATTAAAGAAATAGAAGAGTATACAAAAGCTTTATCACCATTAATTGATTAAATTCCTAATGATTTATGATAATTTAAGTTATGAAAAAAAAAAATTAAGATTTCAAAATTTCAAAAATATTTCTAATATAAATATAGTGCTAATAAACTCAACATGTAAACTCCAAAACAAAGGTATTTTAATCTAAAGCAATTCAATCTTAAGCATCCATAAATACAGGTAGAATTCCAAGCACTAATAAATATATTTGTGTAAGAGTATCTTCTTTTCCAGTTAATCACTGTTGTTGATAAACTTCCTAATATTGTTGATGCAACAATTTGTGTCAATAAATCATTTGATGATGTTTATGTAGATTCTTTTTATTCTCTACTATTTTAAACTGAAGAGTAATTGTTAGATTAATCAGAATATTATCTATAGATTTAAAGTAACAATTAATTTTCTGAATTTATATCTGTATCTTAATTACAGCTATAAGCCCATTTTATATATTTTTCACTTTTCTTTTCATTACCTTCTTATTTGTAAATTAATCCTAAATACAGTAGGGCTTATGGATGCTAAGGATAACTCTTTAAAATCTAGTCAAATTCAAAGAATCCACTACCTCAAAACAATAATGCTTGCTCTCGGAGAGTTTATTCAAAGTTAAAGAACACTTTGCTAATCCTAAAAGAACATCTTCTGTTGTAGGTTCTATTACTTCTGGCCTTGAATTTTAATATATTAAGGGAAGTGCCTAGCTGTAAACTTCATAAGCTTCTTAATAGTGTGAACTTTTAACTAATTCATCTCCATTCTTTACTATGTTAAGTATAGGACCTGGTTCATAAACATAAGGCACAATTGATTCAGCCATAGACATTGGTTCAGAAGATGTTTATAAAACACTCATAGCCTTAATTAATAATTATAATGGCAGATTAACTACTATAAAAAGAAAAAATAAAATAAATTAGTACACATTATCAATTCAAGTTAAAAAATAATATTTAGCCAATAAAGTTGAGATTTTATGTATCGCCATAAGAATTTCATTAATTTTCAAATCACTATTAGAAATTTAATATTATATTGATTCAAGAAATAAAAATATTCAATAGAGTCATATAAGTTCATTTTCAATATGGTTCTTAATTAAGTGTATATAAATTAAAAACTAAATGTAAAAGTTATTGATTTAGAAACATTTTGAGTAATTTAATACAAATTATTGATAAAAAATAGAATTGCTAAAACATAAAAAAATAATTCTGATGCAGTTTGTTAAACACTTATTTAACAAAATAATTATCGCTCTTCTATAAATTATAAAGTTCTTTTTTATAATTCTAGTTATATGATCAATTATATTATATTGATTAAATTAGCAAAGGAATTTTTTTAATAAAAAAAGATTAAGGATTAAATCTTAGTTAAAACTTAGAATTCAGAACTAATATTATAGAAAAAAAGAATAATATTGTAAAATAAAATTTAAAACTACACTAGTTATTCACTTCTAAAAAAAGGAATTGTAGAGAATAATAAATCAATTAAAACATAGGAATGAGGCATCATTCATCTATTAGGGATTTTTTCAAAAGAACCAAATGTAACAAAGGTCCCTACTCCTGTCACAATATTTGGAGATATTCATGGGTATTTGAAATAAAAAAAAATTGGTCAATTATATGTTGTTGAGGAGCTAGTTAAAGTTGGAGGAAAGCATCCATTTACGAATTATTTGTTTTTAGGTGATTATGCTGATAGAGTTGCTCATAGTGTAGAAGTTATTAAATTGCTTTCCCTCCTTAAAGTAAAGTTCCAAAATACAGTCACATAAATTAGAGGAAATCATAAAATTAGAGGTAATACATAAAATTATGGATTTTACACGAAATGCTAATAGAAATATGGTAACAGTCAAGGTTGGGAATATTTCACAGCAATTACTTGTATAGTTGGTACTATCTATTATGTATGCATGGAGGTTTATCTCTTTTTATAGAGGGTTTTGATGAAATAGACTTTATTTTTGGAGGTTAAGTGCTTAAGGAATTTCTACATTTCAAACAATATGCCTCATTTAATTAGAACTCATTAATTATGCGATAAAGGATTTAATTTGAAATTTGAGGATAGATATATTACTGTTTGGAGTGAACCTAATTATTTATATAGGAATGGAAATCTTGCTTCGATTGTTGAAGAATAAAATTAGAGATATTTTAATATTTTTAGTGAGATTCAAATGATAAAAGATTTAGGAACTAAAAGCATAATGCTTGAAGCTGATATAACTTATTTTATTTGATTAATTAAAATTAATTTTTCAATTTAAATAAAAAAACAATCAAAAATGATAATGATCTCAATTGAAGTAGACTAAACTTAAAGAGATAATTTAAAAAATTGTTAAGAATTATAAAGTGAAAATAAGAAAATATAATTTTTAATTAAATTTACAATATTAATACAACAAGAAATAAGAGAAATAATTGTAAATTTCAGTTTTTGTAAAGTATATAATAAGATTTGTTTATAAAAAAACTATTAAAAAGTAGAATGATTATATTTTACTAGAAATAAGATGTCTAAATGATTTAATATGTATTTTATAACAATTAATAAAAGAAATCATAAAAAAAATAATAAGAAGAGTACTTCAAATTCTTTAAGATTTAAATTAGTTGAGATAATGATTAATTCATATTCAAATGACATAGAATGGAATGATGATCTTAAGACTTACAAATAGTATATAAGAAAAGAATTATGAGAAGAATATGATCAGCATTAAATATTAAATCTTTTTAATTATTTTTTTAAATGGCAAGAGCACAAAAAGACACTCGACCGATTGCAGATTAAGCTACTTCAGAAGCAGCTTGCACCTATGCTGCTCTCATCTTATATGAAGACAATTAAGAAGTAAATTAATAAATAATACTCAGATTGTTGCTTCTAAATTAGCATAAGTCATCAAAGCTGCTAATATAAGAGTTGAACCAATTTGGACAAAAGTATTTGAAAAGGCACTCAAAGGAAAGAGAGTAGGTGATCTTTTGCATGGAAATGCAGGCAATGGACCTGCCACTTAAGCTGCTGCATAAACATCAGCTCCTGCCACTTAATAAGCAAAAGCTCCTGAGCCAGCTAAAGAAGTTAAGAAAGCTGAAGAACCAGAAGAAGATGTTGATATGGGAGGCTTGTTTGATTGATTAAACACCTTTGTTCGTACATTAATATTTATCATCGCTTGAACATGCTCCTTCTTATTGTTGAATCTCTTAATTAAGCTTTCATTGGTAAACTCTCAATTGTTGTATTGTTTAAACTCTCAACTGCTTTTTTTGCGTCTGATACATAAAAAAACTCTATGTAGCCTTATTCCTTTGTATTATATATATATAATTATACAAGAGATCTGCCCATTTTATCCCATTCTACTTAAGCCCTTCTAATTTTTCCAAATTATTAAGCTAACTCTTTCAATTCATCATTAGTAACACTATAATGCAAGTTTGTAATATCAACAATTGCTCCAGGATTGCGATTATCATTTCTATGTCTGTCATTAGTAAATGCTTATAATTTCTATCTTTTTTCTTAGTATCCCTTTTTCATATTTTACTTATTTCTTTTGTCTTATTGAATTTTTTCTTCAAGGTTTATTTCTATTATATCCTCCTTTTTACTCATACTTTTAAAATTAAAATTATTATTTATAATTCATAATTAATTACCAACGAAAGTTTATCTATTAGATTTAAAGTTGAATATCTCATAAATTTCATTTTTAATAAATGAAGATTTCATAATTCATTATGAAAATCATGATTAAACCTATAAGTATTATTATGGAGAAATTATTTGTTTATATTTTTAAGACATAATCAATTAATATTAAATTTATTATATTTGTATATACATAAAAATCATAAATCAATCTATGAATCATTATTAATAAGAATATATAAATATAATAATCTCTTTACACAAAATAAATATTCTCTTTTTTTATTAGATAATAAGTTATAGTATATAATATAATAAAGATTAATATAATAATTAATAATTAATTTGAAAATGAAAAATTTTGATATTCAATTGAAATGATCTCTAGAATTTACTAAACTGTTCAAATTGATCATGCCATTAAATAGTTCATTCAATTTTAAAGTCTCTTAATATCTTACTGACATTAGATCTTATCTAACCTTAAATTTAATGAAATATATGTACTCTATCTATTTCTGATTTAATTTTAATTTCACTTTCCTCCTTTTCATAAAGAGATTTAATTTCTAATTTTAAATCATTGTTTTCTTTAATTATTTCAATATATTTTTATTACAATTCTTGAACTTGTATTTTTAATGATTAATATTAATCTTTATATTCTTATAATCTTGATATTTCATTTTTTAATTCCTTAACATAACCTTATTTAAATTCATCTATTTATTTATTAATATCTAGTTTTCCTTATTTCAATTCTGAAGATAATCTTTGTTTTTCATTTTTATAATATTTTAGTTTTTCATTCAATTTTTCATTTTCATCCTTTAAAGGTTCATATGTAAAAAGAAGTTCGTCCAATTTAGCTATTTCTTACTTTAATCTTGAATTTTCATCTGTTAATAAAACCAATTATTCTTATAATTATCTTTACTAATCATCATTTTTAAATTATAACGACTATGAAATTTTATCATTTTGAATACATTTAAAGTTTCATTTTCATATCGTAAATGTTAAATTACATCCTTTAATTCTTAATTTTCTTTAATTAGATTATCTTTTTCAACTTATAACTTTTTCAATCTATGAAATTCATTTTCCTAATTTTGTACATGTTCTTAATAAATCTCTCTAAGTTATTCACATTCTTATTATAACTAATCTAAATGCTCTTACAACTCTAATATTACATGATCTTTCTTCAGAAATTCAATTTTTAATAATTCCATCTATCATTAAAATGTGTTTTTTACTTTTTCCCTTTAATCTTTTAATTAGCTGATATAATATTATTCTTGTTCAATCAATTTCATATCATTCATTCTTAATTTATCATTATTTGATAAAAACTCCATAAATTTTTATGAAGCCATACAATTATAAAATAATATAATCAATTTAACATATTCTAATTTATTGATTCAATTATACCATTTTATCATTTAAAAATTATTTCATTTAATTAAACTTATAATACTTTCTATTAAATAGTATTTATAGTTTCTTAAAATATATTTCTTAAATATTTAATATTTGATTTCAATTTTTCATTTACTTATAAATAACTCATATATTAAAATGCAAATTTGAATATCTTTTTGAAGTTCTCATTAGAATAAGTCTTGATAAATAATACATTAAATTCTGATGCTTTCCAATAATATCAATTTAACATAATTATAATAATTTTATAATAAAAAAGTTGATAAATGTTACTAAATCATAGCATTGATTATACTAATTAAATTTTTAAATAAATTTCTTAGTCTATAACCATTAACATTAATAATACTGGAAGAAATATGATATTATAATTATTGTAAATAAGAGACTTTTTTATTTTTAAATATATTTACCAGGTCGTTTTACTATTATATATATGTCATTAAAATATTTGATTAATTTTTTATTTAACTTTAAGAAGAATAGAAGAAAGATGATTTTATTAAGGAAATATCAAATTTTAATATAATATTAATTCTAAATTAAATCATAAATGTGTGAGTATAATATCATATTGATTTTTTAGAAACAATACGAATTTAGATGAATTATGATAAATTTTGAGTTATTGATTATAAATTTATATTATATTGATTGCCATATTGAAAATAATTCTTCATATTTGATAAAAATTAAATCCTTTTATTTAAATAATGTCCTAAAAGTTCAAGGTTAGAAAGCTTAGAGATTAAAAGCCAGAAGATCTCCTTAAGGACTTAGAAAAGCTTAAGAGTGAATTAATTTAATTGAGAACAGTTAAAGTATCAGCAGGTAATGCTTAAAAACTTGGCAGAATTGGAGTAACATAATATATGAATAATCAAGCTTGTTAGAAAGCGAATTGCTAAATATTTGACAGTTATAAATGAATAAAGAAGAAATTCAGTTAAAACTGCTACCAAATCAAATGCCAATCTTCCAGTTGATCTTAGAGGCAAGAAAACTAGAGCAATTAGATAAAGACTAACAAGAAGTGAAAGAGGTATAACTATTTAGATATATTTAAAGCTTAAAAAACATAGAGATAATGGAAGAGACTCAACAATTTCCCATTAAGAAAGTTTGCTTTGAAGGAATGATTCAATTATATTAAAATCAGTACAATATTGACATGGCAATATGTAAATATATATCTCGAAAACATTTTCAATATATTTAAACTATTTATAATAGCCATAATGGATATAATCCATTAAAAGACAATTAATTTGAATTTTAAACGATTTTAAAATCAATTGTTATTGTGGCAAATAGTTACAAAAGTCTTTAATTTAATAGTATATATTATCGAATATTAAATTTAAGATTTTATAAAGTTCTGTTTTATCATATTATCTTCATATAATAATTTATTTTTCTATTACAATTTAATAAAAAATACTAAGAAATTTTTTGAATCGTATACTACTCTATACATCATTTTAAAAAATCTGAAATGAAAGGATTAAGTTCACAAATAATATTGATTAATTATTCAAGATAAATAAAAATATATTTCATAACATAATTTATCGAATAGAAAGTGAATAAAATTTAAATGATATCTAAATGATCATTTTGATAATATAAATTAGTAAAATATTTGTGTCGAAAACCAAATTTATTAATATGAGATTTAATTATTTTAAAAAATAACATCATTAATAATCATAATTTAAAATTTAATATATTTAATATTAAATATGCAAATATAAATAAAATAACATCACTACTGATCATGTAATTTAACAAATTTTCTTTTAAATAAAATAGCAACTTCTTCATAATCATCAAAATTATTAAAGTCAAATAATTCTAATATGTAATTTTTGACTTAATTTTCTTCTACTTATTCTTACTTTGGTTATTAATTAATAGAAGCTTCTAATTATTTAATCACTGAATCAACTAATATTTTATTTTTTAATTCTTTTGTTATCCTTCCAAATTTCATTTTTGATTCTGCTTATTTTAATAGATTATAATATCTATTTTTTATAGTATTTTCTGTTTTCTTCAATTAAAAGACTTAAAGAGAAATCTCAGCCCATTTCTTTCCTCTTTATTCTATCTCTCTAAACAGTAAAAGCTCCTCTTCTCTTGTCCAAGGTAGGCTAATTTATATAAATATTAATCTACTTGACAATATTCGGATCCAGTTTATTTACCCATCTATCACGACATTACTTTCCTTACCTAACATAAGGAGTTTTACATATCCTCATCAAATCTAATGCAATCTCACACCATTTGTTTGGTTTAAATTACTATAATTCTTTTAAAACTCTATCTTCCTGAGGTGTCCAACTTACCTTTTTGTGACAATCTTCCAACCATCTATTTCTACAAGATTTCCAATTATGAAAACGAAACAATCTAGAAATTTATTCCCAATATTATGGAGACTATAAAAATAGAAAATATAAAATACTAGTTCTATTGGCTTCATATGATATTTTAGGCATATTCCCAAAACTGCAAGATTAAGAAACTTATCTTGGCATGGAGTCCAAGCACCTCTTTTGCTATTGTAAGCCTTTTCCACAGAACATAATATTAATTATATTTCCTCTTCCTAAGGTAATTTCGAGAATGTGAATGAATAATTTCTTAGAAGAGTATCAGCAAATACTTAATCTGGCTATTCAAACCATTCCAAAACCACCTGCCTATTTAATGGCGTTTTTTTTTGCATTATCAAATGATGTTTATTATAATATATAGATTATACAATATATTACGTATACTGAAAAACCCAAATTAAATACAAAACCGAGTTTAAATTTGTACTTAATTCTTTTTTATAATCCTTCCTTTAAATTCAAGACAAACAAAATTAATATTTCTAGAATTTTTTTTTATAAACATTATTGATGTAATAAAAACGTAGTTTTTTAAAAATTTACTTCATTTTTTTTTCTAAAAATTAACAATATATTCTATATCTACATTTGATTTTACTTAAGTTTTTTAAATATAAACTGTCCTTTTCAAAAATAAGCATCCTATATAAAATTGATATTTTATTCATACTAATTCTACTATCACTTTTAATATTGATTTTACATCTTTTAAATGTGCAAATTAATCAATCGCTTCAATAATTTGATGACTAATTGATATTTTACAAGATTAAGATTCTTTTCTTATAAATTTTTATAATTAATGTTAAATTAATTAAGAAAAGCAAAATTTAGCACAATCACATAATATTAAATCAGGTATGTTCAAGTTATCAAATACTAGTTAGAGGTGTATTTAAATAGCAATTGAAAGAAGGTGAAACCTATAATAACTTTAAAGTCGATGAATTCTACAGATCAAGAGATTTTTAGACATTGTGTTACAAAATGCATCACACAACAACTAATACAAATTATATTCATTTCGCAACTAATTCTATTGTTAATCAAGGAGCATTGATATTTAAAACTCCAGCTATCGATAATAGTGGAATTCCACATATTGTATAATAAATCTTAACATGTGGTTCATAAAGATATCCAGTCAGAGATGCATGGTCTCATATGAGAGGACGCTCTCTACAACCTCCTGATTTAGTGCCATATGTTAGCACTGATCATACTGTATTTTAGGTTTAATCTGCTTTGTTTGAAGATTTGAAACAACTTTTCAACCTCACCTTTGAATAAGTATTCAGACCTATGTTTAGGGAGGTGGATTTCCTTTAATAAATTAGAGTTCAAGTCCTTGGAGGGAATGAACTCATTCTAAGAGGGATTGTTTATGATTAAATGATTAAACAATTAGAGTAACCAGAGTTTATTCATGCAGAAGCAGTTCGAAAACATCTTTTAGAAGGAACCGCTTATCAATATACAACAGGAGGTATTCCAACAGAGATGACTAATGCAAGTTATGAGAGATGTTAACAATATTAAAAGGATTATATTCATTTATCTAATGCTTATCTTGTAACTGTAGGAGACATAGATGTTTTATAATATTGTTAATATTTTAATGATTTAATCGAATAACATTAAAATACTATTAAACCAATTAAATAATTGGATTATCAACCTGTTAAATTATTTGAACCTAGATTATCACTAAGAGGATAGCCTTCATTTTCATTTGCTTATAGGGGTGCTAATTTAACTGAAACACCAGAAGATTATTTCAAATTAGGAATTCTATCATTTTTGTTGCATGATATTTAAGATTATGGATTGAGACCAATTCTTGAGAAATATGGTTCGTATTGTCTCAATTATGGAGCAGATATGACTTTACATAATTAAATTATATAATTTGGATTTAATAATAAAGAATGTGAACAAGAATTGTATACATTTATTAAATAATTAAATGATAATATCTATCAAGTAATACCTTAAAATATTATAAATATTGCATTAGACAGAATTAGATTAAGAAGATCTATTAATGTATCAGATTTAATTCCATATATTACAAATAATGTCAAACCATCAATTTACTTAAATTAAGAATGTAAAAGTGATGATTTCTAAGTTTTAATTGAAAAGTATTTTACTAAAGATAAATGTACTGTAAATATGGAAGCTGATCAATATTATATTGAAGATATGAATACAGAAATTAAATAGCATTTAAAATAATTATAAGTTAATTATCAAAAATTATCAGAATAATAAAAAATAATAGAAGAAGACACAGATGTTTTGAGCTTAGAATCATTACCAAAATTAAATGCTGCCAACATAATACCATTATTAAAATAAAAAAATTCAATCATTTTGGATCTAAATTGTATTTAATTCTTTTTATTTAATAGTTAATGTTCCTTGTAGTATATTTGCAGCTAAACATCCTTAATAAAGTAATATCAAATGGATCATTGATGTAAGTTAATTTAGTCAAAAGGATTATTAAAATATATGTATATTAAAAGACTTATTACCTGAGTTTTTCAATAAATAAGTAAGTTAACATGATGTAGAATGTTCTGTAATTGATGATAAATTAATTATAGAATTGATATGTTTAGATAAGAATATTGAGGAAGCTTTTCAATAATTTTAATTAGTAACTGATCCAGCTTTGGATAATTTAGAATTGATTAGTCAATCCTTATCTATTATAAGTGCTAATTATTTAAGTAATGAAGATATCCCTTAGATTGCTGTTTCATATTCTTAATAAGAGAAATACCCCATCATTTAATAAGCTAGAAAAATATGTTAATTAGAAGTTGAAATCTTAAAAAATTATAGTGCTAAACAAATATTATCATAATTGAGTTAAGAATTGATTGCATGTTTCTATAAAATAATGAATAAGAATATCTAATCTTTCGAAATATATTCAAATCCACTTTTAAAAGATAAAATAAAATCTTAATTAAATTTACTTTTGACAAATATAAAATTATAATTTGATGGTATTAAATATTAAAAATATAATTTTTAGATTATTTAATGAACAAAATAGACTTTGAATAAAAATATGAAGTAGTACCATTTAAATAAGAGTTTTAATACTTAAAATTATATGTTGCCTTAAATTCTCATACTAATTGTGTTACTGAAACAATCCAAATTGCTCATAAGCCAGCTAATTACATTTTGTCTAATCTCTTAACACATATATTCATTCCTTAATATTGTAATGATTCATAATTAGGATACTGTCAATATAATCCAGGAAAATTGACCTTTTATACTGTTAATGATATTCATACTCTAAGAACATACAGAATATTTGAAAATGCTGTTCATTTATTATTAGAATGTTTAGATTAGGATAATTTAAATTCAGCAAAATTAGGAACTTTTAGCATTGAAGATCCTGAGAGAATGTAATAGATTTTAGCTGTTTCTGAAGAAGAAGTGAAAGAACAAGCCTAATATGTTTTAAAATAGATGGCTGAAGGTTAAACATCATAAGTGATATTTGGAAAACAAGTTTAATAATTAGATGAATATGTTAAAAGAGGATGGACTATAGAAAGATATATTAATGAAGTTGCAGTTTGACTTTAAATATATTTTTATATATATAAAAGATATCATTTATATATTTATTTATATATATAATGAAAAATATATTGTAAATCTGTATTTCATCATCAAATAAAATACAATATTTGAATATATAATTATTTTTATAAAATTAAATATAATTAAATAACAATGAACTAATTGATTTAATAAGAGGATTTTCAGTAAGAGTAAATGGATAATAATCAAAATTTAGAATAGTTATAATAACAAAATGAAGATGAGGATTAATAATAATCATAACATGAAAATGTTTAGTAAGATCAAAAAGATGGTTTAGATTAAGATGAAGATTTTTAAGATCAATAGAAAATACAAGAGATAGACTAATAAAATAATGAGAAATAAGAAGAAAATGTTGAAACTAAAAGGATTGCAACTTAAGGAGAAATGGAAACTACTACTTAAAGAAAAGATTAGAATAGACGATTAGAAACTGAAAAGTAATAACGAGTTAAAACAACTACTGAAAGGACATTTAAAACACTTGAATAGGTTTATAATAAAAGAAATTCAAGCTCATTTCTATATTTAAGAACAGCTGAATAATTTGATACCAGAATAATTCATGATTAAATAAATAGATCTCATGCAAAATAATAATACACTTTTTCCAAAGCTTAAAGATTTTCTAAGCCTAAAGAAAGTTATTGTTCAATGCAATTCTATGATTCATAGTATATAATAATATTTATTCTAGAATTTAAACATAATTAAGCAAAAGATCTGCAGCATTAGGTTTTGGAATCAAATCTGATTTCACAAAACGGGATAAATATATTCCAGGTCCTACAGATTATAATATCAAATTATAACCTAAACCAGGAGTCAAATTTGCTTATGGAAGAGACGAAACACTTTCTAAAGGTCTTCATGGTAGACCTAATACTAATCCTGCCCCCAATTTATATTAAGTTAAAGATATCATTACAACATATAAATATTCTATGGGAGAAAGGACATCAGCCAAACGTATACTTATATATTTATTTATTAGACATTTACCTTGAATCAACAACTCCTGCTCCAGGTAGATATAATGTAGGCGGCTTCAGTTAAAAAGGAAATTATTTTATAGGCAAATATAAAAGTAGTGGAGCGCCTGTTATTTCTCCATCTACTGCTTAATCTCAAAGAATTAAAAAGGTTCCTGGCCCTGGAACTTATGATCCTCCTGGAGATATAGGAGACCCAAGAAATTATTTGCCTTCATAATATTCTACTAGAAGTGGAAATCGATTTGGTTATTAAGAAAGATAGACATAAGAGATTAAAAATAAATTATGTAATTAAATAATTCATCATAAGTTCCTGGTCCTGGCACATACTAAATTCCATCTGAATTTGGTGATTTTGAATTCCCACCAGCATTTTGATTTATAATTTAAATACAATCTTAACAGCTTATTAAAACAAATTATAATAAAAATTTGAAATAAATATCAATTCTAAACTTTCATACTTATTTGATTTAAAATTTTAATCCTATTACATTTATATTATTTTTTACTTTTTGACTCAAGATAATTATTATCTTTTTTAATAATAATTTAATAATCATAATATTATTAAAAATGCAATTAAAAATTTAAATATTATGCAACCATGAAGATAGTTTTTGATCTCAAAATTAACATAGATGATATTAATTTAAAAAATTTTAATATAATTCAAATCTAAAATGTTTAAAAAAACTTGAATTTATATCTATAATCTAAATATTTTATTAATTTTAATATTAAAAAAAAAGAAAATCATATATATTTAAAAATGATTAAAATTATATTTTGAATAAATTTTTAATGTTTATTATTGTAATTCATTCTGCATCAGAAATCAATTTTTATTGTTCCTCAATATCTTAAATTTATGGAGACACTTGTTCTTTTTAATTTGATATTGCTTTATCATTTATTAAATGGATCCATGGCAAAGGTAAAATAAAGAAGATACTTGATAGAGCAATAAATACAGTCGCAATTTATATTATAATAAGTTTTTGACTTAATAATCTATTTTGTTCAATTATTTTAAACACTTATCCAAATAGTCATTTTTCTTATTCTTTTCATAATAAATCTTGATTAAATAGTTTAACCTTTTGATCTATGATTAATATATCTAATACTTTTCATAAATTATATTTTTTTTTATCTAACTTGAAATTTAAAAGAATATCATAACATAAATTACTTTATTTATCTAGACTTATATAAGGATCTAAATTAAAGACTTATTAAAAATTTTTCTCACTGGATTTTGAATTATCATCTTTATTACCATTAATGTATACTTTAATAAGTTTCAAAACTCATAATAAATTTATAATGTTACTTTAATGAACTTTCAATATAATTTTAGGAAATATTTTAGCATAACAATTAAACTAAATTTATATCAACATCAATTTCTAAAAAAAAATAAATATTGTGTTACAAATTTGCTTAAGATTAAATATTATATTAGGATTATTTGATTGTTTATTCTCTAAGATCTTTTTGTTTTTAAAAGCTTTCTTCTAAAATAGTTTTAGTTTTTTCAATTTAATAATTTATGGTATGGACTTTCCTTTGCAGTCTTTATTCTTATAATCTTAACCTTTGTTCTGTATAATGTGGTGTTTAAATCTCTCAGCTTTCTAATTTTAGAGAATGAATATTTAACTTAAGATCTATTTGTATGAGTCCGTTTAATTAATTTGATTATAGGGGCTTAAAATATCTATGGTTAGGGGAAATGTAATTCAAAACATTAATTAACCATTCTCTATCAGGAAGCTTATTGGAAGTAAAACCCAAATCCTCTTCTTATCCAACAATTTGATGCATTTCTCTATACAAATCCAATTTTGTTCCCTTTCTTAATAAATATGCAATACAAACTTAAGCTGATTTAATTATTGATTTCCAAAAATATTTCTACATAGAATTTTTGACTAAATATAAGCTGTTGTCGAATAGCATATATATAATGTAACAAAGCTAGATAAAGAGTCTAAAAATAAGAAGAGTCAATGATTTTAACGAGAACTAAATTGTTAACAAGAATCAAAACTTGTTTGGGGTAATTTATTGCAAGTTAGAACATACAGTTGAATTTGGAGAGTAATCATTTAACACTAAAGATACTAGCCAAAATGTTATGATTTGTTTAAATATAAAACAATTTGTTTAAGGGAAATAAATATATCAAAATAATCTCCGCAGAAGCTATTAACTTAGGATGAAGCAATATAGCAAAATAATTTAATATTAGAATTAAGGATGCAAAAGAAAACTAAAAAAATAAAAAAATAGAAAAAAACAATTCAATAGTAGGTTATAATGAAAAAAAATGCTTACTTAATTCGAAATCCTAATTGGGGTTGACTACAGAAAATATATCAGCACTTTTATGGCTTTCAGCAAGTTCTTTATATTATAGGAAAAATTAAATTCCTAACAGCCAGACTTACAAATTTAATTTTACTTAACTTAAAAGCAAATTGATTGACCTTAAAACTCTATAAAGGATTCGGAAACATCAGAACTTTGGAATTCATAGCAAATCTTTTCAAGATTCAAAATTTAGTTTAACCTGAACTAAAATGAACTATCTCTTTCATATTTTAAGAAAAATTTAACAGAAAATAACATAAAGTACAAAAAAGTTGGTATAAGGGGGCTAAGATTTTTCAATGAAGACCTATAAACAATTTTGTAAACATATTGCATAATATTATTAACTTATAGACTATTAAACATTATATTTAGATGAAACAACGTTCTCACACCAATAAAAACACCAGAGTTGTTGGCAACTTAAAGGAAACAAAAAATTTAGAAGATCAGTTAACTTAAGAAAAAAATTAAGTGTAATTGGGTAAATAAGGTCTAATTGGTTTCAATGTCTTTAAATCTATTTGAGCAATATAAATTAATACGTTTTTGGAAAATTTTTAGAAAAATTAGTTTAAGAGGCTAATAAATATTACAATAACGCAAAATATCTTATCATACTTTATAATAGCCCCATCCATCAAAGCTTGATCAGAAATAAATATGTAAATAAGTTAAACTTATATTTTTACCTCTATATTTGCCATAACTAAATCTGATTGAAATTACTTAAAGAATATATTGTTAAGAAAAATTAACCATATAATGAAAATATCATTCTTAGATTAATACATAGTTATTTAAAAAAAAAAATTATGGAGTAATTTAACTTGTTAATGCATATATAAGTTGAAATAAAAGATATTTTATAATGTGAAGGTTTCAAGATTTAAACTTAAGGTTAAAATTGAGTAAATGAAAAATATATTAAAATTAATAACGGGACTGTATATAAAGCTTAGAATAATCTTATTAATTGATTCCCATTTCATATAAGATCAAATTGCCTAATTATCCTCCAGCAAAAGTTCCTAGATTCATGGTAGCCATAAGCATAGCATTTGTAGCTTCAATGTTTTTAGGACATATTTTGCATGCATACACTAATATATGTAATAAATTCAATTCTCCAATAAATTATAATTTGACTGAATCAACTAAACAGAAGAATCTATAATCTATTCCCCATAATACATTCATTCTAGTAACCAAAGGTATAGTTGAGAGATAATAAAAGAAGAATGAGTATGTTGTTATTATAAATATCTTTTTAAATTCAACATCTTTTAAGAAATTTCTATACAATAAAATTGCAAGTAGAGTTCCCAAGCAACTAATAAATTTTAGATATCCCATGAATTTTGGAGTAAAATGCAATACTTCAGTATAAAAATAAAACATTATTGAACTACTTGAAGGTACCATCATGAATGCTAAAATTAACAATACAGGGCTCTTTAATTAGTTTAAATACTTACTAATAAATTTTAGGATTAGAAAAGAATGTCCAAAAAATACTCAAAACTTCTTTTATATTTTATGATTATTGTGTTTATTGAGTTTCTTTTAATTTTAAAGAAAGTATAGCCATTGTTGATGGAAACACACTATTAATAAGAAATACTAGTTATAGATTTTAAAGTGAACTACTTTGTCTTTTAGTTAGGTACATTAGTAACATCCCTGAAAAATATGCACTAATTAATCCACCTGCTGCTTTGAATCCAAAAAACACTGATACATTATTTGCTGCATGATCACTTGCACACTATTCAACCATTAACGCCTCTAAAATTTAAATTATTTTTAGCTCCAACTACATTACAGATACAAACTGATGATGATATCATAATAAGTAAAGCAACAGCCAAATAAACATTATCAACTCCAGTATATGCCATTTATTGCCATCCTATGAAACTTAAAAAACCACAAAAAACAATATATGCTTTCTTTTAGAATCTAAAATAGGAAATGAATCACAAATAATTCCCCAAATAGGTTTAATTATCCTATAATTAAGCTAATTAATAAATATACCATTGCAATTATGATAGTCCAATATATACTCCAATTCTACTAGGGGATACATCAAAATCATCCTTATATAAGTATTGAATTGAAAAATCAGCCAAATGCTAAACTCCTTAAGAAAAAGCAACAATCCCTACTATTATTTGTGTTAAATTGAAAAAAGGAATAATATTTTTTGGACTCATAAAATTAATTGTAAAAAAATGAATGTATTTTATTTTTTTAATTTATATTAGTAATAATAAAAAGTACTTTAGATTTACAGTATTATTATGGAATCATTATTATTATGATATAAATTTATGATCAATCAAATATTAATTCAATTCTAATAGCTGCTTTGTCAATTAATCAATAATTACACCTTTATCATCATTATATTTTTTAAGATCTTTATTTTATTAAATTTAAGTATGCAGTTAATTTTATAAGTAACTTAATTCATTTACTAATTAACTGCATTCTAGGTCTTTTTGATTTGATTATTCTTATTGATAAATAGATTATGTTTTTAATTATGCATTTTAATTTTTCAATAACCATAATTCTTAGTCTTATTTATCTTTATCTTATTTAAGTAATTGATAGTCTTTATTCAAGATTTCAAAATTAGATTAGATTTGATTATGATCTTATATAAGTTTAGAATACTTTTATTATAATTCTATGTTGTCTCTCTAATTAATTTATTCTTATAATTTATCATTATGTTCTAAGATGATTTGAATTTTCATTTCTAATTAGTCTATTTATAATTGAAATGAATGTTGTTCTTCTTTAACTTTAATTGCATATTCTTGATTTCTCATTTAATGTTAGAGTATTATCTCTTCATAATATTGCATTTAAGATGTATTCTCTTATTCTAAGAGTTTTATTTTTTCTTTTAGATAATTATTTTCATCATTTAATGGAGCTGCCACTAAATAGCTGATTTCTTTCTTTTACTATTGTATAATTAACTCCAAATTTTCCACTTAGGTCATTAATTCATTCACTCGATTATTTAGAAATGTAAATTAATCTCCATTAGATGTTTTTTTATAATGCATAAATAAAAATAACCAAAATTGATCAGATCAATCCATTTGCTTTGGCTTTCTCCATTTCAACATTCAAATCTAATTGTAGTTTCAAATTTAATCTATTTTATTACTAAAATATACATACTTCTCAATATTTTAGATACACTAATATATTTTAGAATCGGGAAGTTGTTTGAGTTGTTGAGCAAGTTCATTGATCTATTAAGGAGTTATTTCTAAGATCTATTATAACTCTTCTACTGTTCCTTAAGGAGGCTTTGAGCTTGATAATTATTCATTTAATTCATTAAGGACTGAGCCCATCTCCAAACAAGTGTCACTTTATTCATTAATGAACCTTGAATAAGAATTCACAAAATTCACGAAACAATGAGATGACTCAGATTCTGATTCAGATTCATCTTCCTCTTCTTCTTTTTAGTTCTATTTCACAATAATTACTGACTTTTTGTTATTCTCTGACATTATTATTTATTATTATTTTATAAAGTGGATCAAAAACTCATTACTTGATTAATAATAATCTTAATAATTTTGATGATCCCAAATAAAAAAGTATAAATTATTGGATTTTCTATTAAATTTGAACAATTTAGTATAAATTGAATTAAGAGGAATATTAATTAAAAGAGAACATGAAATTTTAGAAATGAATAATACAATCATAATTATATTAACTAATAATTTAGTTATATATATTATTCACTAAAACTTTGATATAAATGCTATAATGGTAATAAAGAGAATTAGATAAGTCAGTAAAAAAGAAAGCATGTTTAAATCTAGAAGAATTATAAAGTATGATTAATTATTCATTAAGAATTTATAAATAAAAGATAATCAAATAAACTTTTACTATTGATCATTTTTAATTCTTACTTTCATTAAATATAATTAAGTTTTAATTGATGATAATTTCACATTAATAGACTAGAAAAAAAAAACATAATTAAAGAATAGACTAATCTAATTGAATCAAACTTAATTATTATTATGTTGTCTTGTATTTAATTAATATAGTAATATCATTTTATTATTTTTATTATCATGATCTAATCTTTTGAAAATAATATCTTTTTAATTTAATCGTTTAATTAGATTCAAAGATTATATATTCTAATTACTAATCACTTTAATCCATTTATTTTTAGTTATGAAATTATCAAATATAAATTTGTAACTATATAGCTGAAATATTAGAATTACTATAGTATTCATTTTTAAGATAAATAGTATGACTATTATGGATAATTAGATTTTAATGTTTTAGTTCCCTAAGTAAATATTAGTCAAGAAATATATTTAATTGACAACAAACTAACAATATATTTAAACTTACAAATGAATAATAGAATCTTTAGATTTTAAAATACAAATATTTTAGCATAAGCATTAACTAATAAGATTCATGAATTAGAATTTTAATCAAAAAAAGGAATTAAATATCCATATGGAAATAATGAAGAATTGGTTGTGATTGGATAAATGATTTTAGAATTTTATTTCTCTGATTATTTGATTTAGAGAGGGTATTTTCTAAATAATATATAGATATCCGAACAAAGATTCCTCAATTAAAAAGCCAAGTGATCTTATTTTACTTAGATAAAGGCTTCTTAATGAGAAAAACTTAGCAGAAATTGCTATCTAATATAATATTCATAATATTGTCCAAATAGGTAATCAAACAGCTTTAAAGTAAATATATGCATCATATATATAGAAAAAATCCTAAAATTCTAACTGAAACATTTAAAGCTATTTTAGCAGCATAATATTATGATTCTGGATTAGATTTAGAACATGTAAGAGAAATAACTTAACCTATTTTTAAAGAACTTTTAGACAAGTAATCAAATATTATACAATTTAGAGGTTAGAATATTCCAATTAGTGAATTAAAATAAAATGCTAAATCATCATTCCTTGAATTCATCAACACATTTACAGATTTAATACCAAAAGTATCAGTTGAATGGAAAAAGGATGGAAATTCAGTTAATGTTTTTAAAGTATAATTAGAATTAGATTCGCTACTAAATATCTCTAAAACTGGAATTAATAAGAGATAAACTGAATAACTTGTATATCTTGAAGCTTTAAAGGAATTAAAATAGAAAACGACAAATTAATTAAATTTACCTTTGAAAACATAAATTCAAAATAATATCTAAAAATAGCAATCATCTGAATAAAGCACAATCATATATGAATTAGAAAGATCAATTATAAATGAAAGTCAATCTTTTCAATTTTCAGAGATTTATGAATTTAGTAATTCAGATTTTTAAGAATCATTAAGTGATAAAGTAGAACATTTTCTTGAGAAATTAGCATTTTGAATTATATATTGTTATATAATTATTTTATAAATTGAATAATCAATTAAAAAAAGGGTGATTAAGACAGTCTCTTAAATTAAATCTTTTTGAGTAATCTAATTATAACATACCCTTTATTAGATCAATCACCTCTTTATTATAATTAGTTGGAGGAAATTCTATGTTATTTTCTTAAAACATATTAGCTATTTTAATTTAATTAAGTTATGAAGTTCCCCCTTAAATGTAAGGATGTTTTCCATAGATAATTTCATAGAGAATAACTCCAAGACTCCAAACATCTATTTTCTCTAATTCTGGTATTTACTCTCCAAGCAATTATTCATAGGACATGTATTTCTATCTTAAATAATAAAATCATACTAGACTGCCCTTTCCTAAATAAAAATGATGAGTTAGACTTAATTCATCAGATGTAGTTTCTATTTCTGAAATTTAATCTTGGTTAATTTGAATTGACATTCCAAAATCAGTTATTTTAGGTGTATTACCTATCATTAGTATATTTTATGGTTTCAAATCCAAATGACAGATACCATAATATTACTTATTATTTTATAATGGATTTGTCAATTTAAAATTAGCCATGTATTATAAAGCTTATAATAATTGTTTCATTATTTTCTTAATATCTTCATCATTCAATTTATCTTAACATATTAAAATGAAATATACTTTTTTATTGATATTCTAGAAGTGTGCAATCTCCTAATTCCATAAACATATAAATATTGTTTTTTGTTTCTTTGGCTTCATACATTTAAATGATATTTTTATGATTTAGTGTTTTTTAGAAAACAACTTCTCTTTATATGCTCTTTTTAAATCCAGTACTAATTAAAACAAAATACAATACCATTCAAATTGTTGTTTTCCTTCAAATAATTATTTCTAAATGATTTTTACAGCAACTGGTGCATTATTATCAATTCTTTTGCCTAGAACTACTTGTCCAAATGCTCCTTTACCAAGCAATTTATCAAAATATAAATAATAATCCCCCACTTTTTTTTTTTCCATTTTTTCTTTATAAATAATAATTACTCTTTGAATTATATATGAAAATGATCAAAAGAAATAATAAACTCATCAAATATAAAATAAGAATAACAAAAAAATATTAATAATTCATTTTTTAGTATAAAAACTTGAATTTAGATTACCCATAGTTTATTATTATTTTTTATGTCCTTTAATAGAAATGTCATCAGATTTTTTAGTGATATCAATTGATTACTTTTTATTTTTATGACTATGAGAAGATATACTATGTGGAGTTTTATTTTCATTATGTGTTTCTTCAGTACTAAGTTAAAAATACTTGAAAATCACAAGTTTCTTGATTAATTTTTCAATTTATTAATTGTTATTATCAATCTCTTAGATTACAATTTTACATACTTTAGCTGTCATTCTATTATTAGGATCATTTTCTAACATATAAGGTAATAAAATAAATAATTATTCCATTTTTGTAGTATGAATTTCAGGATGTTAATAATTTTTTCTTAATTCATAAATACCCTCTTTATTTTCTTAAAAGATATTTTTTTGTTTATGAAAGAGATTTTCTCCAGTTAATCTAAATATTAAATATTTTAGATTACAATTTATAAAGTACACATCCTAAACTATAGACATCGGCTCTATCATCATATAATTTATCTTTATTAAAATTAATAATTTCTGGTGCTATATAGCCAGGAGTACCAGAAGTTGGAAATATTAATTGATTTTTAATTTTTCTTGCTAATCCAAAATCAATTAATTTAATTGGATCTGACTTCATTATATTATGGGGATTAATATCTCTGTGCATTATTCCTCTTTCTGATATGTATATCAGAGCATCGAGAATTTAAAGCATAATTTTAATAGTTTCAGCAACACTTAATCCATATGGTCGAGATTGTAATTCAGTACTTAAAGCTCTACCTTCAATAAATTCTGTAACAATATAATAATATGATTCATCAGTATAGACCTCCTTTAATTTTAAGATGTTTGGATGTTAAAGAGATTGTAATAATGAGAGTTCATGTATTAATTGAGGCTAGTGAAATGGAAGATATAATTACAATTCCTCCTTCATGAGATGCTAATTTCATTTTTTCACATTTTTTAACTGCAAAATATTCTCCAGCATTAGAGACACATCTATAGACCTAAATTGAAATATATAATTAATATACTTCTCCTGACATTCCATTACCTACTAGCATTTAAATTTAATAAAATTCATTGATTGAAGTATAAAATACTCTTCCAGCAATCATTTCTTTCAAAAGTTGTAATTTTGGAGCATAAAAAGGTTTAACTGTATTTTTATATGTAAATGAAAATGCTAGTATTTTGTTTTCTTGTACAATCCAATTGATTGTAGTAGTCAAATTTAATTTAATTGTGTATTTTGGTTATCTTAAAGTATTCTAGAGTTATCAAATGGAGTATACATCAGTCATGACTATTTCATCTTGAAATAAGTAAAGTTAATAAAACTTATCAGAGAAGAAATGCTTTCTTGCGACTTAAACGGTAAAAAGAGCATTGTCGTATTAATAACTATTCATTATTTTATTAAATAAAACGTATATGAAATATATAATATAATTACATATTCTTTTTAATCCTATAATGTCAATTATGATTATTTTCTGATAGCATTTTGTTATAAGAAAATCCAATGAACAGATACCCATCAGCTTTATAAAATTTACTCTAAAATTCAACCCTTTAAAAAATGAAACTAATTAATACCAATGTAATCTTAATGCATGTAAAAAACATTCCATAACATCCATCATCATCAACACTCCAAATGTTAACAATGCAAAAACAATATAAAAGTATCCACTCATTAATCCTCCTACAATACCACCCATATCTAATTTTCCTGCAATACACATATCGTAAAATACTTCTGCTAATTATCCATGAGCTAAAGATAATGCCCATAAACGAAGATATGATGCAGTATTACTAATACCTCCCAATACAAATTCAATAGTTTCTATCATCTAATGTACCCATATTTCCCCTGAATCGTGTTCCTACTCAGAAGATTCTAAACTCCTATTAGATGCAGCATTTTATAATTCCTTTCTAAATTATTAAGGATCAATCTCAAGTTCAGATCCTTGTTTTTCAGAAATCAATTTTTAATATTATGGATCATTAATTTATACTTTATGTTACTTATGACCTGAACCTAAAATTAAAGGCTTTGGAAACAACATCCATGGAATACTAACTACTGCAATTATTGTTAATAATTGTGTGATAGATAATTATAAAGAAGCATTATTAAGAAATATAGGAGTAACAGCTTCATCCATAGGTTTTAGTACTTGATTAATCATTGTTTCAATAATACTAGGATCTTTTCCATTTGGATATACAGTCAGCCATTTCATAATGATAAGGAAATCCATCCAACCAAATGTGCAAGCCATAAATAATAATTAAGGAATGAATTCACAAAAGAAATCTAAATAGTTTCTAAAATATAAAGTATTAACTCCTTTCATTAATATTCCAAATAACATATGAGTAACTCCTAATATTACAGATAGTTTCATTTTGTATGAATTCATAAAATTTAGACTTGATCCAGATGCCAACCAAACAGGATCAATACCAAATGGATAGACACAATTTTATTCCCTTTCCCATTCTTCATTTTTAGGATAATAACAACTTCCAAATAGATTTAGAGATATTGAGAGATAATCATTATAAATTAATCCATTATAAAATGCAAATAATCCCATAAGAGTTAATAGATATCTAAATGGAATCATAGCATTAAACATAGAATCTGTTTATTTCTTTAATTATTATTTCCAGAATATAACATACAATCCACATAATAATAATAAGAAACCATGAGCAATATCTGCAAACATTACACCAAATAGAAATGGGAATGTAATTACTGTAAATAAACCAGGATTAACTTCTTAATATCTTGGTACTCCATATGTATTTACAATTTCTTAAAAAGGCATAGTTACTTCATTAAGATTAAAATAAGTTGGTGCTAATTCTCCTTGTTTTGGTTTAATCTCTTAAATTTATCCAGTTGGAAATCTTTCTATACTATTCTACATAGCATTTCTCAATTTATCTTCTACTAAAGTTTCAAGTCCTTCAGGTAACCAAAAATTTCCAGTAAATATTGAACCTTACATTGTTAAGTAATTTAAATTAACATAGAGATATTTCTCTTTTAAAACATATAATCTTAATTATTCAAAATAAGAGCAATTACATCCATTTTTCTCTTTAACTAATTCATCTAAAGTAACTTCTAATTATTTTTTGGTCATTTATATTAAATGTTATGCCTCATTTATTTGAATAGATAGTTCTTTTAATTTATTATCCATAGTTTCTTATGAATTTGGATATTCAATTCTGTTTTTAGTAAATGAATCACAAACTTTTAATAATTTCTATTTTAAAGTACTCTAATCATTCATTCCAGGATAAACAACAACATATAAACATCTAGGTTACGATGCCTTTTTTTAAGAAGAACAATTACTCTATTAAGATCAATTGATGTTTTTATTTAAAGGTGTTATTTTTCAGGCAAAAGATCCACAATATTAACCCATGCATTACCTTTTGTAATTCTAAACATTATTCTTTTAAATCTTGTTTCATCTTCTTTATCAATAACACCAATTAATTATCCAAATTTTAATTATTAATAATCATTTACATTATGAGGAGTTGATCTAAGTTATACATTACAATTTACTATGAAAACATTGATTTTCCTAAAATTTCTTTTGCTTTTTCTAATACTAATTTTTATTCTGTAATTGAATCTACTCTATCTAATAAATTCTACAAATTATTTGACATTTCTTAAATATTATATTTTTTCTTCTCAATTTCTTATTCTAATTCATCAAATAATGTATGTCCAGGTTTTTACCTTGAATTCTATATATCTCTAAAATAATCAAGTAATTTCTGAGTATCTTCACAATATATTAGTTTTTTTTTGAATTGTTTAAGGAGTGCATCAAGTCCATTCAATTTGAATAATGATTCATCACATCTATTAAAATAGATATTTTGAATACCTTTTAACATAATTAGCAAATGGTCTATTCATCATTGGTAATGAAGGATCATAATCTATCATATGTAACTATCCTAATCTTCCCAATTGATCCATAACTATCCAAGCACTCTCTCTTGGAATAACTAAACTATATAATTTCATCTATTTGGACCTAAAGAAACTCATATTAATATTAAATTTATGGAATGTATAATTTCATTAATATACTCTATCAATCATCATCGTCGTCATCTTTTTTAATTTGCATTTTAGAAATTTATTCTTACAGCTTCATTTCATCTTCCTCTGATGCAGGTACTTCTTTCTAAATTACAATTTCTGTAGTTTTCATAGATTCGACTGCCTTCAAAATTTCTTCTGTATATCCTCCTGGAATCTCAATGTTAATAGGTGGCCTAACGATATGCATTTGAAATCTAACCAGAATTTTGTTAGGTTTGGAGATGTACCTCCAAATTATTCTTCTAATTGATTAGCAGCAATTCTCTCTGTAATTTTAACATATTCATTAGGTTTAAGCATTTAAACTTTTTCCATAGTATCAGCATCAGCCACAGCTATTATATAAATTCAAATGATATACCAGAAACCATCTTCCATGAAAAACTTAATGAACTAGATGGATTTAATAAATAAAGTTTATCTAAACAACCACAGAAATTGACCTGCATGGTTTTAGTTGCTATTTGAATAGCCTAATATATGGATATATAAGTTATACTTTGAAAGGGAATTTAGAAAGTCCAAGTTTTTTAGTATCCATTATGAAAACCCAATTCTCTATTTTTCCAGGAACAAAACAATTCTTTTTTATTATACCGAAGTAATAGCTCAATGCATTTATATATACTTCTTCATTAAACTTTTGATTAATTCAATTTGATACTTGCTTTAAATTCACTAATTCAAGATTCATAATTATAATAGGTCTTTGTTGTTTGTCTCTACCGTAAGTGTAAACTATTCCTTTTTATAAAAATGCAATGTTCAAATCAGTTGGTTAGAAATTATTTGGGATTGCTCTCCAAGCCAAATGGGATTGTAATACTTTTAAGTAATTCTTGTCCTTAAATTTACCACAATACACCATCTTCAAAGTATCACTATCAGTCCAACTAATAGATTAATATAGAATATTTACTTTTAGGGTAAGGCAATCTTATTTTTAGTCACAATTTTCATAAAATCAGCCATCTTTTCCTTTTCATAAGCATCATATGGCACATTCTCCCAAATTCTTCTTTGACTCTTAGATCGCTCTTTTCTTTTTATATATTATGCTTTTATAGTTATACAATTTCAAATACCATCGTGAACAATAGCATCAACTAAATTTTGGGTTGGTCTCAGATAATCAAAATTCAACACCACCTATTATTATTGCATGGAATTAATTTTATTTAAATAGGTTATTTTTTAATTCCACCATATATCCATAAATAATTTTCTTAGCTTACATTAAAGTATTAGACTTAATTAATCATATCCCGATTGAATATTATCAAAACTTCAATTTAATACTATACACTTCTTATTTTAGTGGAATTCAATTTTTAATTACATAAACAATAATAGATATTATACAAATCACATTATTAATATGAATGTTGTACAAATATTGATAATATTATTTAAAACAAATAATAATATTATTATATAAATCATAAATTAAATATTTAAATTTAATGGAAAATCCTTTATTAGATTCAAATATAATTGATAAAAATAACAGAGATTATGTTCTCTTCGCTAAGGTTTCAAAAAATGATGAAACTCTTAGAACCTTGATTGAAGAGATGCAGCTAAAGGTCAAATTTACTTCAGATAATAAAACATATTTGAAATGTTAGACTTGTGAACTTCTATATGTTTTATAATATGACAATTATTTCCAAATGTGTATATTCTACAAAAAGCACGAAAAAAGTAAAAAAGACAATAGCTCAAATAATTGTTAATAATGTTAATAATTCATAAACGGAGAATGTTTCAAAAAATGTTACAAATGCAATTCCAAATAAATAATATGTATTTAAAATGAGCAATAAAGATTATAATGTCAAATTTGTTTTTCTGAATTATGCAAATGTTGTGATTCAAACTTAGAAATTTTTTAATAATTTCCAGATACATGTACAAAGAAGAATGTAACTAATTGTTAAAGATACTTTTATGTCATAACAATGATAATAATATCATTCATCTTTTTGCCAATATTCATGGTCCTAAATTTTTAGAAATACAAATTCTAATGTTAATTTTTGTAATTTCATTAGTATATACTCACAAAATATAAACCAGTTATCATTTTATTCTTTTACTAAGTATTCCTTATCGTATACTTAGTAAAAGTGTTTATGATATTAATAAATTTTGTAGTAGATAAAAATAAAGATAGAATACATAATTACTTTGGTTGAACTTATAATTTATATATTTTTATATAAATAAATTATAAATAAATAAAGATATTATTTAATTTATTTTACAAGATTCAATTTGTTACATCATATATCTTATATTAAAAAGAGAATTTTATTTATATACATATCTTAAATAAAGAAATGCGACTTTATATATATTATTATATCTTTTTTAATTTAAGGAAATCTTATAGTGAAACATTTTAAAACAATTTAAACTCTATATTTAGTTAAGTACATATATAATCTGAATTCTAAATAGCTATTTTTTTAGATTTATTAAAATCAATCGAATCAATTATTTATACAATATTTATTGTTCTTAATAGATGTAAATAATCATAATCCACCTTTGAACTTATTGATTGGATATTGATCTTTATATTTAGTCAAATGTTCTCTTAATTAAGTATATTAATCTTATAAATGAGGTAAAACTTCATCATAAACATCAGTGAATAAATCTTGAATTGATGGTGATTATTCTATTGTAATAATAAATAAATAAAATACATTCAGATCCATTTTTCAATGCTGCAATCACTCTATTTCTTACATCTTTTCTAATTTAATTATCATGTTCATCATTAAATTATCTAAGTCCTTACTTTTTCAAGAATAATCCTAATCTATTAATTGGATTGTTTCCTGATTTCCATGAATCAATTTCTTCCTATGATCTATATAATACAGAATGATCTGATGTTGAATGATCACCAATCTAAATATATAGATAATAATTACTCTATAAGTAATAAATTCAATAAAGAAAGGTTCTTTATTTTTTATAATTTCTTCTCTTGCATATTTGACTCCATTATAAACAGCCAATAGATCATTACCATCAATTTTCAATGTTCTCATTCCATAAGCTGGTGCTTTTCCAGCTATTGTATCACCTCTAAATTGATCATCTGTAGGTGTACTGATGGCATAATGATTGTTTCTGCATAAAAATAAAGTTTAGCATTTTAAAGTTTAAGCAAAATTCATTGCAGAATGAAAATCTCCTTCAGAAGCTGCCCCTTCTCCAAACCAAGTAGCTGCAATCTTATTTTCACCATTGACTCTAAATCCATATCCTGCCCCACTTGCTTATGGTACTTATGTGGCTATAGTACGTCAATTAATAATATTTTACTTAAAGGTGATGACACAGTGACTATGTTCAAATCTTTGCTTCCATAATGAACAGGCATTTATCTACCTTTTCCACCATCTAAATGATTTCCTATACATTGATTTACAATTTATTCAATTGTGAATCCTCTCCACATAAAACTACCTTGTTCTCTATATTATGGAAATATGAAATCTTGTGGTTAGAGTGCAGCTGTAGTACCAACAGTGGTAGCTGTTTCACCAAATGATGTCATATAAAATGAGATTTTTCCTTATCTTTAAGACATGTAAAGAATGTTGTCCATCTCTTCTATCTAAAAACATCAAAATAAACATTTTTACAGATATCATTAAATCAAATATTTGATTGAGTGTCTCTTTTGGAATATTATTGTATTCCTTAGCAATAAGATTACCTTCCAAATCAATTACTCTAAACTATTTTATCGGCTCAAAGTTTTTAATTGGATTTATTTGATAAACATATTAAGATGGCACTTCTTTGAATGCTTTGCTTATTTTTGAGAATCTCATAAAGTGCTTCATTAAACACAGATATTAATATAAAATCAAATTATTTATATTTCCATATAAAAGATTCTCTCTATCAATTCTTTTTCATCAATAAATTGTAAATACAGAATTAAAATTACTACCTATTTCTAATTATATTTATATTGTAATATATAATCATTCTATTTCATTCGAAAATATAGAATATAATAATTCAAAATTAACTAAGTGAATCTTTATTAATTACTTCAAAAAAATATCATAATATACAAAAATTGTGATATTACTCATTAAAGCCACTCTAAATTTACCTACTTTATAATTTTAATTTATGTTTTCAAAATCAGCATTTTTATAATAGAGTTTTAATTTAGGTTAGTAATAGTTGTTGAACCATTTATTTTAATTTGTATCAAACATCTTTTCTAATTTTTAATTAAATGAACATTTATTTTAAAAAAAAACAAGATTCATTCAAAAAATATATTTTGAGTCATATAATCAATAATATTTATCTTTAAAATTTTTCGCTTAATAAATTTTTAAAATAAAGATAATAATTATTAATTTAAAAGATATAAAGACTTTTTTATTTTATTTTATCGTTTAAATTAAACTAGAATTTATTAAATTGAATTGAATAATAAAATTAAATTAAACTAAATTAATATGTTACTAACTTCTATTGATTTTAACATAATCATTTTCAAAGATATTTTTGTATATTGTATTTAAATATAATCAATACTTATAGCAATAAATTAATTTTTATTTAAATTCTTTTTAGATAAAAACTTGAAATATAATTTAGATAATTAAATTAAATTTATATTATATATATATTTGTATATTCATTAAACGTTTGAAGCATACTGCATGTCCTTTTACAATGTTAAATTTTGCAATGTCTTAGCATACTCTTAATACTCTGGTGCTTTATATTTATTAGTGCATAAATTGATAATTTATTATTTAACTCTATTTTTAGAATCGAAGATCTCCTTGTTTTGAGAAATTTTGGAAAAATATACTAATAATGATTGATTTGCAATAATATTAGTAAAGATTTCATCCCATTCCAACAAATCTAAAGAATAAAAATACTAATTACTCATAGTTAATTCTAATATTGTTTTTTCTACTTCTCCAAAAGGTGTATTCAATTATTTTATTAGATATACTGTAGCTTCACTAACTGAATCATTTGAGTGAAATTAGCTTAATGTTTTAGAAACATTTCCAAATAAAGAATATATCCATAGAATCTTACCAGGTGGCTTAGGTGTAGTTGAATCTACAACAAAAAAGCTAACATAACAATTTATGGCTTTTAATTTAATAACATCTTTTGTTGAATACAAATATTGGACTATTTTATAAATTAAATAAATTACAAAATAACACTAAAAAGTCAGTATTCTTTATAATAGCATTGAATCCTTCTGTAAATTTAACAAAACTTGATATTATTTCAATGGCTCCTTCTATTTATTCGCTTGAATTAGTAGATAACCACTATGATAAGAGTTTAATTAGGTTTTTTTCTAGAATTGGAGTAAATTTAATGACTCTTTAACTAAGCATTCTGGCTACTAATAAAACTTCGTATTTTTAAGTATAAAAGTCATCATTACTGTTAAATGCTGAATTAAGGATGTTTTTAAAAAATGATTGATTAACCATTTATTCTGAATTCCATTTTGAATTACCCATATCAGCAATTAATTCAATCATATTCAATTTAACTAAAATATCATCAGTATTGTAAAGTTTAAATACAATTGTAAATAAATTGATATAAGGTTACTAGATGGATTAATCTAAGTTAGTTATATATATTAATATTTCAACAAATCTCAGTTAAATCACTTCATTTTTATTATTCAATCCTTAGGTTATGTAAGTAACAAAAAGATCACTACTTAATAAGATTTTTAAAGATTCATCTACAAATTTGAACAATTTTTTAATCACTCGCAAAGCCTTTAAACCAACTTCTGATTCTGGATCAGAAAGTTAAAAAAATATAACTTAAAGAACTAAATTTAGTAATGGTGACTTTTCTTATACTAATTTAGAAATCAATTATCCAAATTCAAAATCATTATTTTCTATGCATTCTGATAGTAATGATCTAACTTTTTTATTTTAATGAGTAAGCAAAGTTTGAACAAATTCAAATGAGTTTTCTTTTAATAAAAGTTCTTTATAGATATCAGAATCTTAAAAGAGTGCATCTAAATAAGCAATAGTCTTATTTAATTAATCTTTGTTTTATTATGTTTATTTTAGAAGTTCTAATAAATCAGAAATTTAATGGGTTTGATAAAGTTCTTTAAGTTTTGAGGTGGGAAATCCAACTTTACTTAATTCTTCAATCTTAGAGTATAATTGATCCATGTAATTGTAAAAATTTAAATAAATTAATACTAATGTAAAAAATATAAGTATAAGAAATATATATATATTTTAATAATATTATTTACATTATGATATACATAATGTAATTTATGGACTGGAAAGATATTTAATTTTTAAATATATTTTTATTTTTTAAATATTATGGATTAAGGTTTAGACCCGGCAATGTTATAAGCAGAATTAAAGAAATAAGATGAAGTATAAAACTTAAGATGTAAATTTAGTGGGCAAAAGCAATTATATTTGATGAGGATTTGAATGTGATAACTCATAAGAATTGTGCAGCTACAAAGGAGGAATTGACACCATACTTAAAAGCCTATGATGTTAGAGATAATACTATTGGAGCAGGCTTTGTATTATTAGGTGAACATTATGAAGTTCATAGATGGCATCCTCCTCTGGTTTATGGAAGAAGAGGAGATGCAGATGTAGGAGAAGGAATCTCATTAGCAAGAGTAAAAGACTTTTTAATGAATAGGGAATTTGTAAAAAGCTAAATGGAAAGAGGGTTTATTTATTGATTACTTATGAATTGCCAATAGTGAGTGCAAGAGCTGTGCCTTAACAAATAAACTTTTATAATCAATTTATAGGTGAATTAGAGAAATTTGATATTAAGTAACAATGAGAATGAATATTACAATAAATTTAATAATCAGAATTCACTACATTTATATTAAAAGCTCTAAGATGATAGATTTGATTAAAGAATTGCTTTTAATTTTCAAATTAATAATAGTTTTTTTTAAAAACAATAATAATAATAATAATAATAATATAATTTAATGATGATTATTAATATACTCTCACACTAACTTAATTGTGCAACCAATAGCTTCTAATTTTGTTTTCAATTCTTCTGCATCTGCTTTCTTCATCTATTTACTTAATGTGGCTGGTAACTTTTCAACCATATCTTTAGCTTCCTTCAAACCCAAATTGAATATTGCTCTAACATCTTTAATAATTTTGATCTTTTATGCAGCATCAATAGAATCAAGAATAACATCATAATTAGATTTCTAATTAATTATTTAATAGATTTTACAGTGGCTTCCTTTGGTGCTTCTTTTGGAACATCTTCTTTTTTTTCCTCTTTGGCAGGAGTATTAGTAGCTGCAGCTTAAGATCCTCCTGTTCCTACACCACTACCAAATCCTACAACTTCAGAAAATAATGTTGCTATTCCTTATTATCCTAAAGGCCATAATTTAGCTATAATTTCTTATTACTATAACCATTGGGGATGAGCTGTTGGCCATACTCCAGGACCTGTAATTCAATTCATGAAATTACCAACTTGAACATCATCTTTAGAGATACCTAAAGAAAACTCTTAATAATCAGGTTTATTGAGAACTTATTTCTACAAAATGTAATTTAGATATTGAAATTCATTCTCACTTAAGTATTCTATATGTTTTGCTAATAGGTTGATCTTTTTCTATTGATTGGAATCTAATTTATCATTGAAAACTCTTGGAGGCCTAAAAACAAGATTGATAAGTTCAAATTAATACATCTCTTTAGCTTTATTTTTGAATTCATTCCATTCTCTTTGAAATGATAGATATCTTTCTTTGAAAGAGATTTTTTCAATTTTATTCAATTCAGTTTCTAATTTATTAATGGTGCTGCAACCAAACTTTACTGCTCTTTGCATCTCTAATAAATTATTAAAAATATATAAATATATTATTTTTATGCCTATAATACTATACTTTAATGTTCTTCATTTCTTAGCTACTTTCTTAGCACCCTTTTTTTAATAAAAAGTATCATCTCTTCTAAATTCAAATTCTAAATCTCTTGTTGTTAAAACTTTGTAAACATCTTTTATTGAATCAAGTCTAGATTCTAAATCTTTCTATTCACTTTCATCAAGGAATCTAATAAATAAATGATTTATTTATACATTCTATAGAATTTAGTGCCATCAACTCTGACTCTTGTTCTTCTACCTAAAATTATAGATGGAGATATTAAATCTTCAAGTAATCCATCATAAACACTTGTAAGAGTTCTTGAATTTGGTCTTGTTTAAGATCTGTGTTTCTTTACCCATTTACTTTCAATTGTTCTTTTAGCAACTACTAAGATAGTTGCTTTAACTCTCTTTTCTAATTCAGGCAATAACTTTTAGCTATGATGAATTCAAAAATTATACCTAATCTTATTATAAATTGATAAGCATGGATAAGGAATATATACTAAATACACTTATTTCTTTGCATTAATCTTTGCTGTGAAATCAACAACTGATGATAATTTCAAATTCTTAACTTCTGTCATTGTACTTTCAATTTATGTTAATGCTGCTCCTACTTATTATTCTAAACTTGATAACTCAATATTTTTAAGTGATAATTACTTCTTTCTTTTTCCAAAATTTATTAGCTGCCATCTTATTCAATAAATTTGATTTTATATTTAAATCTTTTTTATAATTATTATAATGCAAGTATCTGAATTGCTAGAATACGTTCCTGAATCCATATCTCTTATACTAGAACCAACTCAAAATTAAGGGGCTCTTTATCTTGGCAATATTACTTCCTTATTTAAATCTCCTTAAAAATATCAAATTAAAGTACAAATCAAAAAGTATTAGAAAAGGCAGCTATCTCAATATGTGAAGATTTAGATTTAAAAGAGGTTCAACTTGAATAACATCTACGAATTGTCTTAAATGATTTAGATAACTCAAACATCAAATAATATTTTGATTAGACAAACTAATTCATCTAATAAAATTTAAATGTAATTTATTTCCAATATTAAAGAAAGGGAATTTGTTAGTTCATTGTATGGCTGGTGTTTCTAGAAGTGCTGCTATTGTGATTGCATATTTGATGTGGAGTTAAAAAATGACATTTTAAAATGCCCTTATTTATGTTACTAAAAAACGTGAATAGGTGTATCCTAATAAAGGATTTAGATAACAATTAATACTATATGAAGAAGAATTGAAAAATGTCAAATGATTGTAATCAATATACAAAAAACTATTTTAAAATGCTTAAAATAATTTATTTTATTTTGCAATCATATCTTCAATTCTTTTTTCACTATCAATATACACTTTTTTTTTAAATTATAAGTTATAATACTAAAATGAATTGCAGAATAAAAAAGTTTTTAAGCTGAATTGAAAAACATCTACTTTTTAAAACTATGAATTAGAACCCTATTATAAAGTTAATAATTAAAAATCATTAAGATATAAAGCTTTATATTATTCCATTTTTATTATCAATCATTTCCAAATAAAAATGAATATTAAATCTATATCATTAAGTTTTTATGAGTTATTGCTGGCTTTTATTGATATTTTATCATTTAATAAATGCATTAATACATGTGAATATTATCAAAAGAATTGTTTAGTTTATATTTTTAGTATCCTAAAAATTATTTGAGTTTTGAAGAAATTACAGATGATAATTGTTCATTCTGATATATCTCATAAAAAGACTATTATAAAGGAAATAAAAGTTAATTAAACAACTTGATTATATTAGATCTTATCATATATTTTATAAGTTAAAAATTAAGAATCTTAATTATACCTACTTTATCAAACTCATTAAAACTATATGGAAAATATTTAGTAGACAAATATTATTTGTAAACATATTCTTTTAAATTTATTTAGTGAATAATAATAAATCTTATTTTTAGATAAGTAAAAAAAATATGAGGCTTAAAATATCATTTAATTATCTAAGTTTATTTCATATCATATATTTATTTTTTAATATTCATAATCTTGCATATAGACAGAAGATAATAATATGTAACTAATTATTTTTCTATCAAAATCATTAATGTATTAGTGTATAGATGCTAATGAAAACAAATAAATATTTTTATAATCATTAATTATTAAATTACATATTAAATATTCTATAGTCATAATAAAATTTAGTATATATTATTTAGAATCAAAGAATAATATGATTAATCTATTTAAATGTTTATTTTAACTATTAATTTTATTTTAGTTTTTGTTAGGATTATAAGTTTTAACAGTTACGAATATATGATAATTTATAATGAACATTTACTATAATTTAAATTTATATGATTAAGATTCTTGTAAAGTTTGAGATCAATTTAAACTATAATAACTAATTTCATTAATGATGGAATGAGTTTGATCTCACTTTTTAGTTGTTTTAGGCAATTTCACTTTCATTACTAGAACTCATAAACCTAAATCTCTTTTAAGGTTTGTTTTAGTTTGATTTTATAGTTGTTGGAGTGTTGGAATGATTACTTAATCGAATAATTGGACAAATAGTTTCTTCAGCATCTAAATCTCTAGGGGATGCCTAATCAGAACAAAATTTAAAGATCTATACAATTCAAAATTTCAAGTAGCTTTTCTTCTAATTAATCTAATCTTTAGCAATTGTAAATAGAGGAGTAGAAATTATAATCACTTCTGATTAATAAATCTCTTATAAAACTTATATTTACCTTTAATACATCCTTTTTATTCCATTGAAATTTAATTTTGTTGATATAAATCCCATAATGCATATAAAACTTAACTTTCTAAAGAACTTGACATATTTAATATTTTAATATTTATAAATATAAAATCTATTGTGATACAAGCATAACCATAATAATAATCTAAGTTAAATGAACTGAGAGTCTAATCTAAATTGGATGAATTAAATAAATTATGTTCCATTCAACTCATCTTATTTTAAACCCTAGAATAAAAAAGCAGCTCCTAAGTATACTGTTTAATTATTACAATATATTAATTAAGTTTGAACTCAAAAAAATTAGTAATTTTTTTTTATTCTTGAAATTCTTTCTTTCTTCATAATTTCTTTTAATAATATTCGTAATTACTGATTTTATATTAATAGGGGAATATCAAAGATATTCTAAACTTGAATAGATGTATAGAATAAATTAACTGAAATAAAGTTGTTGTTTTTACTGAATCATAAATTATATTCTTATTATCTTATAAATTAAATGATATTTAGGAATTAAGATAAATATTTTATGACTTTATAATTGATAATAGTTTTCAAGAAATATTAATTTCTAATATTTTATTTAATAAATTTATATAATCATAAATCATTTAATTGTGTATATTTGAATGTTTAGAATTAGATTATTACTCTTATTCAGAGATTATAACAAATTAAAAACTTTTGAGTAGTTATAAAGATCTTCTTATTTGATATCTGTGATTGATAATTGTTTTTAGATGAATAGGAGACAAATACAATCTAAAATGACTCTATTGAAAAAATTTAACTTCTATTTAAAAATAACATATCAATATTTATTTAAGTTAATGTTTGAGATTAAGTAAAATCAATATTCACCATAAAAGGTTGGCTCGAGATTAGAAGAATTTGTAATGTTCTCACTTGAATTGCATGAAATGATTTCATCTTAAAATATGGAATTAACATCACTTTCTTAATCGGAATCCTACAATATTAATAAAATATTACTGAGTCATCATCTGAATCAAACAACTTATCCTATAGCTATAATGAAACCTTTCTTGTTCGACCTAAATTTTATTTAATATATATTACCTTATGCTATAGTTGTGAGATCATTGTCTGAAAATATTCTTTTTAAGTTATAAATAAAGATGGATGGCATATTATAAGTCAAAACAACCACCATTTTCTATCCTTATATCTATAGGTATCTGTTTTCACCACATTCCCAAAATGAATTAAACCCATCTGTGATAATTAGTTTGAATTCAACAAGTTAATCTAAACATACAAAAAATCTATACTGAGTTCAACTTCCAAAGCGAAATCACTATACCAAATAGGATACATTTCATTATTAGTTATTAATTTAAATCCTTGTTATGGATTCCAATTCCCTAATTATGAAGAGTTTCCAACAATTCTCACCATTTAACTAAATTCTGTGGAGCATTTCACCCTAAATAACACTTAAGCACTCATTTAACAATATTTAATATTATAGATAAACTTAAATCATCCGCTATTAGTTTTGTATTAAATCATAATAAAACGTGAATCTCAAGGTTCTGCGTCATTTACAAAAAAGAAAATTATTATTTTAGAATTTAAGTATATATATATTACTCATATAAACAGTCTTTTTTTATATATATAAGTATTCAAATTATTGAGTAACTATTATATAATATGATGTATATAATAGTTTATAAGAAGATAATTTAATTTTGAAATGGTTCACATTATCTATAAAAATAATATTATATATACTGATCATCTTTTTCTAATTTATTAATGTCTAATTGATACTATATTAGTTATTCTAAAAAGATAATTGAATAAAAATTAAGAATACAAAAAATAGAAGATTTAAAAAAACCAAATATATTTTCTAGATTAAACCTAAATAAACATTAAAAAAACAAAATAAATATATTTCTTAGCTATTAAACATTTACATAATTTTAGAAATTATTGATATAACTATATCAAACAAAAATTTTCTTAATTCTCTAAGGAGGAAATTTTATTTTTACTCTCTCCGTCTTTTCTCCCTAACCTAAAGTAGGTAACTTGAATTCAGACTTTGGTTAAACTCTTTTTTTTTTATGAACAGTCAAAACCTTATAATTTAATTACTATGTAATTACAATTTATTCTCTTTTTTCACTTAGATGTTATGCATGAATTCTAGATGAAGCAATATTTGCAAATGCCTTTCGAAATAAATTAATTTCCTATTATTACTGCTTCTTCATCATCTCAATATAAGGATCAAAATTTTTCCTTTATTAAAATAAGTATTCCTCTTAATCAATAGTTTAATGTCTTTTTGACTTTGGAGGTATTAACATATTAAAATTTAATTATAATTTTTATTTTTCCAATCTTCTTTTCATTTTCTATATTCATATACTTTATGATTGTAATTATAATTCAGCATTTAATTAATTGAAATGCATAGTTTGTTTAACTACATATTTTAATTATTTTTATTAAATATAAATGAAAAATCCTATATTAGTGATATTATTAATTTTTGATGAACGCTTCAAAGGATATCATCAAAGTTTCTTACAATTTCCAATAAAAAAAGATGGTGAGAATTTAATAATTGATAGATAAAGGTTTCTATAATTTATTTTCAAAAAGCTTCAACTCACAGAAATAGAGTAGGAATAATTAACAATAGGTAATATATATATTTTAAAGATAGAATATTTTTATGATAGAACTAAAAGCAAATTTATATAGACTTCGTATTATGTTGTAAATAATTGTTTCTAATTTCCCTAACATTTTTTTGGAGATCCAATGATCCTAGAGATGAAGATAGATTTTCCTATATAGTATTGGGACATTGTGCATTTATATGAAGATGTTAAACATTAAGAAAATATAATATAAAAATATCGAAATGAGCAAGGTTAATTAGATGAAAAACTAAATAAATATCCTCATAAATTAAAAGAAATCGAAAATGATGTTAGAGATTTAAAAAATGGTAATTTAAATAATAAGCAGTTGGTTGATATTGGTATACTTTATAATAGTACATTAATTTAATTCGATAATGAAATTCAAGAAGCTTAATTTATTGACTATTAAAGTGAAATAAGCACTATTGAAAATGAAATTAAGAATGCTGATAAAAAAATAAATTATGTGATCTTAAATGCTACAAAAGATAATTTCGATTAGGTTTTGCGTTTGAATCCATAAGTAATACACTTAATACTCAATGGAGATGTTGATGTTGAAAATTAAAGTTCTTTTATTGAAATATAAGATGATGAGAATAGGATAGAGACAATAAGTAATTCAGATTTTTTTGATATATTTAAATATCACAAAAGAAACCTAAAAAGATTGAAGTTAATTTGCTTAAGTTCAATTATAGCAAAAAATGTTTTATTCGATAAATGGGAGGATCAAAAAACAATTGTAGGATAGATAAAGCTTTCTAATTCTGAAGATAAATATGGTAATGATTTTTGGAAATCTTTTTACAAATAGTTGATATAAGGGGTAAGTTTTAAAGACTCATACGATAATGCTAAAAAAAATGCAGAAGAATTATTTAAAAAAGACCCTAAGCCAAATGATTTTACAATATGTTGTTGTTATCATGAACATTAAAAGAAGTAAGATGATTCTCCCAATACATTGGATTGCCCCAACAATCCGATGTTATATGGATATAAAAAATGTCATAAAGAACATAAGTAATGTATATGTAATCATTCTAATGATAATGGTAATTATAATCATGACTTCTCACAAAAGTTTTTTATAAAATCATGTAATGGAGGATAACTTTTAGAAATTAATAAAGATCCGAATACAAATCCAGAATAAACAATATAAAGTATTTTCTTATAAATTAATAAATAAATTATTATCTTTATTTATGGTAAAAATCACTCTCCTAACAAATTTGAACTTGTACATGATAAATTATTAAATTATTTTAAAGTAAATCATATTTTTTATATAGAATTACTCTGAAATTAAAAAATTGAACCCTCTAAATTACAAATAATTAGAAATTACTGAAAAATTTGATGATTTGAACTAAAATATTGATAAATTTCTAGATGAATCAGATGATAAATTGAAAATTCTTAAACTTATTCAAATTGATAAAAATTGTGATAAATCTTAATTCAGCGATTTCTATGATGATCTACTTTATAAATTTTAATCTAAATAAAATTTAGTCATAATATTAGAAATGAGTGATTAAAACCATAAATATTAATATTTAGAAAATAAAAAAAATAAAGAGTTCCTTCAAATATTCTATTATGATATTATCGAAGAAGCGCTAAATAATTAAAGATAATAGTAATGAATGTTATAAAAATAATCATTTTAATTTAACGTTTATTCTAATAGAAGACTCATCTTAATATATTTTTAGAATAATCCTTAATAATCTAAAATCTTGCTAATAGATTAAAATTAAATTTATAATTTTCACTAATAAGATTTAAAAATAGAATCATATTTATTAATTTATTTAATATTTTCCTTTTGCAATAGACAATATTTAATCAACATAATATTTATTTATGAGGTATAATGAATTAAGGACGTTTTAGAAATTCAAAAGTAATTGTTTACCAGGATCTTTTATATTCTTAGATTAAAACTTAAAGTTATCATTCATACTCCTGAAATTTCATATCAATAACAGATTTTTAAGCATGTTTTAGGATGATTTAAATCTACAAACTCTCGATTAAAAACAATCTTAATCTTCTAGATTCTATTTAATTAATAATAAACAATTGATTTTAGAAATTAATCTGAAGTTTAGTATTTTTAATTTAACACAAATCTCTTAATCATTTAATCTTGAATAAGGAGTTCTATCTTTAAAACCATTTATTTTTATAAAAATCTGTAAAATTTTATTTCTAATTTGAAAACTTAGTTTGAATATTTGAGTATCTTTCAGAATATTTCTTATACAAAAAATAAGTTAGAATCAATAATTATAAAAAATTTTAAACTATTTAAATAATTAAAAGGTAAATTATGAAAAACTAAAATTCTTAATATGATGGGAAAATATAAGTTAGTTGAAGAGATAATTTTTAAGATAATTGATTGATATTTTTAGATTGTAATGAAATCATATAAATTAATATAAAAATATTCAAAATAAGATTAGATCAAAATATAATATAATAGCAATCTACTTAAAGAAAAATTAATGTTTTTGTACTAAAATGAATTGAATATATGAAAAATAATAATGAAAAATCAAAACAATTATGATTTAATCTTCTTATCCTGTTAATAAATTTTATTATATTGCTAATTCAACAAGATTGAATAATTATTAACTTAAGCCTTCTATTTTGATTTACTACTATTCATTGCATCATAAAGTTCTTTTTCTTATTTCTTTGTTCTTCCTTATACAGCTATTTTTATAGCTTATTGATTCTATAATTTAAGCATTTCATTCTCCTATTCCAATTATTACAATTTGAAATTTATTGAATCATTTGGATTAAGAGTAATCATGTGTTTAAGTTCTTAAACTTCATTTTCCAAAGCCAAAATAGTATTTTCTTATTGATGTATTTTCAATTCATATGTTTATTTGATATTTTAAACCTTTAATCATTAAAATATAAATATACTTCTGCATCTTTTTATCTCAAAGTTTGTAAACTCTCTTATATACATTCATCAATTGCTCTAATAATAGATTAACAATCATCAATTGATAGATGTTATCCTTAAATGATTTTAGATAACATTTTTTGAAGTTCATTCTATAATGCTAATTCAAATGGTCTTTTTTGAATTGCAACATTAATTTAATTTGGATATTATTCTTCTTCTAAATCATCCAAGAAATTTGCTTATTGACTATAGCTTTTAAGTCTACTTTGATTACTAAATGTTGGTGCATAATTCTTGCTATAAGATGCATCAAAAGATTGATTATGTTCAGATCTAGATTTTTGTGTAACATCTTTTATAAATTTGGGACCTTTATAAATAGAATTATTAGAAAGAATACCTGATGATTGATTGGGTGTTTTTTTCATAGACATTATTAAATGTAAAACTGTAATATAATAATAATATTTAAAATAATTAATCATTAATCATTTCTTCCAAATACTCTATTATAAATGGTATAAATACCATAATAGTGTTAACACATCCTTAAAATCCTTTAGGTCTATTTTCAGAATCAATTTATAAATGTTAAACTTCATTCACTTCAGTTTCTATACATTCTGTACATTTTCGCGATAGAAAATTAAATGCCTCTTGAACTCCATCTCCTGTCTTTGCACTTCCTTAATTATTAAATGAAACCTGACTTCAAAATAAGGCAATTTGTATTTCTATGAGAATTCCTAAGCTTCAAGGAATTTAACTTATCGTTTCTAATTATTGAACATTTTGTACTTCACACAAATCTATTTTATTACCAACCAAAATAGATTAAGAGTTTGCTTTAGAACATTCTTGAACTTATTTAATCCAATAATCACTAATACGATTAAAACTGTCTTTATCTGCAATATCAAATACCATAATGACTCCATCAGCTTTTTAAAAATAACCTTATTATTTATAAAATAGACCTACTTTTTGTTAGACTANTATTCATTGCATCATAAAGTTCTTTTTCTTATTTCTTTGTTCTTCCTTATACAGCTATTTTTATAGCTTATTGATTCTATAATTTAAGCATTTCATTCTCCTATTCCAATTATTACAATTTGAAATTTATTGAATCATTTGGATTAAGAGTAATCATGTGTTTAAGTTCTTAAACTTCATTTTCCAAAGCCAAAATAGTATTTTCTTATTGATGTATTTTCAATTCATATGTTTATTTGATATTTTAAACCTTTAATCATTAAAATATAAATATACTTCTGCATCTTTTTATCTCAAAGTTTGTAAACTCTCTTATATACATTCATCAATTGCTCTAATAATAGATTAACAATCATCAATTGATAGATGTTATCCTTAAATGATTTTAGATAACATTTTTTGAAGTTCATTCTATAATGCTAATTCAAATGGTCTTTTTTGAATTGCAACATTAATTTAATTTGGATATTATTCTTCTTCTAAATCATCCAAGAAATTTGCTTATTGACTATAGCTTTTAAGTCTACTTTGATTACTAAATGTTGGTGCATAATTCTTGCTATAAGATGCATCAAAAGATTGATTATGTTCAGATCTAGATTTTTGTGTAACATCTTTTATAAATTTGGGACCTTTATAAATAGAATTATTAGAAAGAATACCTGATGATTGATTGGGTGTTTTTTTCATAGACATTATTAAATGTAAAACTGTAATATAATAATAATATTTAAAATAATTAATCATTAATCATTTCTTCCAAATACTCTATTATAAATGGTATAAATACCATAATAGTGTTAACACATCCTTAAAATCCTTTAGGTCTATTTTCAGAATCAATTTATAAATGTTAAACTTCATTCACTTCAGTTTCTATACATTCTGTACATTTTCGCGATAGAAAATTAAATGCCTCTTGAACTCCATCTCCTGTCTTTGCACTTCCTTAATTATTAAATGAAACCTGACTTCAAAATAAGGCAATTTGTATTTCTATGAGAATTCCTAAGCTTCAAGGAATTTAACTTATCGTTTCTAATTATTGAACATTTTGTACTTCACACAAATCTATTTTATTACCAACCAAAATAGATTAAGAGTTTGCTTTAGAACATTCTTGAACTTATTTAATCCAATAATCACTAATACGATTAAAACTGTCTTTATCTGCAATATCAAATACCATAATGACTCCATCAGCTTTTTAAAAATAACCTTATTATTTATAAAATAGACCTACTTTTTGTTAGACTAAAATATTTATCTTATCCAGCTGTATCCCATATGCATAATTTAATTTACTATCCTTGATGGATGAATTCTTTCTTGACTAGATTTAAGCCAAGTGTTGGAAGATAATTATGTTAAAATGGAGCATCCTCTAAATTATATATAAAATCTTACAGTCAATGAATCTTTGTATTAAACTTGTCTTACCAGACCCTAATCATCTTGTATATATCAAATACCTAGATTACCAATAACAATTAAATCAATTTTTATCATATATTTATAAAATTCATTATTAACTCAATGCTTTATATTATTCATAATATTTCTGGTCCATCTGACTAATAAAACCAGTAAGCTCATTTGTTCTATAAAATGCATGTGCAATAGAAGGAGCACCTACTGCTACAACATAGAACATCAATCTATTTGGAATCATTAATTTATATTTTCCTAATTCGTAAAATCTTGCCCATAAAAATGAAAATAATCCAACAGTGATTGAAGTTGAAAAGAATGTTTTTTGGATTGCACTATACTATTCATCATCAATAGGATCTATCAATTTTTTGGCTTAAAGAAATATGAAACACCCTGATGGATTAACAATTTAATTATCTGACTTAGACATTAAAATTATTATATATTTATATTTAATAATACATTATCATAAATTTGCTTTATTTCTCATTTCTATTGGTACAAATTATTTCTTTGCAGGTCCAGTATATTCAGATACAGGTCTCATCAGTTTGTTATTACTTCTTTATTCTATCAAATGTCCTCCCCAACCTGTCATTCTGGAAATCACAAAGATTGCAGTGAACATTGGAGTAGGCACTCTAAATATATAATATATAATTATACCCACATTATTTATATGCACTAGCACTATAAAAATCAAGATTTGGATAAATCTTTTTCTCCTCAATCATTCTTTTTTCAATATGTTATGAAACAGCCAATAAAGTTGGATCTCCATTTGTAGTCTTACTTAATTATAATGAAAAATCTTTAATAATTGGAGATCGTGGATCTTCCTTCTTATAAACTCGATGTCCAAAACCCATAATCAATTATTTACTTTAATATCTGCTATTTAAGAATTGATCTGCTTATGATATACTTTTTAGAGGTTCCAAATATTGCATAGCTGCTTCATTTGCTCCTCCATGAAGAGGTCCTCTTAAAGTACCTATAGCTGTCGTGATTCCAGAATAAAAATCTGATAGTGTACTTACAGTAACACGAGCAGCAAAAGTAGATGCAGCAAAATCATGTTCTGCATATAATATTAATGAAACATCAAAAGTTCTAATAACTAAAGGATCTATCTCACTTTTCAGATGATATAATTTAAGAAAGTTTTCAGCAATTGAATCCTTTCCAGTATTCTCATTTATTTTTATTCCTGAATTGCTATAATGGTACCAATACAATAAGGCTGGCCCAAACAAAGAAATCAATCTGATACATATTTCATATTCTTAACCAGGTTTTGTTTCTGGTTCTAAAATACCTACAATAGATGCCACTGTTCTCATTATATCCATAGGATGAGATTCTTTAGGTAAAGTCTCCAAAATCTATTTCAATTTGCAAGGAATTTATCTCTTCTACCATATAAAAGTTTTCAATTCATCAAGTTATTATTAAGTAGGTAAATTACCCTTTAATAACAAATAAGTCACTTCTTCAAAACTACATTTGTATGCAAGATCCTAAAATTTTCTAAACTTATATCTTACATTAATATCATAGCCTCTGTAATTTAATCCTATGCCACCAACTCCAACTGTTGAAATAGCAGATTATCCAGCAACTATTCCTTGAAGTCCTGCTGCTGCTTTCTTTTCACTCATTTATATTAATGAGTCATTTTTTGAGTTAGTGCGTAACTATAAATGCTTAATTAATTTATAATAAAATCAATATGTATCCCTTATTTAATAAATATAAAAAACAATAAATTATTTGATAAATAATGTATATGTTAAATAAATCTATTAGTTATGATAATACATTCATAAGGATAGTAAAAATTTAATTTAAATCAATTAACCTTGGCTTTTAAACGCTAAAACAATTTATTGAACATTTCATTCTATGGTTTTTTCTCTCTAGAAATCTACTTATTAAATAAAATTGTCCTGATTTTCTTATTTAATTTAATATCATAATCTAATAAAGATGTTATAGGTAAATGTTCCTTTTAATATGATGACTTTCCAAAATCAACTGCTGTAGATCTCCTAGATTTTATAAAATTAAAACTCTTCTAAATTTCATAATCTGGCATTGCATCCTTTTCCACTAATGGTTTTCTTGCTGAATATGATTCAAAAGAATGAGCATTGTTAGTTTTAACTAAATCCATTGGCTAATAAAATTTATCAACTGTATCTCTTTACATTTCTTTCCTTCCTTCATATTTATCAAATGGAATCATCATCTTAACTTTTGGAGGAGGAATCAAAACATTGGAAATATCCTATTAGTTACTAGATAGACTCATAGATCTTCTTTTTGTTTGCTTTTCAAAGCTAATTGTAGGAATATGTTTTTCTATTATATCAAAATGTGGTTTATAATCTCTTTCTGCTTAGGTTGCTTATTTTTATTAAGAATAAATGGATCCTTATGATCTATCTATTCTTCTAAATAACCAATCTCCTTTTTATGTTGATTTCTTTTCTAACTTAATTGGAGGAATCGTAACAACTTTTTAAGGATAGAATCTATTTCCAGTAGTTTTTCTTTAATCCAATCTACGACCAAATCTGGAGAATGAAAATGAAGATGTTTTTGGTCTGTCATCATCCATTTTTAATTAAATTATGTTAATCAATTATAAGGGATAAGAAATTAAAGTTGGCAATATTGATTTCAATACTTTGGTTGAAATAATAGAAACACGATTTGCTTATGAGCTTCAATCTATGTATTAAATCTTCTATATGGATGATGATTATTGTAATCCTGTAGTTATTATAGATGATGATTCATTACAAGGTGCAAGTAAATATATATTATTAATTACTAAAGTAAATCTATGTCAGACTAAAAATATAGAACTTGTCTTAGAAATTTAGAATGCAAACATTGATGCTTCCACTTATATACTAAAAAGACAAATTGTATATATTATCCACTTAAAAAATAGAGTACTGAAAAATCAAATATTTATTAAGAAAGTCTACATCAGGTCAATGAAAAATTAAGGGAATATAAAGAATAATAGAAATTTTAATAAATTTAAGAATCAATTTATGAAGTAAAGGATGAGGATCTAACAATATAACATATAATGCAATATTACTAAAATTAATTGACTAAGTTTATAACTAATTATAATAAATAATCTGATGAACATAAAACTAAGCATTATTAATAGTATTAAGAATGTTATAGTTCATTATTGGAGAGAATGAATAAAAAATTATATAATTAATTTGAGCTTATTATTTTGACATAAAAGAACCTTTAATAGAATTTAGAGAATATATATGATTTTTAAAAATTTTAATGAATATTATATGTATGATATCTAATGATGTTTCTTATATTTAATTAAATCAATTAATTTATATTCTCTTTACTAATAAAAGATAATTATCTTAGTTCTACTATAATTCTTACAATAAGTTAATTAATTCTATCATCTTCTGAGTCATTGGAACATTTTATAATGAATCATGATAACTAAATTCAAATGAATTATCAGGTTTGATATTTTTTCTAATTGAAATCCAATGTCTAGGTTCCCATTAACATATTCTCTCAATAAATGATATTTATTTCACTTTATTTATTATAAGTCCATAAACATTTTCATCAGAAAGTAGTTCCTCTGTAATTGTTTGATTTTTTCTAATCCATTCTAATTCATATTTTTCTTTAAGCAAAGCCCGTTAAATTACATTCAAATCATAATTTCCTAAAAAATATGTATAATGAGATTGGGCTGTTTCTAATTTAATTTCTTCTGCTATATTTTCGAAATCTTACCTCGTGTATTTATTTTATTAAAGTAAATTGTTGACTGCATGAAGACCACATCTACGTAATGTTTAGGTTTCATGAATTTATTTTTGTTGCATATTAATAGAGTAAAAATAATTAAATTTATTTAAATAAAATGATATCGTTTGAATTATCAAACATATTAATTCTAGTATCAACAGGTATTGGATTACTGTGGGCAGTCTATAATGCTTATAAGCTTAACAGAATAAAGATTGGCACTCAAAATTAATATAATAATTTCCAGGATGATTATTAAGATCATCATTCTTAACTTCTGTTAGAAATAGCATCTCATATAGAAAGTGGAGCAGCTGCAATTTTTGGCTGCAGAATATAGATATATTGGAATTGTCATTTTTTTCTTAGCATTGTTAATCTTCTTTATTGTAGAGCCAGTCTTAGGATAAGATTGGAATACAGTTGCATTTTTAGTTGGAGCCCTAACTTCTATCATATCAGGTTCAGATATAATCGTTAACAATAGGATATATTGGAATGAGAGTAGCTACTTTCTCTAATTATCGTTGTGCCAATTGTGCATAGACAAAAATGACTGATGCATTTGCAGTGGCATATAGAGCTGGATGTGTTATGGGCTTTGCATTGGTAAGTTTTGCATTACTAAGTTTAACAATTCTTTTGGGAATCTATATTAATTGGTTCATAAAAGATTAAAGAGACTTTTAACAATTATTTGAAGCAATAGCTGGATATGGATTGGGAGGATCAGTAATAGCATTATTCGGTAGAGTAGGTGGAGGAATCTATACAAAAGCAGCTGATGTTGGAGCAGATCTTGTAGGAAAAGTTGAAAATGATTTTAAAGAGGACAGTCCTAATAATCTTGCAACCATTGCAGATAATGTTGGAGATATTGCTGGAATGGGTGCAGAATTATTTGGATCATTTGCAGAGGCTACTTGTGCTGCATTAGTAGTATGTAGTGTATTTCCATCATTTTATTATCATCCTACTACATTTTATTATCCATTATTAGTTTCAGCATCAGGAATACTTGTGTAATTAATTCATACAAATTTATAGCTGTTTTATTGTTTCCATTTTTGCATTTTTAGGTGAAAAAGAAGATTTTGATTAAGTTTCAAATGTATTGAAAGTTTAGTTGATATTATCCACTCTTTTAATGTTACCTGCTCTTTATTATGTTGCATATCTAACTTTGCCAGAGAGAATCTTTGGATTATCACCAGTAGATAGACAACCTATTCATGCATGGCTTTGTACTGTTGTTGGACTAATAAGTGGTTGCATCATCGGATTTGTAACAGAATATTATACTTCACATTCTTATAGACCAGTATAAGAAATTGCTTAAGCATGTGGTACTGGAGCAGCTACTAATATTATTTATGGAATTGCCTTAGGAAATCTCTCTACTATTATTCCAGTTTTCTTGTTAGCATTTACTGCCTTCATTTCATATTCTTTTGTCAATGTTTGGAGTTTCCTTAAGTGCTTTAGGAATGTTATCAACTTTAACTATTGGTTTGGCAATTGATGCTTATGGTCCTGTTTCTGATAATGCTGGTGGAATTGCAGAAATGGTTGGATATTCATAAGATGTTAGACACAGAATAGATTAACTTGATGCTGCTGGTAATTGCACTGCAGCCATTGGAAAGGGATTTGCTATTGGATCAGCTGCATTAGTGGCTTTCTCTTTATATGGTGCTTTATTACTTGGGCATCTAACTCTCTCAATAAACATCCACTAACAGATTTAGGAGTCAATTCTCCTTTAATATTTTCAGGTCTCTTAATTGGAGCTATGATACCATATTAGTTTTCTGCTTTCACATTAAAATCAGTTGGTAGAGCTGGTTTTGAAATGGTTGAAGAAGTAAGAAGATAGCTTGCTGAAAAACCAGGAATAAGAGATGGAAAAGAGAAACCGGATTATGATAGATGCATAGCTATATCAACTAAATCCTCTCTTTAAGAAATGTTTGCTCCAGGATTACTTGTCATTTTAGTACCTTTGGTTTTAGGATTATTCTTTGGCCCCTCTGCTGTTGCTGGATTATTACCAGGTATTTTAGTTTCTGGAGTATGCATAGCTACATCATCAGCCAATTCAGGAGGTGCCTGGGATAATGCTAAAAAATACATTTAGGCTGATCTATGTGAAATTGGTAATTTTAGTATAGATTATTAGATGATATAATCAAAGGCAAAGGAACTGATGAACATAAAGCTGCAGTTATAGGTGACACTGTTGGGGATCCTCTAAAAGATACTTCTGGCCCTTCTTTAAATATTCTCATTAAATTAAGTGCTATTTTTTCTTTAGTATTTGCTGTGGTATATGATAAATCAGCATGGTTATTATATGTTATGAAAACTGGTAGTAGTGGTTGTTCAGCTTGAAATAAAAGATTATGAGAAATAATAAATAAAATCAAATAATTTTTTTCAATTATTTAATTCTAACACAATCCAAACTTTTTTCAATTTTACCATTAAATTTTTAATATGCCATTTAATTCAAATAAATCTATATTTAGACTATATATATTGGTAATACATTAATAAGATTATTTTAATGAAAAAAAAAATAAAAAAATTAACAAATGATTATATTCTTGCAAATTAAAATACTCTTTTGTAAATATATGGTCTATTAGATTTTATAAGATGTCTAAATTTGAATAATACAAAATGATAAAAAACAACAATTATAATCATTAGGTATGTGATGTATCAAGTTATATGTGTTATTAACGATCTTAGTGTCCTGTTAATGCTAATGATCTGAATCTTATTTTAGAGAATAGTATTGCAATTTAGAAGATTAGCAGGATTAATTTAAATTATAATCCATAAACCATAATAGTAATTATTAGTGAAATTAGTAAAAAGGTTATACATCTATTAGTTTAGTAATAATAATTACATTAATAGAAGATGTAAGGGAATTATTTTTTTTTTATATCCTAGGATGTGAATTTCAACGATATTTAAAATAAGATAAATAAAAATCTATGATATTTAATATATTACTATACAGTTAAAAAGAAGAACCATGAATGCATCTAATATTCTTACATAATGAAAAGTATCCAATTTATTGTAAATTCCAGTAGTGTTAAAATTTCAATTCTTTTTAAAATAACTTTTTGATTTGCATTCTGCATTTATCTAGTGTTCATTTTTTATAGTTATAATTAATAATGCTCATATTAGTTTTATTTTCAAATTAACAATTAATTTAATTTTTAGATGTTCACTCAACCCTCAGGTGCTAAGTCTTCTGCTTAAAGCACTCCCTACAAAACTAAATATCATCATCCAGAATAAGAGGAAACCATTTCTGAAGATGAATCACAAATAAATAATATTCTCAAAGCCTTAAAGCAATAGTAAAAATATATATAATTTGAATTTTATAGATATCTAATATTGGACAATACACTAAATGAAAAGGAGGAAGAAAAAGCTTAGATTTTAGAAGACTTACAAATATTGAATCAAAGATTACAACAATTAAATAAATCAATTGCTATAAAGAGATAAAAATATGAAAAATGTGATAGGACTTTAAAAGAAGCTGAATCTGCATTTGCAACAATTGCTGATTCTACTAAGTCTCTATTATAGATTGTCAAAAGTAATATAGGAGACATTAGCAAAAAATAAAAAAATTGATTTGATTAACTAATTATCATCTTTAATAATTGAGAATAAAAATATTCACAATTTTAAAAATTTATTAATGGTTCTGAGAAGATTCACACAATAGTATAAAAGTGTCTATGCATTTTGCAAAGTTGAATCTTACACAATTAAACCATAGAATACTGTGATAGACTACAAGTTTTTATAAAAGATTATATTTAGTTAGAACATTAACTTATAATCCATAATAGAAAATTAAATTTGATTCATCAAACAAATCATTACTTTACTATTACAAACCTTTGGTATTAATAATTTAGAATTATTATTTAGCTTTGGACTTATCAATTATAATATTGGATGTATTTATTTCCAATGGTATTAATTGGAAATGTAATCAAACATAATCCATGTAAGATTATATTATTTTGATGTTAGTTTATTCAACATTTCCTGCAGCATTACCAATGATGTTTACAGTTGAGTTTTGGTGTAAGCTAAATTAAAGAAACTATAATAGTGTTTTTAAGATGGTTCAAAAAATTCAAATATTTGAGATATGTTGTTTCTGAAGTCTATTTACATAAAGATGGTTAAACAGTGGAAGTAGTATTTGAAAAGAAATTTTGGGTAAGACTATAAAATCTTAATATATAAAATAGAGAAAAGTAAAGGAATAAAATGTAACACAAATATTTTATGTAACAAATTTGAAGACTTTGGGTGGAGATGATAAAAGACCTTTGAAAGGAAATCTATTTCCTGAACAATGGCCTTTAAAAAAGGAAATGTCAAAAAAATGGAGATGGTCATTTGTTAAATATTATTTAAATTAAAACAACTTCCTAGTTTTCCCTTTAAGTCCTAATTATGTTAATAGTGAAGTATAAATTAAATAACCATTTCAATAGATTTTGATTGCTGTAATGAATGGAAAGATTATTAATACATCAAAATAATATGTAGAAGATATTTAAGGAGATATGTTAGAGATGGTTGAAGAGGGAAAGATCAAATCAGATACATTAATTTGATTTATATTTAGCATCATGATGCATTTAAGATTTATTATTATAAGAAGAAAATGTAACAATCAGAATTAAATTAATATTTAAATAATCATATTCTATTAATTTAAATTATTGTCAATCAAGTTGCATCCCTATAACTATTAGAATCTTCTTCTTCTGAGTAATAATATTAAATTTAAATTGAATTTTCTATTTAATAATATATATACATGTCAATTTGCATGAATTTTTTTAGAGATTTAAAGGTAAATCTTAATCTTAAAATTCCTCTTCTTGATCTTCAATAATGTTTTCCTCTAGTACAGAATAGGTCAAGTAGTTTGTAACATAATAAAAGTTTTAAAGATATTCAGGTAAGATCTATGATAAGTTTATTATACATACTCTAGGAACTTCTCTATCATCATTTATTAATTCAATATCTCTATCTTTAGTAATAACTTAGATAAGTATTTTATCATAGTTATTAGAATATTCAATAAAAACTTAATAGAGTTTAGAAAATTGTGCATCAGCTAATAGATATTATTTTGCTGCCTTAGTTATTTCTTCAGGGACTTCAGTTTGCTCTGCATTCACTTAATTATAAATTGAGATTTATTACATTTAGTATTTGAAAACGCTCTGTGTATTTTAGGAGTCTTATTAAAATCAAATAAATCTTTTTAGGATCCATATTAATCTATATTATCAAAATTTGATAATTAATCAAGATTCATTTAAGAAAGTGCTACTTTGATGATTTCTAACAAAGGGTCTGATTGATTTTTATTTTTCTCTTTGATTAAAAGCTCTTCTAAATCTAAATTGCTATTTTCTAAACATAAATTATTTTTTTTTTGAGCCTCATTTAAATTAGAATCACCTTAAGTTTCAAGATGTTCATTATTTAAAGAAGTTGTAATTGAAATACGCTCTTATTTAGGAGATTTTGGCTTAGAATTTTTATAAACCAATATGATTTAATCCTTATTGTTTTATACAAATTTCTAAAGATAAGAAACTTCTAAAAAATAATATAAGGAAGTATTGATGTGTTCTCTCTAAATATTCTCAATTTTGAATAAAAGAGGTTCAGGTATAATTTACTATAAGAATCTAATAAATGGATTAATTAATTATTAATTTACTCCTTATCAAATTTAATAAATTCTATAAATGAAATGATATTAGATCCAAAGATTTATCTGGTCTCATCATAATATAAACTAGTTTCATATTATATTTTCTCACTCAACTATTCATAAAATTCCTCATAACAACAGTCTTTATGACCTACCCAATGTACGGATACCTAAGTTAATCATTATAATTGACCTCACTAATAGATATATCTTATATGCATCGACAGAAACTTCTTAATAAATCTACAATTTCAGTATAAAATAAATGCGTAGTATCAATTTAAAATTGATCTTTGCAACTATTTCTTTATTTAAGTAGGAAATTATCATAGATTTCATATGTTATTAAGAATGATTCAGTATTTTCATAATCATCATTTACTCCTTAATCAAATTCTTATTTGAACATTTATTGTCTTTAAGCTGATAGTAGACGAATAAAACATTGTAATAAAATAACTGAGAGTTATTAATTTCTAATTATCTTTTGATTAATTTGAAGTTTACATATTTTATCCACATTTTAGTCATTACTCTCCAAACTGAAAATTATGGATATTAGGGGTAATTTGGAAATAAATTTGAATGTAATTCGTTAATAATATTCTCAAATGGATAGATAAATGTTGATAAATCCATAATGGCGTTGCTATAAACTTACCAATACATAACATATTCACAAAGCAAATCAATGCTGTTGATTGTATTAACATTTATAAATAAACTAAAATACTTTTGTAACCCTATTAAATAGCACTCTAAAGAAGTATAAAACTCTTCCATTAAATTGAAAATGCAAATTTATTCATCACTAATTGATTCAATTTTGTTTTCATAATCTTATTCAACTATATCAATATTTTGAAAATTAAATTGTTAAAATTCAAATGATTCATTCTACAAACACCATCTATATTATAAAAATTATCTTTTAAGTTTTTCATTGTTTTATAACTTATCCTACGATTCAACCAAAATTTATTATTTATTTTATTTTAATTTATTCATTGACTAAAAATTAGATAAGATGATAATATTACTTCATTCTAAATAAATTAATAGTCAAATAACTTATCAAAACCTTTTTGTTCCAATTCTAAACGTTAAGCTAGCATGATTTAATAATTAGATTCACAATAGATTCCTATAGTTTCTCTTGTTAAAATTGGTTTAGGAAACACAACATCAAATAGTATAAATGGAAATTTCAAAGTTTATCTATTAAAATTTTAAGTCTAACTTACTTAGTTTAAATCATTTTTATAAGTTAATTCTTCCAATTTATGAAAGAATTATCAAAGTTCGATTATCCAATATATTATCTTCTTAGTATGTCTGGGTAGTTTAACTCTAAAGTCATTTCTAGTTATTCATTTAGAAATAATTTATAATAGATTTCTCCAAAGAATTCTTAATGTTTCTATATATAAATTAATGATATTAAACCTCAACGACTTCATTTAAAATACTACAAGTTTATCCTATATTTAACACATCCTTTAAACTTAAAAACCTTGATATTCTTTTAAAAAATTCATAATTATAAAGAATATTTGTTAGTGTCCCAACACTCAACTCAATTTAGGTAAATGATTCATTATATTTGTGATCACTCAGATCCATATATATTATATATTATTAATATATTAATATTTGTAGTTAAAATGCTATTGAAGATTAATAATTCTTTATTGTTATATCAAAACTAATAAAATTTAAATCTACATCAAGAATAATATTTCATAAATAGAAATGATATTAATACTTCTTATTAATCAAATTAAATTAATTTTCAACCTTTTTTGAATGCTATTTTTTCAATTATTTGGAATAAAAAGTATCACAATCAGTTATTCTCTATGTAATCAAATAATCTTAATCTTTAAGTAATATGGTTTCAAATCCCTATATAAAATAGATCTGAAGTTAGATTTATCACTTTGAAGAGTTATTGTTTTAGATATTGTGCAGTTCATATATCTAAATCAACGATTATTTTAGTCACAAATCTACATTAAAGATTTTTGAAATCTGTCATTTTTTATTATTTTTAATAATATTTTTATATTCAATGACTTGCCCTTTCATTTCTTCTGTAAGAGCTATTTCTATTTCATCATTGTAATCCAATAGACGTCTCTTACATAATTGCAACTTCTCTTTAATAGATTTAATTTATATCTGAATACTTTGATCATCTTTCTTAATTTCGTCTAAATTATCCAAATGAGCCATAGTTACTGTTTTAAAAAAATTGTGAATTTTTCTCTTAGTTATTCTTGTTTAAGGTCTATTTTTAAAGGTTTAAACACTATATATCAAATTAAGTCTTTCAGTAAGACAATCAACCAAATATTCATCTTAATAATCATATGCTTTTCTTGATGCACCAGATGCTGAGGTAGTACATCTTTGAGTTATTTAAATTTGTTCTTGCTTATCATTTTCTTTCATTTATAGAGTAATTGCTTCAAGTTATTTATGAATTATTGATGATGTTTCTTTACTTTTAGATACTTTAAGAGCTCTATTGCTTAATTTTTCAATTTAAAGTTCTCTCTTAGCTTATACACTCAACAATCCTAGACGATGAAGAATTTCATTATTCATCATTTATTATTTAGTACTTCGTTTTATTGATATAGGTAATTCACTAGGTTTTTCTAATGGTTCTATCTTGTTAATTGTGTTTTCAGTTAAAAACACAGGATGCTTTAACACTTTAAATTTTTTTATAATAGGTTTCTATGGAATTTCTTCTATTGGAATCATAGGTTCAACTAAAGTTCCCACTTTACTAACTTTTAAATTCAGATTGTCAAGTTAAAAATCAATTAGACTAGGTTCTGCAACAGTTTAATAAAATTTCTACTATGGAAATTATGAATGAGCATATCTAGGTTTTGCTAATTCAGACTCTTGTTTAAGATGGCTGAAATATTTAACAACTTAATAAAATTCAAATTACAAGGATACCTTTTTATTATTGTTCTTCCTTTATATTGGACATAACTATACGAATGTTGCGTTAAACTCTAGATTCAGGTTTATTAAGTTTATTCATAAATCTTATTCTTTTTATTGAAAATTTACTTAAAAACAATATTTAACTTATTATTATCAAACTTAATGTTTATAATTTTAAGATCAAAAGTGAATAAAAAGATATATTAGTTTAATATTATTTAAATCTTGAAAATTAAGCATAATAGTTTAATATATAGTAATTCTTCCTTAATTCAATATTGATACAATATAATATAAGAGGAATAGATAATAAGACTAATGCAATATTAAACTATATGAGATAAAATTTTAATAATTTATATTAACTGCTAATAATTATAAGAAATGTAGGAAATAAGCAATGCAATAATTGAGTTTTTTGATTTAGTAATAGAGAAATATATAATCCATTTTGCAAATCCAAAAAGAGAATGGACATATTTTAAATCATTAATATAATCCTCCAACATTGATTTAAATAGAATCCAAACTTATCTAAAAGTTTTGAAAAATAGTACTGAAAAACTAAATTTTACTAAACCTTAAGAGCTTTTGAAAAGAGATACTTTTACAAAATATGTATCTCCTTTAAGAGAAGAAAATTATACTTCAGAAAATAAATTAAATTTTAGATCAGATAATGGATAAATAAATTAATATCTTAGTCCGAGATCAGATAATGGATAACTCAACCAATATCTCAGTCAACCCAGATAGGACAACATTGTTAATTATTAAGCTTTTAAGAATATCACCTAGAAAATTGTAAATTTGATGGATTCCAATAATATTTAATTTGCAATTTCATAAGGAAGACATTTAAACTTTGAAAATAGAAGAACTAATTTAAATTATTTGACATTGCTAGATAAATTTCCTATACTTGAGTATTGAATCTGTTTGTTAATATTTTGCTCTAAATTTATATTTAATTATTATATTTTTTGATTAATTTGAGTAATGAATATTTATAAATTTGTTATGAGATTAAATATGAAAGTTATATTTATAGTTTAGTAAATTATGTCTTTCTTTTATCAATCAGATATGAAGGAGCAATTAATTTAATAAATTATAAAAATTGAATTATGAATTTAATAATAGTTTATTTTTGATTAAATTTAGAATGGGAGGATAATGTTGCAATAATACATCATATTTAGATGATGTAGAGCCATAAGATGATACAGAATTGAAACGTTTAGATACTCGTAAAATCAATATTAAATATAATTACAAAAAGAAATAAAAAGAATTGAATTCAAGTCAAACTACAAAGACTCAAGAAAGAACCAAACAATTAGCAGTCACTCTTAAAAGTGGTGGAGTATATTTAGGAGATTGGGTTGGTAATAAAAGAGAAGGATATGGAATTCTAAAATGGCCAGATGGTTCAGAATATGAAGGAGAATGGAAAAATAATAAAGCTCATGGATAAGGTAAGTTCATTTATCCTGATGGAGACTATTATGAAGGATAATGGGAAAATGATAAATAAAATGGAAGAGGGACATTCTAATCAATTAATGGAGGTAAGTTTGAAGGACAATGGAAGGATGATTTATAATAAGGATATGGGATAGAGACTTGGGAAGATGGGAGTAGATATGAGGGTTATTTTTATGAAGGAATAAAATAAGGATAGGGAACTTATATATGGAATGATGGTTCAACATATACAGGTTTATGGATTAATAATAAGCGACATGGATAAGGATCTCAAGTATGGAAAAATGGTAAAGAATATCAAGGAGAATGGTTTGAAGATTTTATGTGCGGTTAAGGAATAATTAAATGGTCTAATGGTTGTACATATGTTGGATAGTTTAATAAAGATGCTCTAAATGGTTATGGCATTTTCAAATGGTCGAGTATTTAATATCCATAATTTAGATGGTAGAAGTTATGAAGGTAGTTTTAAACATTCAAAGCCAAATGGGAAAGGTAAAGTTATTTTGGATAATGGTCGGTCAAGATTTGGAGAATGGAATGAAGGATAATTGATAAAATGGTTTGACAATAATCAAGATGAATAAAAAGAAAATTTTGATATACTTAATCTAGAAGATTTATGAAAAATCAAATATATATACTAATAATCAGACTCAGCATTGGAAAAAGAACTTGATCTTTATCATTCGTTTCTTAATCATTTGAGTTTGTCAAATTATTTTCCTCTTCAGTGTCATTTTAGTATTATGTTCCACATTACAAACAAACAGATTTGACAGAGTCCCAAGTATATGTATAAGCAGTAGCTGAAAAGCAATTTGATGGTCCTAATTATTCAAGTTTTTCTGAAAAACAATATCCATTTGATAATGCACATAATTCATAATGTTATCCAGAAAAATCTAGTATTGCTTAACATTTTTCAGTTTTTTATTTTTTGGATGAACATGTATATTCTGAACAAGAACTATGGGTCGAAGTTTATGTCCATTGACAAGTCTAAGATTTGAATTAACATGCTTCTTTGTCAGATGAAGCATCTGAACATTTAGTCATAATTTTACATTTTCCTTTTCCATTATCTAAATACCAAACACAATATCCATCACTACCACCATATCTACATGCTTTCTCAGTTTCATATTTATCACATGTTGAATAATCAACACATCCTAATCCACTATCAACACAATTACTAATTTAAGAACAATCCTCCATCTATTCATTACATTTAACAGGTCGACATTTAGTATCATTTGAATAATATTTGCATTTACCATCCAAACCAAGTGCAAAATTGCAATAATTCTAATCATAAGTTTCACAATTATCTATTTTAATGCATTTGGTATTATCAGATGTACAAGTTTTTAATAAAGAATTACATTCATCATGAGTTGTAAATTATAGATGAGAACATTATAAATCACCACATTTTTTTGCTTATTCATCATAATAACATTTTTGTTTATTACTATTTATATAACAATTAGATATTTTAGTATAAGATGAGCAATCTTATAATTCAATACATTTAGTTTCATCTGTTGTACAATTCTGATTTAAACTCTAACATTCTTCATGAGTCTTATATTCAATACTATTACAACCAGTAAATAGTATGCATGTTTATTTTTCAGATATATACACACATTTTCCATCTGTTCCCTAAAAACAACCTTAAGCAGGTAAACTATAACATTTATCTATTGGAATGCAAGTATTTCCATCAGTAGTACATTCATGACTGAATTCATAACATTATTCATGAGTTTAGAATTAGAGAGATGTGCAGGATGAATATTGATAACATGTATTTTTCACCCATAAACATGGTCCATCGGAACCTAAAAAACAACCACTTTGAATTTTGGTATTGCATTTAGATTGAGGAATACAAGTTAATCCATTAGAAGTACATGAAGGATCGTATTAAGCACAATCATAATGATTTTTATATGGAATATCTGAACAATCAGCATCCTTGCATCCATCTTTTGAGAATATGCATTATTTTCCATACTTATTTGTTGTGCAAGATTCTTAAACTTTAGCATCTTTACAAAGACCTTTTATAATACAACCTCCAGTTTATTTTGTTGTACAACCAGGTTTATACATATGACATTCAAGCTCAGTGACATAATTAATTGGAGCACTTGAGCAATTATAATCTAAGCATTGATTATTAATCCATTAACATTTATTACCATTTGAATCAGTAACACATGCCTATTCAATATAAGCATCTATACATTAAGTTCTCAAAACACAACCATTCCCATTTGTTGTACATTCTTTTTTAAATGTTCTACATTATGTATCTGTTGAATATTATTAAGGAGCATCACTACATTGTTGTAGATTACATCTAGGTTAGAATGTACATAGTTAATTATTTGAATCAATAACACATCCTGATCTAGTTGTATATGTAGTACATTAATCAATTTAGATACATCCCTTACCATTTGTTGTACAATTTTTACTAAACTATTGACATTATTCATGTGTAGTAAAAGTTTTATCAGCTTTATCACAAGTACGATCTGTACATGAATTATTAAACCAGATACATTCCTTATTTGATTTAGTTTTTATACAATTTACTGCAAATAAATATTCATTACATTTTTCATATCTTTAAATACATTCAGTTTTATCAGAATTGACTGTGCAATAACTCAAAAAATTACTGCATGCTTCATCACTTGTAGTTTGATCAGAGTTCTAACATGATCTAACTTCACAAGTTTCTTGTAAAGCTTTTTTATTCCAAATACATTTGCCTTAATTTAAACTCTCAATACACATTAATTCATTAGTATATTAACTACATTTCTCTGATTGATTTATACATCCTTTATATTCAATTCCATCAGAATTAACTGTACAAATTGGTAAAAATAATTTACAAGATTAGTATGAATTGAAAACTCCTTAATTACATTTTCTATTTATACATTATGTTCCATTCCAAAAACATTATTATCCATCACTAGTTATAGAACATTGATGTTGTAATAATTCTAAACATGTTGCTTTACGATTTACACAACCTCTTTTTTTATCACTTATCATACATGTACTTAAATAACTTAAACATTCATCATCATTATTTATATCAAGACTAGCAGTAGAACAACTCTTTTAAACACATTATTCATTTAACCATAAACATTAAAATTTAGGATTACCTGCTAAATAACATTAATCTTAGATTTTATAAGAATCACAAGTATGTGATATATTTTGACATCCTTTATGATCAGATTTAATAGTACATGTATCTAACCATTATTAACATTCTGCATGAGTAATCAATTCATCACTTGCATTATCACATGTTTTTTAAGTACAGTAACCACTCCAACTACATTTATTGTTCTAATAGTCATGACTACATAGATTTTCACTTAAAAATGTATTACAAGTTTTTAAAATACATTTATTATTACCAACAGTACATTAAGACATATATCTACTACAAGAAGTTTCATTATATTTTAAAAGAACAGCATTATCACAGATTTTATCAACACATTTATTTCCATTCCAATAACATGTTTATTTATCATTCAATACACTAACACATTATTATTATGTTTAATATTCTGAACATTATTATAATCTCTAAATACAACCATTATTAGTGTTATTAACTGTACACTCACTTTTAAATTATCTACATAAAGTATCACTATTATATTTTGGTTCAGCATTTTCACATTTCCAAGATTTACATTCTTATTTTTATTAACAATTACTATCACCATCTTTACAAGTAACAGAATACCAAAAACATATTGTTTCTTTTGTTTAAATACATTATGGTTCACTTATATAAATTTCACATTCTTATGCAATTTCCATACAACCTTTTCGTTCAGCATTTAAAGTACATGTACTTAAAAAACTTTAACATTCAAAATGTGTACTAATTGAAGTAGGTGCATTTTCACATATGTATTCTTTACAAGAAGTTCCATCCCAAAAACAAGTTTTACCTTCTAAATTGATTTCACACCCTTCCTTTTATAAACCACTACAATCCTATGTTATATCCATACATCCACCTCCTTATTTGGCTGTACATTTTAATAGACTCTATTATCCTTTTTCAAAACAAGTTTAATGAGTTTTATATGATACAGGGATTTCTTTACAAGCCTAAATCTAATAACATTTTTTGTTTTCATTATTCCAATAACATGGATATCCATTCAAATCTATTTAACAAGCCAATTAATTATCATTAAAATTATCACACAACAATTCAACATTAATACAATGTTCTCCATTTGTTGTGCATAAACGAGAAATCTTTTGACATTCATCATGTGTCTTAGCATTATATACACTGCAACCACTGAAAGGCTTACAAATACCTGAATATAAAGCACAACCATTTGTTGGACAATTAGTAGAATTTATTGAACAATATGAATCTATATCTGCATATTTACGATCTTCACAAAAACCATCTTCATTATTCCAGTTACATTTATTTAATTGATTACAATCATACAAACTCAGAATTTATCTACAAGTGCACTAATCTACTTTTAACAATTACTCTTAGTGACTCACCAAAAATAAACCCATTAGAATAAATATCATTTATAATATGTATTAATTAATATAAAAAATTCTCAAAAATTTCGCTATCACTCTATTAGTATTTAATGTATATTTATGAAGAAATAATTTATTACAATTTTTATAATCAAATGTTTTGTATAATTAAAGATCAGCATAAAAAATAATAAATTAATGTTTACAATTAAATAAAGCATTTTAATGATTCGAACACTTTTTTAAATGTTGTTTCTTAATAAACTTTTACTTCTTTTAAAGATTTTTCTCATTAATTAATTATATATTTCATTTCAAATGAAAATTATAAGTAAACATCTTTAAATAACTTATATATTTTTCATATTCAAATTTTCTATACTCTCAATAAGTTAATTCATGCCTTAACAGATATGAAGAATCCTTAAACACTTACTCTTGTTGTTAACATCTAAATTGCTTCAGTCCCCTTGTATGTAAGTATATCATTAAATTTTAGAAATTTGTTAACATCTTCTTGCATTCTCTACAAATAGGTTATTAATTCTCGTTCTTCCAAATGGCCATATATTTCAAAAGGATTTGAATTTGTAAATATTCAAAATAATTGATAAAGTGAACTTCCTTAGATAATAATAAAATAATATTTTATTATTATCATTATTATTATTATTATTGATATAATTATATAATATATTTCAAAAATAGGAGTAATAAAAATCGTCCAAACAATCGGGTTATATTAAAAAGGGATGTTTTTGAGTTCCAACTCCAATAGGTTTAATTTCAATCCATACTTCTTTCCATTTATCTTAACCAACAATTTATGGAAATGCCACACTATCCCTTCCTTTTACTTTGACCCATCTATTCAAACATTGATCAAATACGCCATTGCCTCCTTTTTTGAGTCCTGATATTGTCCATTTACAATCACGAAACAATAACTCTCTTACTAAAACAGATGGATTGATTCCTAGTGCTCTATAAGGACACATATCACATTTAACATCTCTCATAATACGTTGAAAGCTAAAAGTTCCAAACCCTATAGGAAATACTATTTCTCTTTAAAAATTAATGCATTTAGCATTAATACAAACAGCCTATATTAAGAGTTATTTTTACTTCTAATGTTAAACCTTCAACTTCAAATGGTTATATTTAACCAGGATGAAATGGAACTAAATCTAGATCTGTAACCCGAAATCTCTCAATTGGTTTTTAAAAAGTTTTAGCCATAGTAACTCTTCCAATAGTTTTAGTTTGTATAGTTTCTACATTGGCAAATAATTGTTGATTATCATTTGAAATGCCTAATTATTTAAGTGTTTTTGATTCATCTAACTTGGTAGTTTTATAAGTCTCTTAAAAACTGATTCTAGTTCTGAATACATCCAAAGCTAAGTTTTAAGAGATTGAATACTTAATTCTTCTGCAAGAAGATTAGCAATTTCCTTTAAAGTAGTATGAATACCTACAGAGATTTTAATCTTTTGTTTTGTAGCATTAAGAACAAGTGTCAAATCAATCTAACGATTGGGCTCTTTTTTAAGCATTATTTAAATTAAAATGGATAGTATATACAAGACTGCTAATATTAAAGATTTCTATAAATTAGATAAAATATTAGGAGAGGGTAGTTATGCAATAGTGAGAAAGGCAATTAGAAAAAGTGACAATATAGAAGTTGCTGTAAAAATAATTGACAAGTATATATATATACAAGATTACTTTAATTAGAGCATCATTGGAAAGTGACGATCATTTGGCAATTTAGAGTGAAGTTGAAATAATGAGTTAGATTGATCATCCAAATATTGTTAAAGTGTTGGAAGTTTTTGATGATAAATAGAAACTTTATATAGTACTTGAATTAATGACTGGTGGTGAGCTCTTTGATCGTATAGTTGAAAAGGAATTATATAATGAAAAAGAAGCAGCTGATGTCATTCGACCAGTTGTGGATGCTATAAGATGTAATTCATACAAAATATTTATTTAGATTGTCACTCTATGGGTGTTGTACATAGAGATCTTAAACCAGAGAATATTCTTTATACAACTCCAGATCCAGATGCAACTGTTAAAATATCAGATTTTGGAGTGGCAAAAGTTATTTCTGATGAATTAATGCTTACTGCTTGTGGTACTCCTGGGTATGTTGCTCCAGAAATTCTAACAGGAGTTGGATATGATATGGCTGTTGACTATTGGAGTATTGGAGTAATACTTTATGTGCTGTAATTATCTAAATTTATTGGACCTAACTTAGATTATGTGGTTATCCTCCATTTTATGAAGAGTCTAATGAAAAATTATTTGAATAGATCAAATCAGGTAAGATAGACTTCTCAGGGGAATAATGGGAAAAAATATCTAAGGAAGCTAAAGATCTAGTTGAGAAACTTCTAAAGGTTGATCCCAAATAAAGATATAAAGCAGATTAGATTTGCAAACATCCATGGATTACTGGAGAGAAAGCATTGACTAAAGATTTATCTGATGTCACTGAAAAATTAAGAGAATTGAATGCTCGTAGAAAATTAAGAGTAAATAATACTATTATATTTATTAGCGTGCATAATTGATGGTGTTGGCTACAACCAAACTTTAAAGACGTATTCAATAACATTAACAAAAAAATTGATTTGTTAATTCATTAATGAACATATATATATTGATGTCATCTTCTTTTATTGAAATGAACTTAAATAAGAATTTAAGTAATAATTTATACTATAATAAATTATTGATTTCTTATAAATAATTTAACGAATATGAACCATTTACGTTTATTAAAAGAGCATAGTGCCAATCCTCTTGATAATTATGTCATAGGTGTCAATATTAAGTTATATAGAATAGTCCATTGGTAAGGGAGCCTTTGGGAAAGTTTACCGAGGTCTTCATAGACCTACTCAATAGAAAGTGGCAATAAAAATACTTGAAAAAAGTAGAATAGAATAACCATCAGATTTTACACGCATCTAACGTGAGATTCATATACTACGCAAATTACGTCACCCAAATATAATCTAATTATATGAAATTCTAGAATCAGAATCCAAAATATATTTAATTATGGAATATGTAAGTGGTGGTGAACTATTTCAACATATTGTTAAAAATAAGAAATTATCAGAATAAGATGCAGCTGCTTTCTTTTCTTAAATTATTGAAGCCATTGAATATTTACATTCCATTAAAGTAGCTCATCGTGATCTTAAACCTGAAAATTTACTACTTGAAAAAGACATTCTTAAAGTTGTTGATTTTGGTTTAAGTAACATATATACTGATCTTCTAAATACTCCTTGTGGATCACCATGTTATGCAGCTCCAGAAATGGTTTCTGGTCAATAATATTAAGGAATTAAAACAGATATTTGGGCTAGTGGAGTTATACTTTATGCAATGATTTGTGGTTGTGTACCTTTTGAAGATACAAATACAAGAAAATTATATGAAAAAATTAAATATTCTGATTTTGAACGTCCATCCTTTTTAAGTGCATAAGTAATAGATCTTCTAAATGGATTACTTCATAAAAATCCATAAAATAGATTATCTATAGCTAAGATAAAGATGCATCCATTTATAAGGTATATTATTATAAATCTATTTTTTTAAGCAATTATTCATATTCAATACCTTTATTTAAGACATTGGCCATAAATATTGAAATTGTTAAATAATTAGAAACTGTTGGTATTGACAGTCAAATATGTAGAGAGATGATTCTAAATAATAAACATAATGCAATAACTACAACATATCATCTCCTAAATAAAAATTAGAAACCTTAATTATAATAAATTTAAAGAGTTCGAACTCATTAAAGCATAAAATCAGTTATTGAAAGACCTAATTAATCAACAGACCGTCGTCCTAATTCTAGTACTCATCATAAAAAAACAAAATCTTAAGAAAATAATTATTAAAGTGTTATGTAGATTAATAAAGGATTTGAAAATAGAATATCAGAAAGACCTAAATCTACAGAAAGAAGGATATGTACAGAAAGTGATAGAAGAGAGAAAAATAAAACACATCATGAATTAAAGGAGAACAATATTATACGTAAATCACATGCCTCAAAACCAAGCAAATCCCCTGTTATGTATTTAGAATATAAATTAAAAACAACTAGAATGATGTGATTGAATTTTTATTACATTATAATATACTATAATAATTCACTATTTAATATAGAGTACATTATGCTTTAAGAATAAACAAAATCCTTGAGTTCATTTCCTAATCTTTAAGCACTTTGTAAAAAGGATGAAAAACAAAAACAATCATTAGAGAAATTGTTATAACACAAACCTAATGTAGTAAAGAGTTTAGATATCTATGCTTAAAATATTGAAGAATACTTGAAAGATTAAAGAAAGAGGATTGCATACTTAAAAAAAAGAGAAGAACCCTACTATGAAACAAAACCAATTTAAGCTTATGATGAAGCACTTATTATGTAATATAATAGAGTTAAAGCTAAATAATATTATTTGCAACAATCACAAAAAAAAATATCATAACAACCATCACCTGAATAACCACGTAATAGAACACCTTCTAAATATTTTGATAAGAATTACAATCCATTAAAAAGAATTGAAAAATTTGATATTCCATCTCTTTAACCTGTTAATGTTTCACCTCCAAAAGAACTCAAACCAATTCAATTCAGAGTAACTTATACCATTAATTAGATAGTATAATTATACAATGTAAATAAATGATCCACTTCTTAGATAAGTACTTAATACTCGTTAATAATGGTATGAAGTTCCAAATAATTCATTTGCTCATTTATAATGGCTAAATTAACTCTTAGATTTTAGTAATCTTTCAAAATAAGAAGTTGTTTCTAAAAGATAAATGGTAAATTTAATGGAATTTCAACATGAATGGTCAAATAAATCATAATTATATAATAATATTTGCTCTAATTCACCAGAATAAGCATTAAAAGTATTACCACCAGGATTTGTATTGAATTTTAAAATTTCATAATGGGTTGAAGATCTAGAATTTCTTTAAGATTATTTAATAAGTCATCATCCTTAAAAAGAAACATAATAAAAATTTCCATTTTCTGTATATGTTCCTAATAAAGGAGGCTAAACATATAATAAATAAATTTCAAAATTAATTTAAGATGTTCCAAAAATTTGGATATGTAAATCAGCTATTGGATCTGGAGCTACTATAATAAATAGTATTGATTAATTATAATCATTTTTAATTCAACAATACAAAGATTAAAAAGAATTTGTGATTTAAAAGTATATTACAAATCCTTTATTATATGATGGAAAGAAGTTTGATATTTAAATCAATGTATTGATTAATTAAGATAATTCAATTTTTATTTCAGCTGAACCAACAGGAAGATGTTGTACAGTTAATTATGATATTAATTCAGTATTCAATTTATTTAAAATATTTAGGAAGATCCATTTGTTCATATTAAACCAAAATAAGTTATATCTAACAAAAATTTAGTAGAATTTTTAGATACTTAAGGAATATCTTAATAAGATCTTTTGAATCAAATAAAGTCTTCAATTTCTTTGATTCCTTGTAAATTAAATAGAAGATAAAGAAAATATTGTATGTAAATCTTTGGTTTTGATTATTTATTTGATGATAACAAAAAAATACATTTATTAGGAATAAATGCAAATCCAATTTATACATTTGCTGAATTAGATGGTGCATTTAAATTAACTTTAGATAAAATTTTTCCTATAAATAATAAAAGCGAAGAAAAATAAATTTGGATCGGTTTATTTTGATATAAATTTATATAAAAATTATATGTATTTATTTATTTATATATTAAAAATATATATGTAATAAAGTAAATTAATTTCAATTGGCACCTAAAAGTTAAAATTTATTCCATATACAGCTGAAGTAGTTGAGACATATCATAAATGGATGTAAGATCCAGAAATACTATATTTAACAGGAAGTGAACCTTTGACTTTAGATGAAGAATATAAAAATTAAGAAAGTTGGTTGAATGATCCATTAAAACATACTTTTATCATAAAAAATGATAAAGAAATGATTGGAGATGTCAATTTATTTTTCCATTAATACTTAGATGATGATGAAGCTGAAATTAATGTTATGATAGGAAATAAAAATGCAAGAAGATAAGGATGTGCAGAAGAAGCAATAAAAACAATGATGAGTTTTGGATTATTATAATACAAGAAGACTAAATATATAGCAAAAATAAAAGATTCTAATGAAGGTTCAATTAAATTATTCTTAAAAATTGGTTATAAAGAAATAAAAAAATTACCATAATTTGAAGAAGTACATTTATAAATGATAATAAATGCTCCTTTAATTGAATATATTACAATATGAATATTGATTGATTATTATATCATTATTTATTGAATTTTGTTTTTAAACTTTCCCAAATACCTCCTGCTCTTTCTTTAACAGTACCAAATGTCTCTATAGTTTTTTCAGTTGCAAAATTAAACATATTCTTAAATTAATCCATTTCTAATATATTATTTTAAATATACTTTATGATGAATCTTCAGAATCCTCTTCTTTTTCTCCAAAAAATTATTTACTAGATATAGCAGTTTATCCATTGAATTTATATATATTCTATTTATTTTATTCACTAATAATAATTAATATAACTTAATTACCTATCTTAAGATTAGAATAATGTTTCAGATGATATTGATTTGACATTTTTATCTTTCAATTTTTCCAAAGTTTCATTACTTTATGGAATTGTTTAAGTAGGTTATTGAGTTTATTTAATTATAACTTTAGGTTCATCTTATTATGGCTATTCTATTTTATTGGAATCAGATTTGAATGGATCATTATTAAATGGATTTGAAAATGGATCATCAAATTATAATGAATCGAAGTCCACGTCAGCTAATTTCTTACCTTAAACTGCTTTGCCAGATGCAGCTTATGGTTTCGCATTATCAGCAAATACAATTTTATTACTTTTCTTAGTCACTATTGCTTCTTCTTATAACAAATTGTTTTAAAACACTTGCTTAGGTTATTCTTTTATTGGAGATTCTTCTTCTTTATTTTAAGCTTGTTTTTCAGATGTTTGAGCTATTTTAACAGGACTTGGAATAAGTGATGGACGAATTATATTCAGCTTTTCTTCACACAAGGCTAATACACCAAATCAGAGTACTTATTTAAGAAGTTCTTATTTGTATTTTTCAACTAGAGGACTTTTGTAATCAATTTGACTACATCCTGGACCAATTAATCCAACACTTTAAAAATATTCCAAGGCTTTTTCATTACCTCCTACTTGAAGGAATGTAATTTATTTTCTTGACCAAGAATCTAAAGTAAGAGATCTAAACATAAATGAATTTTTAACCTTGCAAATGTATAACGAACACCGTATTCTCTATGTTTACCAGAACAATCAATACACAAAAATAAACCCAAAGTAACAGATGCCCATTTTGTATTTTTTTTACCACAATCAATACATTTCTAATAGATGTTCAAAATAAATTATTTACATCATTTCCTTAAACTAGTTTCAATTATTTAATAATTTAATCTCTCTCTGCATCATCAATCTAAATAAATACATATACTAATTTACAATCTAATTCTCCATATTTAATTGGATTTCCAAACTATTTTTTATAACAATATTTATAAAAATAGCCCATTCTATTTATGAACTTCAAAAACTACAAAAAACTGAAATACAATTAATATTATTATTTAACTAAATACTAAACTTTTCATATGAACTTAATTTAAGACTTTTTGAGTAATTTAAAAAAACAATAACATTAATATTCAAAAAAAAACCTTTTATTTAAATAGGTATTTATCTTTAGTGAAATAACATATTCTAATAATTATAATCAAGTGATATTAATCTAAAACTATAAGCATAATTTCATTCCTCTATAAAGAATAAATAATAGTTTTTTAAATATATTATTATTAAATAATTCTTAAGAATGATGAAAATGGATATAAAGTAATTCTCTATGCTTCGATTGATTGGCAAAGGAGCTTATGGATAAGTATTTTTGGCTAAAAAGAAAGATACTAACAAAGTTTATGCTATCAAAACATTAAAGAAAAAAGAAATTGATAAAAAGAAATAAGCTGTATTTATTTATATTATATAATTAGTAACATGTAATGATGGAAAAAACTATTCTTAATTAAGCAAAACATTAGTTTATTGTTTCCCTTTCATATACTTTTCAATCTGATAAACATTTTTACTTTGTTTTAGAATACTGTGCAGGTGGGGATTTATTTAGTTTATTGAGAGTAAAAAGAAAGTTAAAAGAAGAATAAATACAATTTTATGCAATTCTAATAATTCATGCATTATAATTTCTACATACTTAAAAAATTATCTATAGAGAGTAAATATAAAAATATATAAATAGTTTAAAACCTGAAAATGTACTTATAGATGAGAAAGGTTATATAAAATTAACTGATTTTGGGCTTTCTAAAATATTACTTTAAGAAAAGGCTGATTCAATTGTTGGAACTCCTGAATATTTGGCTCCTGAAATTCTTAGTCAAAATGGAGATGGATATGATTATAAGGTAGATTGTTGGTCCTTGGGATGTTTATTATATGAAATGATTGCTGAATAACCTCCTTTCATGTCAGAATAAAGAGATCAATTAATTAAGTTAATTAAAACAACACAACCATAATTTAATTTCCCGATATCTAATGAACTTAAAGATTTAATAGTTAGTTTATTGTAAAAGGATCCAAAATAAAGACCCTCTTTAATTGAAGTTAAAGAATTTCCATTCTTTAAAAATGTTGAAGATTGGCAATCTTATTTATATTATAAGGTTCTTCCTCCCTTCCTACCTGTTATTCATGGACCTGAGGATGTAAGCAATTTTGATCCTGTAAATCAATCTATCATAATATTTAGGAATTTACTTAATAAGAACAATTCGGATCTCCAAGTGATGGATCAAATTCAGATAATAAGTTTCCTGGCTTTTCTGGTAATAATTCTTAATAATGAATATAATACATATATAGTTTATTAAAACACTAGAATCCTTTCAATAATTTGAAAAGAATGGTCTTCTTTTAAGCATTCTAAATTTATTAAATTATATTGCGAATCTTACTAAAATAAAGTATTTTTTTAATTTAAATTGTACCTGTAATTATTTTTATAGTAATTTCTTGGAATTTTGTAAGATTTGTTATATATTAAATAAATATAGATAAATAGTAATCCTAGATATATTTAAAAATTATTTAATTGGATTTGAGCTAAAAATTAGTTTCTTAAAAATTTGGTAGTATTCAATTTTTTGTAAAATTAAATCTCATATTAAATTGTCTATAATTGTTATGATTTTTTATGATATATCTAAATTAATAATAATAGAATATTTAGATATTTAAAATGTAATTTAATTAAATATTAATCATTTCTTTTTGAATTCCTAGAGTTTTCATTTAAAATAAACATAATTTATAATTTTTTATATAAAATTTTATAAAATGGAAAATGATCTTCAAAAAGAAAATCAATTACTTGTAGAATAAATTAAGGTGCTCTAAGCTTAATTGAATAACAGAGAAACTTTAAAAAATGAATGTTCTAGAATAAATGATTAAAGCAGCTTTTTTAGCACATTCAAATAATAAACACCGAGAGGTAATATTAGTAGAGACCAAAGTAAAAGAGATCTATAGGATTTGACTGCTTAAGTGAAGAGACTAAATGAGTACAATATCAATTTATTTCCAAAGAGAGAAAGAATAATTAAGGAAAACCTTAAAACATCAAATTGATGCTTATGATCAAAAAATTCAATAAAAAGAAATGGAATTAAGCCAAAAAGAAAAAATGTTTAGACAATTATAGAATGACTATAAAGAATTATAATAAAGCCTTATATAAGAATAAAATAAGCCGACTCCTTAACCAGCAGCACCTACACCACCTGTTCCTACAAAACCTATTGGTGATTAAATACAATAATATAGAGTTTAAAAGGTTGGTCTTATGAATCTTCCTTGTTTAGTATTGAATAATATACTTATTCATAGATTATAATTAGAAAGAATATATTCGAATAATTCGTAATTGAGATAGAAAATACAAAAGATAAAATTTGCATTAATGTGTCAGATATCACAGATTTGGTACCTGATAGAGTTAAGGAGGAGCATTTTTAGTTAACATACAAATTATAAAATTAAAAGATTACAGAAGTTTATTAATCAACAGAATATAAATAAATATTAAGAGCAATTAAGTAATATGATTATATATAATTATTATAGATATCTTCATTCTTAATAATAATAAACTAGAAAATAAGAAACCTAACCAGCTTAATTATAATAAGAATAACAAAGTGGTTTAATCAAAAGTTTGAGTTCATTTTTTATGAAAAAATGACATTTTATTAATAATAATAAATTAGATATAATAGATTCAAAATACATTATTCTCACAATTTATAATTTCCTCCAATAAATTCACTAAAACTTTATTATATTCTTTATTTTCAACCCCTGAAACATTTAATCCAGCCTTTAATAATTAAATTAACCATTTGCTTACAACTTTTGATTTCAAATTCTATTTTAAAAAAGGGAATACAGTTTCCATAAATAATAATTGTAATCTACTTATAACAATCTATGATTCCAGATGTCTTAATTATTCTAAATTACCATTCAAAGTGTCTTATCTATGTTATGGTTATGAAAACCCAATATAAGCATCAAGAAATCTTTATATTAATTATTCAATAAAAGAGAAAGGATCATTACTAAGAAAAACAATTACTTTAGCTGCCAATAATTCAATATTTATAAAACTTAATTATTTGCTTTATGTTGTGTTATCCAAATCATCAAATTCCTAAGAACTTCTCTTAACAAAATTCCATTAAACTGCCCATTATTCCAAAAAATATCTCATATATAAATTAGTGTTAAATTTTCTGCATTTTTAATATTATTCCTAAAATAATTACAAAATTAATTATTTATTTTGTTCAGTAATTTAATTTTAAAATTATGTCACTTAAACTTCTAATATTTCTAAACATCTTTCTTAGATAGATTATTTTGATGAACATTCTTAAGCATTTATTTTAAAACTAAACTTTTTTGGTCTAATCTCTTCCTTTAATAATTCATCTAAAGGTTTTTAAAAATCTTCATCTAAATTAAATGCCTCTAATAATTCAGTTGGAGAACATTATTATAATAAATGTTATATTTATTCTATTAATATATTCCAATTATCTTCATTTAAATATTCACCTACATTTTAGATAATTTTCTTAAGTGATTAAAGACATAAAATCGATATATGCTATATTAATAATATTTATATTTACATCTTAAGTTTATAAGACAAGCTATATGTATATATCTATTAAATCATTTATACAAGGTTACATTTATTGTATTTATGAAATCACTAAATCTGTAAATAATTAAAATGTCATTTTGCAAGTTGAAGCTATAGATTTTTTGGATTACTATTATTTTGTGTATTATAATTTAGAAAATTGAATTTCATCAAATAATGGTCTTATAACTCCTCTTAATATCATTTTCCAAAATTCATTTGATTAATAAACACCATGTTTTTAAAGCAATTCAAATAGTGTTTGTACACTTTACTATTGAACAGCTACTCTCTCATCACTATATAATATAGATAATGATGACAATACAGGAATCCATAATGAATCTAAAAATTTATTGTCATTTTTTTTTATTAATGCTATATGATCAACTAATGTCTTCAATTATTTAATAGCATTTTCAACAATTATAATATCTTTATTTTTAGTCAATTTTATTAATGCTTAAATTAATTCCATATATATTTCTTAATTAACCTATTGATTATTTACATCTTCCATTATTTTATCTGTAATTTATACACATAATCTTATTAATTATTATTAATCTTCTTGAAGTGCTTAATTAACAATACTCATTATAATTTTCCAACCACTTTTAAGTGAATTAAAACAAACATTAGTTATCATACACATACAAGATAATAAATATTCCCTTAATTAAATTTTATATTATTATTAAGCTTAACTATGACTGAAAATTTATTCAAAAGGCATAAGAAATTCTTTTTAAAAATGATAATTAGCTAATTCTGGTTATTATAAAAATTTGCAACTTAATTATTTTAATTAATCTATAGCATAAATTGCTAAATCTACATTTTTATGACATCCAACTTCAAGAAAGTGTTCTCTCATTATTTCCCACATTCTAGACCATATAATTTTAATTCTATTCATATTAAAATCAGCAACTTCAATCATTCTACTTAATAAAAATGTTCTATTTTATTTTATTTCTTCTTTTGATAATTCACATAAAGCTCTAATAAATTCTAATATAGAATTTGAATCTAAATTTATAGACATATTGAATATCTTATCAATTTAATCATAAGAAATTGATTAAAATAATCTTTCAATATTTTGTATATCTTCTTAATTATAACTTTCCTTTTAAGGTGAATCAACCTTTATTTTCTTTACAACTTAATGTAAAATTTCTAATTTAGAAACTAATTACAAAGCAACTCTCCAACTTTTTCTTAAATATTAACCAGATTATATTGCTGCTTTTATTAATGCTTAAACACCCAATATTTATCTATAAGTATTTGGAATACCTGTACAATATCTCTATAAAAAACTTATAAAAGTATCTTTTTCTTCATCTAAATCAAATCTACCCATCAAATATATAAACGATTGAATTGTCTCAAAACATAATAAAATCTATTATTAATCTTCAGTTTATTCTAAAAATACACTAATTGAAGCAAATATTGGACTCCAAGTTTATTATAATAAAGATTTGACATGATCAATAGAATTTGCATAGAAATAAGCATCTTAATTAGGATGTTCTTTAAACCATTTTTTTAAAGACTCTTCAGCCTCTTTTGCTAACATTGCATGTCTTTTTCTTTAATCAACTTAATTAGCTTATTCTAATGCTCTTTTAGCTTATTCTTTAGCATGTAATGCAAGAGGAGTCTTTTAAATTCTTTAATAAAATCCAAGTAATAAATCTTATGGAAGATTTTCACCATCATTAATTCCTTTTGCTAAATTAAAGAATTAAGGAATTGTCATTTTATCTAAATTTTTTTCATTATGTAAATCTGTTTATAACATCATTAATAGATAAGAAAGTGTATATGCAGCTTATGCTGATTAATAGATTCCAGGATTATCAATGCAATATTTAGATGCAAATTTTTCCATAATTCTATCTATTTATTAAGATTCTCCTGGTAATGTAAAGAATTCAAGCATATATCTTAAACCTTCATCTACTTATAAATCTTTAAAGTTCATAAAATCTATATATTATTAGAATACTTATTAATTGAATTCACTTGAACAACCAAATAATTCTCCTAATTTATCTTTATTTAAATCTCTATTTTCCCATAAAAATTATGCAAATAATTTAGGATCTCTTGTTTCCATAAATTAACAAGCAATTAAATGTTTTATACAATGTTCAGGTTTAAAATTAAATTTCTAAACAGCTTTATTCATTTCTAATTTCATTTATTTTTATTTTTCAATAGGATCTTGTGATAATTATTATGATTAAATAGTAGTGTCTTCTTAATCATCAAGTTATTAGACTTATACAATATTATATGTGTCTTCATTCTATTCACAAAATTCTTTAATGCATTTAATATATCCATAATAGTTATCTAGACATAAGGATTTTAAATAGGTTTCTTAATTTTGAGTTATTGATGCTTAAAATTCTTATTTACTAAATCTACCTTAAATGATTCTACATTACATATCTAAAATCTTTTTTAAGAGATTATTTTATCCTAAAGAACAATCATAATTAACAAAAATTTCAATGACAACTCTTGGTTTAGTCATTATTTTATTAAATACTTTAAGAGTATATTATTTATGATCAAAAGAGCTATTGCTACTGTCTAAAAATTTAAAATAAACATTTTCAATTAATGCTTCTAATTCTTTTTTAAGATGACTTCTTACTTTCCAAATCAATTAAATAAAGATATTAAGAGTTAATATTAATAATTATTTTTCAGTTGAAAGAGAATTCTTTAAAAGTGATTCCAATAATTATTCTTTAATAACTTAAATTAATTTTGGTTTATTTTATAAAATAGTATTACTTTATGCCAATGCCTCATATATTAATTCTAAAGAAAGTATTTTACATTTGATAGCAATTTAATTTAATTAAGGATTACTATTATCTCTTTAAGTTAATTAACATAACATTTCCAATATCTCTTGAGCATCTTTACAATATAATTCACTATTATTTGAATGTTGATAACATTATGAGAAATTATTCATTTAATTAAGATGTATAAATTTACACTCTTTACTACAAATAGGTACTTTAGTCTCTTTACAATATTATGATGCTTATTTTCTACAAACAACACACCATCCAAATTTTCCATTTTTAATATTTTATTCATTAATAACTTAAACTTAGATCTAGTTTTTTTCAACTGTTACATTTCTTAAATTAGGTTCCTGAAGATTTAAATCAATAACTTTCATTTAATTTAGGTCTTCTATTTGTCTATCATATATTTATTTTCTTTCAGAATACATTTAGACTTCATCAATTAAAGATGTCATCAATGATCTCATATATTATTCAGCATTAACCATTGCCCTACATTTACCTAAAATCAATTATCCTTAATTTTCTTATTTTTATATAGCTTATTAAAATTCATCTTCTGTTAAAATACCATAGTCTTCCAATCTTTAAAAATAAGTGCTAACTATTTTCTGACATGCTTCTTTACTAGTATTAACAATAATTACAATTTTAGAGACTATTATATTGAATATATCATCTTACCTGAATGTATATTGATTAGTAATTAAAATACTTTAGTAGTTAGTTCTCCATAAATATGATGTTTTCTATTAGTCATAATTGTTTGAATAGCTTTAATCATGTGAATTTAAACTGTTTCCTCTTTCTCTTATTGGCATGAGATGACAATATCCAAAATTACATCAATAACTCTTTTATCTCCAATTGATTATTCTCCAGCAAAAAAACCTTGCTCTACTAGATTCTATATTTAGATTATTTAATACTTTTATATCAAATAAGGCTAGCTCCATCAGTTTGACTTATTTTGATTCTATGCATTATTAATACACTTTTATTAAATGATTAGCATCATAGTAATCTTTGAGTTCTTTTAAATAAAAATAATAAATTACATTAGACTTCATCTATTGTTTATTTCAATTCAAACTATTTTTTTGTAATTGCCTTTTTGATTTTATCTAATGATTGATTGATCAAATCACTTAAACTTAATGACATTAGTATATATAAATTATATTAAAAATTAGTCAATTCTATATGTTTATTATACTTTATCAGGAAGCTTCAGAATGTCTAATTTAAAGAATGACACGTATGAATAAAGATTGAAATGTAATTTACAATCTTAAAATTAATGATTTTAATAACTATCAAAAATTGTTAAACAATGTATTTTGTTTCTCACTAAAATTATCCATCTCATATCCAGAAAATTAGGCTTAAATATTGATATATAAACAATTTACATTAAATAGAATTTCTTCTTAACATGATAGAGTGTTATTATATTAATTCATTATTTTCTTCATCTTCCATAGATATCTAACGAGCATCAAAATTATCTTCATTTTACTAAGATAATATATATATATTACATTAGGAATGTAAGGTGATTTTAATTCTTTATTCATTAATTTAGACCATGGAAAATTCTTGAACCATGAATGTTATCTTAATTCTTGTGGTCCATTAAAACCCAATCTATTAGCTGGTTTTCTTTATATCAACTATTTTAAATATAATAACAAATACTCTATTAATAAAGTCTGCTGATTCTAAAGACCAATTATCAGGTATTTCTGATCTTTTGATCTAAACTTGTTTAGCTAGAATTTAATCTCTAATCTCTTTTCTTGATCTACCTGTATATGGTCGCTAAGTATTTTAATTTAATTATTACCTTCCCAAGCATAAATTCATATCCAATAACTCCTAAAGCAAAATAATCAACTGCATAAGAATGATTTTATCTACACATAACTTCTGGAGCTACAAATCTCAAATTATTAATATACCCATATAACCTGGAGTACCTGAAGTATCTTATGAATTATCAGGTCTTAGATTTCGAGCAATTCCTAAATCTGTTATTCTAACATAACCTATATAATAGTATATGAATTTTACCATATTTATCAAGTACTAAATTTTCTGGTTTAATATCTCTATGTAAACTATTTTTAGAATGCATATATTCCAGTCCTAAAAATATACAAGCCATAAAAAATCCTATATATTGTTATTAAATACTTGTTTGATCTTCAGTGAATCTTCTCATTTTTCCAATATGATATCTTAAATCTCCTCCTTACATGTAATCAAGAACAAGAAATAAGTTCTCTCTGTCTTAAAATGCATAATAGATATTCACTAAAAATCTATGTTTAATATATTATTTACGGATGCTTAAGATTACTTAAAATGTTTCTCTCATTCATAACAGAATTCACACTTTTTTTGGCTATTATGCTTATAATATAATAATAAAATCAATACAGTGCTTTTGACATCTCTTTCATTGCATATATCTATCCATTCTTTTTGTATTCCACTTTCCATACTTTTCCAAATCCTCCTATTCCAATCACAAATTGAAAATTAAACATATTCTTTTATACTACAGGTTCATTTAAATCTAATTTCAAATGTTATATTCAACTTTCTTTCTCTTCCTCTTAAGCAATTTGAGATTTATCTTTCAGGATCAAGTAGTTAAGAAATGATATCTGTTTCGGCTATTGCTATTTAGAGATTGATGATTTTTTTGAATGATTGGCTGATGATTGCTAACTTGATGGTACAGCCAATTTATGTAAACCATGTACCATTGGTGCTGGTGATCTATCAATATTTTATTCATTCTATCGGCTTAACATTCACATCACTTTCTTACTTATTTAGTACATTGGTCACTTATTAGGCTTATCCTAATTAAGATCTTGTTATGTTCATTTAACCTGAATCCTATCTTGAATGAGGAAAACGATTATTTAAACTTTTCATAACAGTAATTATATATATAAATTTTAGAATTCTCTTAATATTATTTATAAAAACTTACATTTAAAAATATTATTCCTAATTCAATTCACCATCTCAACAATACTCCATATATTTTAAAATTGATATTCAAAATGGTTGAGGACAATATTGTACTAAGCATTAAACATTATTTTCATTAAAAATTTATAGTTTTTGGTATATCTGTTTAATTAATTAATTTTAATTATAATAAGAGAAAGATAATTGTAGCTTAAAATAAATATTACTGTATTCCATACTAAATAACTCCAATTAGATCTTTGATCAAAAAAACATCATATATTTTTACATCCTATTCAGATCAATGGGTTTATCTAAATCAAAATTATGCTAACAGAAATTCAATATGTTTTTTATGGCATCATTTACTCTATGATATCTTAAATAATTATATTATAGAATAAGTAACAATAATTCAATTTATAGAATATACAATAAACTCTCCTTTGCTAAATTAATTTTACAAAAATGTTTTTGGTAAATTATAATTAATCTTTAAATAATAACAGTAAATATAAATAAGAAGTATTCAATAAGAATTTTATTTATTAATAATTAATTAAACTCGATAATTATAAAATCTTTAATTTTAATTGTTAACTTATAATCTAAATAAATATATTAAGAAATGGCTAGAATGAAGTATAGATTAGTATATACTTTTTAATATTAAATTACATGAACAATCTAGAGAAGATAATTTCCCTAAATTAAAAGAATTTTTGAATGAAATAAAAAGAGAATTTATAATGTTTATCTAATTTTTATTTTATATATATAAAATTTTGATATTTTAATACAAAAAATCATGAATCTTATTACAATAACAGCATATGATTATTGAATAAGCCTCCTGACCATCTAATTTTTACATCTATAACTGTATCAGTGACAATATCTAATTAACCAAAAGTTTATGATTTAGTAAATTAAATAATATTTCCATCTAAAAAGAAATCAAATTCTGCTACTCCTCTTTTTATTTATTGAATCTTACTAATTTAACGTTAAATAACAGTATAATGCATTTGTAGCTTCTGTAAAATTAGTATTTGTCAAACAGCTGTACTTTAATGAGGATTTTGGATCTATTATGTTAAAATGTATGTTTAGTGGCTTAATTTCTTGTTGATTAGCATTCTAAATTAATAAATATTTGGATATATTTATACAAGTTGAAAATTATTTCCATTATAATTTGTGCCTTTGGATTGAGTGCCTAATAATTATAATAAAAATACTTTAGAGGTCAAAAATGCTTGATTCTGGAGCTTCTATTGGGTTTGTATAAATTTTTAAATAACCATTTAGAACGTTTCCAAATATTTATGATATTGACAATTCTTTAGAATATAGAAATATTCCTTAATAAGATTGTGCTTTCCACTCTTACCAATTTTAGTTTTAAATTCTAAACTATTGATATTAACGTACTTATTATCACAATTGTTTATGATAAAAATGTAAAACTCTTATAATAAAAGACCTCCTGTTATTTAAACAATCATTCGATCAATTTGTAAATGAATAGGAAATATTTCTAGAGAGATTGTGTAGTTTATGTCCATTTTGCAATAATAATAGAAATAAATTAATTTTAATTAAGATCTGAAAAATTGATATATTTAATTATGCTAAAGTTTTTAATATTTTGTTTGATTGGATTATCAGTGTTTGGATACACATTCCCATATGATGGAGATGTATTAGTACTTAATGATAATAATATAAATGCTGCTATTAAGCAGTATGATTACTTATTAGTTGAGTTTTATGCTACATGGTTTAAATTGATATTTTACCTCTCATTATAGGTGTGGTCATTGCAAACAATTTGCCCCAGAGTATTCTCAATTTGCTACATAAGTGAAAGATGCTGGTCAACCTTTCATTGTTGCCAAACTAAATGGTGGAGATCAGGAAAAATAAGCTATGAATAGGTTTAATATTTTAATTTGAAAATAGATACAAAGTATCAAGTTTCCCAACCATAATATTACTCATAAAAGGACATGCAGTACCTTATAATGGAGATAGAAGTGCTAATGGATTAATGAATTTTGTAACTTAAGCTCTTGAAGATAAATTAGTGAGGATTGATGAAATTGATGATGTTTATAAGGTATTAATAAATTCTTACTTTTTTTAGTTTTTAAGTGATAATAATTTGAGTCTATTATATTTTATTAAAGACTTACAATAACCAGAGTTATAGATTTATTCATTGGCTGCTAAAATATTCCCTAATTTGAAATTTGGTTATACTACTTCAGCCTATGCAAGAGTAAGATAAATTAAATATTATTATAGAAATTATATGATGTAGATGAAGGATAAATAGTTTTATTTAGAACATTTGAAGAAAGAAGAAAGGAATTTACTGATCAATTAACTTTAGAAAAATTAACAAATTTCTTATATGAAAATTCAACTCCATCATTTGAAGAATTAGACAATAAAAGTTATGCTTCTATATTTAATAAAAATACACCAGCTTTAATTCTCTTTTGGAATTAATAAAGTTAAGAAACAAAAGATGTTTTAAAATTGATTGCTCCAAACATTAAAAAAAGAATTACAGTTGTTTCTGTTTATTCTGATAATTATATGGTAAATTAAGTTACAAGTCATTTATTTATTAATACTCCTACATTCCCTTCATTATATTATTATAAGACAACAAATGAAGTATATAAATTTTAAGGATAAATAACTGTTGAAAATGTTATGAGATTTGTTCATGAAGCCAATAATGGAAAAATTAAAAGAAAATAAAAATCTCAACCTATACCAAATCAAACCTCAAATGTTTTAAAAGTTGTAGGTGATACATTTGATGAATTAGTTTTGAATTCAAAGAAAAATATTTTAGTTTAGTTTTGTTAAACATCAAATAGTAAATGGTAAATTTATGAAATTATAATTATAGTTATGAACCAGAATTTGAAGATTTGGCAGAGGAATTAAAAAAGAATGATAATTTAGTATTAGGTCAAATAGATTTATCATATAATGATTTAGATAATGTGAATATTGAAAACTATCCAGGATTTAAATTATATATACCAAAAGTTACATCAAATCCAATTAATTTTGATTAAGAATTTAGTAAAGAAAATTTATATGAATTTATCAAATAAAATGTTTAACTTACATATAGAGATAAAGAATAAAACAAAAACAAATCTGATTTGTGAATTATTTTATGTAAAACCAGAATATGTATATTTATTTAGTAATTTGATTATATTAATTATATTTATATGCACACATATTATTAAATCTCAACTTTATTGTTATTAATCATTTTAGATTAATTGCTTTAATTACTCGTATATTTATGTTAAATTTTACTATAGATAATTACTTTAATAATTACTAATGTTAATGGAATCAATTAAGGTTGTGAAGTAGTGTCATTAGGTAGAATCAAAAATTATACTAATAATGGTATTTATTTTTATTAAATCAATTATTATTATTAAATACCAATAATTTATTTATTGTTTTAGATTGAATCATTTAATTCAGCATTTCTTTCATTATTTTAAGTATCTTAGATTTCTTTAGATACTAATTCTTAAGATTGAGAACTATATATTTATTATGTATTTTTGATCAATTGCTCTTATTTATCTTGAATAATATTTGAGTTATTTATTTCATGCAATTTTTGATTTTGATTAGATTGAACATCAATTTAATCTTGAATTTTAATATCTTGATTGATCTATTGAAATAAATCTTAATTAGTTTGTTGAGAATTGTTTTGAATTTCAGATTGTATAGATTGTTTTTAATCTTAAGAAATGAGATCATTTTATTATTATTAATAATAATAGTCTCTATATTTTTATGTATATCTATAATTTTTTTATCTATTGTTATTATAATTATGAGAATAATTCATATTAGTTTATCTATCATGATTTTGATATTTACTAAATTCAATGATAATATAATTGTACTTATAAGTCTATCTAAAATTTTAAGGTTATTTATTATATGAATAATTAATATCTGAAGATCTCTAATTATTATACTTTTAATATTGACTTTGATTTTTCTCTTAATTTTGGATAGGCTAATCACTCATTTAATAAAATATCGATATTTTTATTATTATTATGTCTTTTTATATTTATAAATCACTAATACTTCAACTATATTTGTCGAAATGGCCTCTATAGTTGAAGAAATCAAATTATAAAGCTTCTTTTTATTTATCTGTTGAAAGCTATTTGTATTATATTATGTTACAGCCAAGAAATCTTGATATTTTTCTTAATCCATTTGACAATCAACGAATTATTGTGATTCTTTCTTGCAATTGAAGATATTGCCATCAGCCTTAAATACACATTCTCTGACATCATTAAAAGGAGCTAAACACAATGGGTGCATACGTTCACTAATTATCATAAAACATCATATTATATACGCCTCCTTATAACATCCAATTAATTCTCTAGCAGTGTTTCTACATAGACGAGGATCTTTGGGAATTGGGGATGTTGTTTATCTACAATCTTCGTACTTATGCACTTCATTTCTGCATCTATGGAATGCATATTGTGAATGTATCAAAACTTCAAATGACTTTGTATTCATTTTATATAAAATTAATTATATTGTAAATAAATATATTAATGAATTATAAGAATATACAATAAGTTAAAGTTACTCTTAAGAAATTTATAAATGGATATATTGTTCATGATTCTGATACAACAATTTGTATTCCAAAAAGTATTGTTTAATTACCTTCTCCTCAATCAACAAATTAAATTAAAAATAAGTCTCAAACAAGATAATTACCTTCCAAATCCTATATAATCCAATAACAATTATAAATTAGACCAAAAATACTTTCTCCTTAATAATAATTCTTATATCCATAAATGAATCAATCAATTCCTTAAAATTTTTAAGTATAATAATCTAAACAACCCATTATTTATGCATCTTTTCCCTCATCTTATAAACCAATAATACAATAATCTCTTATTAATAATTTATCAATTCCACCTTTGAATTTTTAAGAGATCTTATGAAATAATTGTACCTTCTTATACTTCATGATTTAGGTTTGATAAAATTCATTCAATTGAAAAAGAGAATTTTTAAAGAATGTTTCAATTAAGATAATAAACACAAAACACCTTAACTTTATAAAAAACATAGAAACTTTATTATTAATTTATATTATAACACTCCAAATATTTATTTGACAATTACTGCATAGAGAAAATAATTAGTTGCTAATACATATAAAATTATTAGAATTCATGAATTTTTAAATCTTTGGTGAATTATTAATTGTCAAGTGGATTTAGATTAATATTAAGGTAAGATTTTATTATTTAATGAATTATTTTAATCTAAATAGTTTAGAATAATATTAATTAAATTAATAAAAAATTATTCATACTATTAGAGTTTTATCACTTAAATTAAGGTTACAAGATAAAATAATATTAGGCCTATTTGTAAATCATGTTAAATGAAATGTAATTTAGTTTGGTACCAATAAAAACCTATAAAATATATCAAAAAGATTATACTATGTATAATTTCTATAGAAATAATTAATCATTTTCCAAATATACTTTGTGCAGAGAAATTTTTAAAATAGATATTGAAGAAAAATTGAAAAATATTAACATTTCAATTAATTAGACAGAACAATAAGACTCTTAATTAAACGAAAAAGAATTATTAGATATACTAAATTATATATAAGATAATACAGAAATAAATTGGGATAAAATTACAGAATTTATAAATGAAAATAGAAAAGTCAAATTAGATGTTGTATAAATTCTTACTTATTTTCTACTTTATCTATATAAAAAATAAACTTCTATAATCTATTCTTTGGATGGGAAAGAACAATTATAAAAATTGACGATATATCATTTGGCTAGTAGAATGGCAAATGAAGAAGTATTATTTGTATTATCTCAAATAGCCTAAAATTTTCTCTGATTCATCATGCTTATCATATTTTTATTTTCTAATAATAATTTAATTAAGTTGAAGAATCAAAAAAACATAATGGTGAAAAAGAATGTAAAGGCAGTTCAAATAAAGATTTAACCTAATTACAAAATAATTTAGAATTTATTATTATAATTTTTAAAGATTGCTCTTGATCAAAATTAGATTGTCCATTTAAAAAAAGAGTCAATCAAGAAAGCTGAAGTTGAAATTTCTAAAGAAGAAAATAAATTAAATTAATGAATCAATACTATTATTAATGTTTAAATGTAAAAAATATAACAAAAACTTGCATTTCTTGATGAATTTGAAAAAAATGTATTTAAATGAAAAAAAATTGGTAGAATTACAATAAGTAATTTATTTTTATATATATTTCTCTAAATAAACACTTGCTGATAGATTAATAGTTGTATAATAAAAATTATAAATGTTTAATGAAGAATACAATTAATGATATATATTTTATTAAATAATTATTATGTAATAACAACCTCAATAGAATCCAACTGAGGAAAAGAAACTCAATAGAATTGGTAAGCCAAAGGGAATGAATACTTAAAAACCATTGGACAAAACAAATGCATGGAGTTCAGATTAATAAAGTACTTAAGCAATTTAAGCGCTTTCTCGTTTGGGAAGATTTATTTGTTTTTAGCAAACTGGGAAAAAAAAGATAGCAATTGATTAGAATGATTAAAATAAAGCTACAGTTGATTAAAATGATTAAAATAAGACTATAGTTGATTAGAGTTAATAATCTAAGCCAAAATAAAAGCAACCATTAGATGCTCCTGGGATATTTTTAAATTCTTCTTAGATATAGATTGTTAAACTCATAGGAGAATATTGTCAAATTGTTGAAAAATCTAATAAAAATTGTATTGTCTTCTTTTTTAGATCTTCACATCCTGAATTTGAAATAATAAATGGTGTTCCATAACTTATAAATAACTTTGATAAATATGGCATTTATCCTGCCTTAAAGAAATTAGCACCAATGTTAAATTAAAAGTTTCTTGATGAATATTTTACATATCTATAATTTCAACATGGATAATTGTAATATATTAAAGAAATACAAGTATTATATGATGATTTTCATAACAAAACTTTAAAAAGTGCTGAAACCCTTTTATAATGTCTTTTTACAAAATATTTAATTAAATACTTTGAGGATTTAGATTTGCTTACAAAAAAAAATTTTTAAGAAAGAGTAGAAAATATATATGAAAAATTCTATAATGAACATTAAACAAAATAAGATTATGATGCATGTATTAATGAATTACTAGCTTGTATGTAAGTAGAGGAAGAATTTGATTAATAATACACATGTGATTGATGTATAATTAAATATGAATTTAAATATATTAAATATTATATTTTATATTTCTATTACTCTAATTCTATTGAATTATTCACATTAAGATGGTGTTATAATTTAACAATAATAGAAATCCATACACTTTAAATGCAAAATAGTTAAGAACACTTAAATAATTAAAAAATGTAAAGAAAGAGTATATAAAAAAATAAACCTTAATAAAAATGTATCAAAAAGGATGTTGGCAAGCCTGCAGGACTCGATGTAATAAAATTGGAAACTCCAAAAGTTTGGAGTTGTTTAAATGTAGAAAGACAATTAATAGAATATTTCACTCAAATTGGGAGACATGTGTATTTAAGTTTGGCAGGCATAAAAAAGAATTCACAAAAAGAAGGGCTTTCAGATAAGGCTTTGGCTAAATTATAAAAATATTAGGCAATTTATTAAAACAAATCAATGTACTCTTATATAGAACATATTGCTTAAAGTTTGTTTAATTGGAAATGCTAGAAACTTTCTGTTGTTTATTTTTTTAGAAATGATCGTACTTCTTATAATAAATATCAGAAAATATATTTAATTAATGAAAAATGGAACTAAATTATTAAGAATATTAAATTCCTTTTAAATGAGTAATTTTATTTTGAATTAATTTCTATTTTGAAAATGTTTGAATCAAATTACACTACAGAATAAATTTGTGATAAATTGATTGAATAATCTAAAGAATTAGATTAAGTGCCTTAGATTATTTAAAATTTCTTTATACTGTTAAATAAAGAAAAAAAAATTGAATAACAAATTCATGGAGCAAGTTGTGCATAACTTGAAATGTTAAAAACAATATATTTAAATTCTTTAGATAATCACAAAGATTAACTTTAAATAATTATTGAAAAACTCAGATAGATAATGTATGAAAATTGGGTACCTCAATTTATACAATAATATGATAATGTTAGTTTTGAGATTTAGAATAAAATCTTTAATGATGATAGCAATCTCATTTTCTAAAGTGATAAAGAATGATAATTATTTCAACTACACAAATCTTATTGACTATTCTTATATATAAAAATAATTTATTAATAGACAATATATTTTATATTAAATTGCAAATGAATATACGAGTATCTGTGAAGTATTGTGGAAGGAGTTTGACTGCTTAAATCAATCCCAAGACTAATCTGAAAGAAATTATTTAACATACAATAGATGGAGGATACGCGTAAAAAATATGTGAATAAATATAGAAAATAGTAGATGTTAAATAATCCAGGAGTATATTTATCTGATAGATCAATATTATGTAAAGGAGATGAGCTCAATAAACCATTGGAAGTTTATTTTCCAATGATTTCTCTTTAAGGTCCACCTGTAGAATTATTAATTTTGAGAGAAGAAGAGTTTATAGAATATGATACTGCTATAAAATCATAACCTAAATTAGTGGATAGTGAGCCTCCTGATATTGGAGAATCACAACCAATTTAAAAATAAACAGATGTTAGTAATTTATCTCCTGACTCTAATTTAATGATTTCATAACAAGGTGTCAATTAAGGATAATTTACTTTGAGATTTAAAACAACAGCTAATCTAAGTAAACAAGGATTTGATTTTAAAAATCTATCTGAAAACAATACCATTAATGACATTAAAGATTAATTGTTTAAATATTTTGGGTTCCATGATAGGTAATAAATCAAATAAAAAATAGATCTATAGTTGATTTAGATCTTTATTATAATGATTTACCCCTTTAAGGAGTAAAATCCAATAGAACTTTAGCTTAGTTATCTATACCTAGTGGGGAAACAATAGAAATTAAGGCAAGATGGACAGGAGGCAGTTTAGCATGATATAATATTATTCAATAGAATATAAAATAAATAAAATAATGATATTAAAAAATAAAAAAAATAAGGGCTTTCTTAATTTTAATTATTTAATAAAAAATAAACTTGTATTTAATAATGGCTTAACAATCAGTTGATTTGAAGTCAAAAGTTGATGAATCAATAAAAGGAGATGAAACAAATGAACCTTAATAAGAAAAGGATTCTAATTAAGATTAAGATAATAAATAAGAGAATAAAGAGACAGAAAAAAATGAAAATAAAAATGGAGGAGGATAATTAGAATCTTTATTTAAAAATAATGGAACCAATTTATTTACTAATTTAGCAATGACAGTTAATTCAAGTGGAGGTTTATTTGGTTCAACAAAACCAAGTTCAGGATTATTTGCAAATTTAAATCAATAAGAGCCAATTAATAATGGGATTGATTTAACAAAACCTGGTCCTTCTTTATTTGGTATAGATTATAAAATTCCAAAATCAGATGAAAGTGATGGTGGAGAAGATGCAGGTATTTTTATTTAAAATAAAAATTTAGGAGGTGAAGATGAATAAAAACCAGAAGATGAAGAACCAAAATAAATTGAAATGAAATATGATTATTCTACATAAACAGAGTAATTACTTATTGTTGAGATTGAAAAATTTAGAAAAAATGCTAATGATGTTCTAGAAAAAGGTACTATAGCTTTAGAAAAATCAAAAGAGAAGGATACATTTTACTTTATTTATAGGTATTCATAAAGATTATTATAAACAGGAATTAAATTTAATAAATATTGTATACAGGACAATTATTTAAAGGAATTTCAGATGTTAAACCATTAGGATCTAAATAAGAAAATATAATAATAAGGGCAATTAGTAGAAAATAGAAAACTGAATCATAAGAAGATAAAGATTCTATTTAAATCGACACTCTTAAAGTCATGTTTAAAGATAAAGAGAAAGTAGATTTATTTAAGGATAAAATGTAAAATATGTTTAATTGATTTACACATATTAAAAAGTCAAAAATGAACATCTCTAACAAAATTTTTCTTAAGAATTTTGTAATCTCCATCATAAGCCCCAGGACCAATTTCTTACATTTATAATTATTATATTCTTTAACCTTTTCCAAAAATATCATTTCCTTTATTAAAAGTTGTTTTTGTGAATTAATTATGTACAGTATAACTACCTGGACCTAATTCTTCTGTAATTTTTTTATCTTTAAATCTTTGTACATTAGAAGAAAACATAGAAGATTATTACTAAATATATATATATATTATTTATACTGGTTTTTATAAAGATTTACTTCTTTCTTTTGTTGTATTAACAGATACTAATTCTTTAGCAACTGATAATCCAAATGATTCTGGATACTTTTCAATTGTAGGTCGTTTCTCTTTCTTTCTAAAAACATATTTAAATTGTTTCTTTTTTAACATTAAATTATCATAACTACCAGGACCAGGAATATCATTATTTATTATGACTTCTTTCATTCTCTTAGATCCAGATCCAAAACTTGATGGAAAGAGTCCATCTTTTCTTTGAGGTTTTGATAAATCTTATACAATATAATTACCAACAGGAACAATCATATTATCTTTTGGAGGTTATCTAGGTAATTTTGACATATATCCTCCAGATTCATTAAATTAATTATCAGCTTTATATTAACCAGGTCCAGGATTTTCATCTTAAGTATATTTAAATCTTGGTTCTCTACTATCAAAACATTAATTTTAATAATTTAATTCTGTAATTTTTCCAAATTGAGATTCAATTTCATAATGTCCAGGTGGAGGAGCAGTTTATCTTTCTTTTATCTTCTTTTCTTTTTAAAATAATTTTTCTAAATTATATTCATCTCCTTGAATAAATTTGATTTTTTTCTACTTTTACTTTTATGATAGATTTGATTCAGATTCATTTTATCCATTATTAGTTAATTGTTTTCCATATATAACATCAGCTGTCAAGAATGGCTCTTAAAAAGTTGTTCTTTTACTATCCTCTTTAATAATAGCTCCTCTAACTCTGGGTTTAATTAAAGTTTCATTAGAATTATAATGTCCAGGACCAGGAGGCTATTATTTTAATTAATTTTATTTACTTGTAATGGGGCAATAGTTTATAACTTTTACAACAGTTTAGATTTATCTAAAACACATTATCCTGATGGTGTTATTTCTAGTTATTAGTTTAAACAGTTTTCCATTTATTTAACAAGTAAGTTCTTCATTTTCTTATCAACATCTTAAGTCTTCTTTAATTGTTACTAAGACTATAATAATTAATAAAACTTACATACTTATGCTTAATATACGTAATTATGTTCTTTTAATTTTTAATTTTAAAATGAATGTTTTAAAGAAGCTTAATAAGCAATTTTATCAAATCCTTCTATAGTTTTACTTTGAGGATGAATATTTGTTTAAATATCTCCAAATCTATCTGATCTTGAGAATTATTATTAGGGTGGTTTAATTTTAATGGTATTTAACATATCATTTAAATCATTCCCAATATAATAACCAGGAGGTGGATTGAAATTTTCTGTAAAAGTTGATTTTGGTGTTTGACTAAATTTCATTATATTAAATAAATTAATTATAGTAATTTAGAATAAAAAGATCACTCTTTTCAAATTATAATTTAAGTAAATAGATATTTAATTCTGTCATAGAAATTCAAATGATATATTTATGAATCAATGTTAATTTAATAAATAAATATATAATAATAAATTAAATGACAGAAGAAGAATTTATCAATATAACAGCTATCATATAGAAAACAAATAATTAAAAAATCATTTAAACTCTAAATTAATTCAAAAGTACGATAGAGAAAGTTAATACATAAGATGGAAATAAAATATTTGTTAAAAAATGTTTGAATATTGTTTATAATGATGTGCTTTCAAAAATTGATGAATTATCAGATATGGAAGACAATAGAAGTAATTAAATAAAATTAGCTTTTGAACTTGAAAAAATTAAGAAAGTTATTGAAATGTTACCTTATATCAATAAAAAACCAAAAAATACTATTTTTAATGATGAAGAGTATATGAATATTCCAAATATTGAAATAATAAAATTAGATGAATCTGAACGTGTAAAATAACAATTAAAAAATTTTTATTAAAAAATATCATTAGGACATGCATATATAAATTCTGGGAAATAATATTAATCTTAAGTTATGTAATGTGTTGTTAGAAATTTAAAGGCTCTTTATTATTTATCAAATTAAGAAGAAACTAATCTTGCTGCAACAGAAATAATTACAAATCCAACACTTGAACATGCATTACAATTATGGAGAATTATAGATGAATCTAAAATAGTAAAAGCTGGATATAAAATATAATTAGAATAAGTAAAAATGAAGAAAATAATTTATATTCCAAGATTATTTAATTAAATTACTTTAGATACTTTACATCATTTTAATACAAATTCAACTGATATTCCAAAAAATTTATTATATTAAGTAGCATTTAGAAGTATTAGAAAGAAATAAAATGATTATGACATTAGAGTTAGAGTTATGTGTAATAAATAAATATTTAAACAAAAAATAACTAATTAAGATTTTGCATAAGTAGTTAGAAATTTAACAAAAAGTGAATTCTAAATATAAAGATCTTAACATATATAATAATTATAATAACCATCAAACTTTTTTGGAGGTTGTTGTGTTTCATCTAGAAATGAAATTGGAGAAATAGGATTAAATATTATGTAAAATATAATTATACATATACATGGAGGAGGATTCATATCAATGTCTTCTTTTTCTCATTAATCATATACAAGAAAATGGGTTAATTAATTGTCTAATACAGTAGTCTTTTCTATTGATTATCGTTTAGCTCCTGAAAATCCATTTCCATTAGCACTTGATGATTGTTGGCAATATTATATGTGGATAATTCATTTTAGTTCTGCCTATTTTAATATATGTCCAAAAAATATTATATTAATTGGAGATTCAGCTGGTGGTAATTTGGCTTTAGGAATATTAATTAGATCAATAGAAACTAATTAAAGAATTCCAGATAAGATAATTTTATAATATCCTGCAGTTAATTTAAATCTTTGTGATGTAGTACCATCAAATCTCAAAAGTATGAATGATTAAATGATACCAATGGGTCTATTAATGTTATGTAGATAAAGTTATCTAAAGAATCAATCAGATATACCAAATGATTATTATGCATCTCCTATTCAAACTCCTTAAGAAATTATTAAACAATTTCCTAAAGATTTTGTTATTTTTGTTGGATAAGATGATGTATTATTAGATAATTCAGTAGAATTTGTTCATTATTGTAAAGATAATGGATTAGATAATATTAAATTGAAAGTTTTTGAAAGTCTTCCTCATGGATTCTAGAATATGGGCATGAGAAGTAATGGTGTAATTGCTGCTGAATCTGCAAATAGATAAATTATAGAATAAATTAAAGAATTTATTGTTTGATACATCATCTTATTTAAGTAACGTTAATCATTTAATTTCACTATATTTAATATTATTAATTATTCTTAAAGACTAAAGTGAAACTCTTAATTTAATATAATATATCTTTTATTATAAATATATTAATCTTAATCTTAGTTCTAATTCATTATTATTTGTTTTATTAAATGGGAAGCTCATAATGTTGTACTGCTAATACAATTGAGCAGGGGTCAGAATTAGCGACAGGAATGAAAGAAACATCACATTCTTCAAAGGATCCTAATCATCCAAGTGATAGAAAAAAAAATAAAAACTTCTCTTTGTAAATATTGTAATTGAATAATGAAAAGATCTCCAATTCAAAAATAAAAAGGTGTACATGGTCAATTTAGAATAGATGATCCATAGACACCTGCATTTGCTGATAATAAATCTATTCATAGTAAACAAGAATCAGAATAGTTTTCTAATAAAGATATACAATTAGTTGCTGAGATTGTTATGTAATTAGATGATATTCAATAAAAAATTGAAGAAGCCAATGAAGACATATTTGTTTCTTAAAGTTCATTGAAAAAGAAAAGAAAGAATGATTCTCCTTTATGTGATTTCTAACCTAAAAATTCATTAAAGTCTTTTGATTCAAAAAGACTTGATAAGTTAAAATCTATTAATGAACATTAATAGAATAAAGAAGAAATGATAAAAGAAGAATTAGAAAGTCAAAGAAGTCAAAGTGCTGATAATAAATCTGTTAAAAGTATTTTAAAATAGGAAATGAAGTACAGTCAATTTAAAAAAAGATAATCAAGTAATGATAAGCATTCATAAAAAAAAGTACATTTTAAAATCAATAAATGAACTTTACTGTTACTTTAAGCTATTTGATTAGTCATATAATATCTATATATAATTAGTTTATATATATATAATTAATTATTAATTTACATGTCAGACAGATAAGTATGTAGCCTTATTAAAATTAATAGAAAGCAATTCGAGCCCAATCAGCCAAAAATCCTAGTTAAAAAATATCTTCTAACTAACCATATGGAAATTCTGTTAAAGGATTTAAAATGTAACTTAATTTATTTTAAGAAGTGTGAAAAAGGTTAAAGTGAATAATTTGATAGAAGAGAGACCATAAAGTGGTTAGAATGATATAAGGGCAAGATAGATTTAATAAGAAACTGATTTTTTTAGAAATAATATGGAAGTTTTTGATAAAGAAAGACTTTTTGAGCATTTATCATAGGCTAAAACATAAATAAATCACTTGAAGACAGATAATTATTAATTAAGGACTACAATCTTATAAAAAGATGTATTGCTAATAATATATTTGATAGAAAACAATATAAAAATATGAGAGAATCATAGAGGATTTTCAAAATAATGGTAATTTGAAAAATGTATAAATGAAATTGGGAGTTGAGGTTTTTATTTTATATTGATATCAATAGACATCACTTTTTCTTTAAATGAAAAGACAAATAAAAGAATAATAAAATGAATTGAGAGAAAAAGAAATTACAATTTAAAATTTTAAGAAAAATGCTAAAGTAAGCAAATTCTAAGAACTTGATGTAAAATATATTAAATAATTAAGGCTGAAATCAGAGAAGTATATGAAGAACTATAAAGATTAAGAGAATTACTTAAAGAAAGAGATGAAATTCTATAATCATAATAAAAGTATATTTATTTATATCATAGTCATGCTCAGGAATAAACATCAAATAATGAATTTATTAAAGACTTACAATAATAGAATGAAACATATCTAAAGGATAATTAAGAATTAGTTTAAATTGTTAAGTAAAAAATAATTATTGATTATAGACTATATGAAGAGAGGAATAATTAATTAGAACATTCTGTATAACAATAATAGAAATAATTAAACAAATAAGGCAGAGATCTTTAGTTATTAAATTAAAAATTACAAGTATTCAAAAAGAGAGGAGCTAATGGCTAATATTTAATTAGTTAAGAAGAGATTGATAAGGATATAGAAGAGAGAACTAAATTGAATTATTTAGTAGAAGAATAAAAAGAGAAAATATAAAAATTAGAATAACAATTAAAGAAATTTTAATCAGATAATAGAAAATAATTAGAATAAAAATAAGGTAGAAACTTATAATAATAATAATCATCATCTAGTCCTAAAGATTAAAATAATAATTATAATACTTAATAATAATAAATAGCATAGTTTTAATAATAAGAATAATTAAGATAAAATAATAGTACAGATTCTATTCTTTTAGATTAAGAATTAGCATAATGTTATGCTGATGAAATACGTTGTTAATTGTATTTAGATAATATACCTTTTGCAAGATTTAAGGAAGTATTAAATTCAAATCATTATAGAAATTATCCACACTCAATAAAGGAAGATTAAATGAAAATGGAGTTGTTGAGTTTTTAAAGACTAAATTAGATATGGATTAAATTAAAGCTTAAAAATTTGCAAAAGCATTACTTAAAAGTGATGGATATGATTAACCTATTCAAAAAATGATAAGTGCAAATAGATTAAAAAATATGATATTGTCACTTATATAAGAATATATCACTTATGATGGATAATCAATATATTAAGAAGTTCGAAAAGTATTTATTTATCTTATTTATAGACTTTACTAAAAAATAAAGAAGAACTTACTAGAAGATTTAAATAGAAATTTTAAAATTAAGAATACATAAATATAAGATAATTTGAATAATTAATTATAGAATCATAAATAAATATTACTGAATTGTAAAGGGATTAATTATTCATTCACATTTATTAAGTATATAAAGACTTAGTATAATTATAATGGGAATAATTTTTTAGAGATGATTTTAAGGTAGATCAATTAAAAAAATTGGATAATTAATAAAAATTGAATTCTCCTCCAAATACATAAAAATAAGAAAGTCCTAATGATTATATAAAAATATAAACATAGAATTCAGATACTTCAAAATAAGCATAGATAAGAGGTAATGCTAGAAATTCATCTTAAATTATTGATAATGATCCTAATTATTAATCTGGAAAAAACAATAAAAAGCATGATGAAGAAGAGGGAAATTATGATGATTATTTTGAGAGAGATGAGGATAATAATTCTTAAACTATAGGTAAGATAGAAGAATAAGATAAAAATGTGGAAGAAGAATATTAAGTAGAATTTGATGATTATTAATTGAAGCCATAAGAAGTTTAAGAAGTTTAAGAAGATGAAGAAGATGCAGCTATCAAAATTTAACTTGCTTATAAAAAGAAAAAGTAAAAAGAAGAAGGTAAAAAGATATTAGAGGAGTAGAAAGAAAAGAAGAGAAAATATCTTGAAGAAAAAGAAAAGAAGAAGAAATAGGAATTATAATTAAAGAAATAATAAGAGGAGAAAAAACGATAGGAGGAAGAGTAAAAGAAATATATGGAAGATTAAAAAAAGAAATAAGAAGAATTAAAAAGGTAAGAAGAAGAATAAAGATAAAAATAAATAGAAGAAGAATAAAGAAAAGAAGAAGAATAATTTAGAAAAGAAGAAGAAGAAAAAGCAATATTAATTTAAAATGCATATAAATAAAAAAAGTAGAAAGAAGAAGGTAAGAAAATATTGGAATAGAAAAAAAAAGAAAAGGAATAATATTTAGCTGAATTATAAGCAAAAAAATAATAAGAAGAATTAGAAAGATAAAAATTATTAAAAGAATAAGAAGAAAAAGATAGACTATTAAAAGAAGAAGAGGATGCTGCTTTGAAAATATAAATAGCATATTAAAAAAAGAAATAAATTGCAGAAGCTAAAGCATTATTAGAATAAAAAAAAAGAGAAAAATTTGTTAATGATTAAAAATAAAAAGAGGAAGATAGAATAAGAAGATAGAAAGAGAGGGAAGAAAAATTAAAGAAAGAAGAAGATGAAAATGCTCTAAAAATTTAGAAAGCTATGAAAGATAAAAAGTAAACAGATGAAACAAAATAGATGTTGGAAAGCAAAAGAAATGAAAGAGATTCAATCTCTAAAAATCATAAAAAAGCTTCTAAGGATAAAAAAGAAAAAAATAATAATGAAGATGATTATGATTTTGAATTTGAATAAGAACTTGATGATTAATTAGAAGTTAAAAAAGAAATTAAAGCCAAAGAAGAAGAAATTAATATGGCAGCATCAAGAATATAAGGTGCTTATAGACATAAAAAAAATAAATCAGAAGGAAAAAAATTATTAGAAGAACTTAAAGAATAAAATAGAATTGAAGAATTAAAAAAAAAAGAAGAAGATTTAAAATTAAAAGAATAATAAGAACTTGATGAAGTAGCTGTTAAAATTCAAAAAGCATATAAAAAGAAATAATAAAAAGAAGAAGGAAAAAAGATCTTAGAAGATAAAAGAAAAGAAAGAGAATTAGAAAATTAAAAATAAAATAATAAACCAGAATTAAAGAAGTAAGTTTCATAAGAAATTTAAAAAGAGAATGTAACTTAAGTTGTAAAATAAGTTAAAGTTGATGATATGGATGGATATGGTGATGAAAAATTTGAAGATGGTACTGATCATGATAAATTTACTAATCCTGCCTTAGTTTAAGGTAAACCTTTGTAAATTTAAGCTGAGGAGGATGAAAAATTACCTGATGATCCAGTGGCAGAACAAATGGAAGATAAGTTATTTAACAGTGTTGGAATAATTGTAAGAATTTCATAAATTTAATTTAGTATTAATCTATTAATAAGGAAGAAGTATCTGATGCTGAATAACTTTTATGAAAACAATTTACATCAATATTTATTATAAATTAAATATATTTTCCTTGAATTTATCATGATAAAATTATATAAAGTGTTTAAAGTTTTAAAGATAATTACTATTAAAAATAGAGATTTGACAATTAAGATTTCATTTTTTTGGTATACTTATTTTGATAATTTGATTTACAACAAAAATAGCAATAGATTTGTTAAAAAAAAGAGTTGATAAATATTTAGAATATTTTTAAATGTTATTAATTAAATAATAATAACTATTGTTAATTGATATTCATATTATTATATGAAATATTACTTTCCAGTCAACTATTATGTTAAGTTTTATGGGAATTGGTATTTCATTCTATTCCTTTTATATTATAATATATGTATTCCAATAAGTTCAAAATTTCTTTATGGGTTTAATTAGAAAATAAATGAATTTGATATTGATTTAAATTAGTTATTAGGTAAATATTAATCAAATTTAGCTTATTTGATCAACTAATAAATTTATTAGAATAATTGATCATTAAGAATTTGATAAAAAAACTATTTATAAAAGTTTGTAATATGTTGGATGAGTTAGATTTCAAAATGATCTAATGTAATAATAAACTGTAATTCAGTGAATATATGTATATATTAATAAAGTTAGAATAAAGAGAAGATAAAAATTATATAATTTTTTAATGAGTCTCATATATAAAAATCATTTAGTGCTTCCAACATTCAAACATTCAGAAACTATCACTACTCATAAATCTTCTTCATTAGGACCTATAAAAAGATTTTAATCAGTGACACCAATAAGACAAGGAAATTAAAGTAAGATTCTTCCTCTAAATATTACTTCTCTGCCTGGAAATGAAACTAGTATTAATGCAGAAAGTACAATAACATCTAGATAAAAGCATTTACCTATGCTTACTCCTAGAATATAGAGAAATGATGAATAAAATTTACATGATTACTTAGATCATCTTCATTCAATAAGAAAATCAAAATAGCCAACAAAATAGGCTGTGATGAAAAAAATTAGAACTGAAACTGAAATAATGAAACTTGAAAGTCAAACTTTAATATAAAGATTTAAAAAGGTTAAAGAATAATAAGAATTAAAAAAATAATATTCAATTTTGTAAACCATAAAGAATCCTTATGCTTAACAATACATTAATTTTAGTAAATAAATATTTAATTTAATACATAATTTACATTAATTAAAAGTATAGAGATTAAATTATATTTTAGGAATATTTAAATAATTCAAGAAAGATGTTTTAAGTAGTAAAGAATTTAATTGGTATGAAAAAGAATTTAAAAAAGATCTTATTAAAATAATCAGCTGATGATTTAATTGATTTTTAAGATATAGCTAAAATGTGTTGTATTAGAGAGATACAATATATTAATGGAGAATAAAGAATGATAGATAAATTTGATTTAACTTTGATGGATGATCTAACATATATGTGTGAAGCAATAGAAAATTTATTATTATAAAATAAATTAAATGCAATAAAAAGAATGAGTGATAATGTATTATAATCAATAATTATTAGATTTTAATTGAAGAACATGAAATTTCAAAGTTAAGAGAATAATTGGGAATGAGAGAAGAAGAATAAAAATTATCAGTTTCTACTTTACCTATGCAAAGATTTAAACCTCATGTAGAATTGGATAATATAGAATAAAGATTAGGATAACTATCATAAATACCAAAACAATATAGATAAACTTCATAAGTTTTATGTGAAATAGTTGATAAATTAAACGAATGATCTTAATCATTTTTTTTCATAGCAAACTTTCATCATCTGAAAATTTTAATAGGTCTTCAGGTTGTTTATATGGTTAAACTTATGGTCTATTTTATGAGTTTTATTAATTTTATTGATTTGGATCAGAATTAGTTATTTTTAGACTTTCCTCAATTGCTCTTCTTAATTCTTCATCATCATCAAAATCATTCATAGCTCCTTAAACTTAAAATGCATTTCCAACATGATTTTAATATCTATATAGAAAATTTGCTTCATCATTTTAAAATGTATTATCTGGTTTCTCTAAATCTGGCTATTTAAAATACTTATATAATATACCTTATACTCAGGAACTAAATACTTTACTTATAGAGTGTTGTAAAAGAAAATTGCTATTGAGTTCATTGCAAATGATGGTCTCTTAGAATTATGATCACCTGGTACTATTGACTATTTAAAATACATATAATTTAATTACAATATTTTTATCTCCAGCATAAGCTTCATGTAATTTTTTTGTATGATGAGGCAATACAAAGGTATCTTCATCAGCAGCTATAAAAAATGCAGGAATAAAGGCCTTAGATACATGATTTTTAAGTGGATTGATATTTTCTATATCAAAATTGGCTTTTGATTAAATAGTTTTTCTTATCATAGACAATCCAGCTGAAATTGCAAATGAGGGTACTTTTTGAGCATATTATTTTGCTAATTCCTCTGCTAAAGTCTTTAAATTTGAAAATGCACTATCCAAAACTAAACCAGCAATACTAGGATCTCTATCTGCATGCATTAAAGCTGTAACTGCACCCATAGATCTTCCCCATAATCCTATTGTAGAGACTTTATTGCTTTAACGTAACCAATCTACAACAACTTCTACATCATCTCTCTCATACCATCCTAAGGATATATATTCTCCTTCAGATTTACCACAACCAGCAAAATCAAAGCTAAACACTTAGATATATTGCTTTTTTTATATTTATATAATTTAAATACTTGTAAAAGTCCATCTAAAGAGGGTAGACATTCTAATCTACTACTACTGTTACCATGTAAGTATATTACACAAGGCAATTACTCACATGGTTTTTTAACTGGCTCAAAAAATGAGCATTCCAATTTTAATCCTCTTTTATTTTTGATTTAGAAGTCTGTTCTCTTAATCAATACTCCTTATATTTTAAATTAACTGGGACCTAAGTAAAGATATTTATCTTACCTAAATCCTACTCAGTATATTCGTTATCTCTTGGAGGTCGTATTATGGCCTTCCATAAATCATCATAACCAGCAGATAGTGATGAAAACATATATATTAAATTTAATTCATCATTCTTTTATAATATCCATTTGTATACAAATCGATCCATTTGAACCAAAATTTTATTGAAATGCCTTTGACTTAGGTGATCCATCATCATCCATATCTTCTTGTAATTCTAACAGCATTTCAGATTCTTTATTCAACAATAAATTAGCAATCAAAAGAGGCTTAACTTTTTTCTCAACTCCAGCCTAAGTCAAATGTTCCTTTAGATCTAGTATTTTTCGTTCTAAAGTTTCTATTATTGCTCTCCAAGAATCTATTTTCTCTGTTTCCAGTAATGTCAACTATTCAAATCTTTATTCTATTGTCTTTCTTTATCCTATCCATCCATCAATTAATTTTTAAAACTATTATATATTTCTACAAACTTTTACTTATATCATAATCTCTGTTTTTGTTCCCTTTATTTATAAAAATTAATTTTATGCTTCCTCTGAGAATAGACCATACTCTACACATACAACAGCAAACTTTTCAAATGAAAAATTCTATTCTCCTTTAATTAATAAATCAGCATTGGTAAAGAATATTTCAGAAATTTCATCATTTGTAAATCTATCAGGTTCTATATGTCTAAGTAATAAATACCATTCTTCAAAATTACACATTCCATTACCATCTAAGTTAATATATGCTATTTTAATTACCTAAATCACAGGCAGCAAATGCATTGATAACATATTCTTTTGCTCTACTTACTAATATTTTATATTTGACAAACATTTGAATCATAAATTAATCAAAATCAATTACTGGCTATCTATTTTATGTTTTTGTATCTAATTCTTTTAATAAATCTAATTCCTTTTTCAATTCCTCTTTTTCTTCAATTGTCATTCTTGAATCAGCAAACATCCCTATATATTATTATGCTCTGACATATGGAACAAAATATCTAACCTCAGATTCTTAATCAGCTATTGATACACCAAGAGTTGAAATATTAGTTACATAATCAAAAGACTCCAAATATTTCTTCATTTCATCTATTGTATAATTAACACAATCATCAAATAATCCTAAGAACTTTGCAAAATTATTTATTCTTACTATTTATTTATAATGTTTAACTGAAACTATTAGAATTAAGAACTTTTACTCTGCAATCTTTTTTATACCAAATTATTATAAAAAATAACTATAAACAAATGATGCCATATCTTAATCTTTAAAAGCTTGATTATCTTTTTATTGTTATATTCTATCCTAATAAATAACAGTGATTTATTTTAAAAGTAATTTTAAAGGCATAAAATGTTTTATTTTAGGTAATTACTTTAATTTAATTTTTTCAACTAATTATGGACCAGCATTAACTTTTTAAAATTCATAAACTATATTAACTTTCTAACCTAATTAAGGACCTTTAAAAATTAATTTTGCTTAATTCATCTTTTTATTATCTCTTTAACGTCTGATCATTTTTTAAGATGAATTAAATTTAGCATATTATTCAGGAGATGATTCTCCTTCCAAATACTATTATGTCATTTATTATTATTATAATTATTGTTCTTTTAAAATTTTAAATGTTCCAATTGATACTGCTCTACTTCTTGTATCTTCTAATTCTTATATGTGTTAATTACATCTTTCATTCATTTAATCTATTATATATTATAATTCCTTGTTTTTATTTTCTAAAATTTGCATCATTAAAACAAGAGTCTTTACTTTTTCAAGATCTATATATCGATCAGTATTGATATCCATACTTTAATCATTACTTGTTACTTATTCTATTGATTAATTTACACCTTTTTTAGATCTAAATGAATCTTATCTTAATTAATTTAATTTATTTATTATTGGTGATGGAAATTCTTTATTAAGAAATTTTGATTCAATTATTTAATTTAATTATCTTCCTGAAAATACTTTATTTGTTTTATCTTCACATAATTTCAGTGTCTCTT